ACCTGGAGTTTGTAACTACTGGTGCAAGAGCAGACTTGCATCACTATTTTCCTTATTGCTTCCCTTCCTGTTATTTTTGTTTCTTGTTTGTAAATCACTCCAGCATAAAGAGAGGAGTAAATGGGACATGGCGTGAAAGTAGCAGCGCATCTTTAGCTGCACTAGACCCCAAAACTGAGTTCATACCAAGGCTCCAGCTCCCTGAATTCTGTAACTCAAAGTTTATTCATTGATTTTGATGTTTAGCAATAAAATACCTTGATTCTTGTGACGACCTGAAGTGACTGAAGTCCATACACTGATGAAGATGTTCTTCCAAGAAGCTTACTTGGGATGCTGGTGTGAAGTTTTAATTAATCTGTCTATGGCTTGGACCTGATTCAGCAAAATACTTTGATCTGAGCATGAGCTTAATTTTGTCATGACAAACAGTAACATACTTCAAGTTCCTGTATGTTTTCCTAAGCAGAACTCTGTACTGATATGGTTTAAGAAACAATGTGGAGAGTTATGGAATGCTTTTGTGGTGAAAAAAGATGGATTTAAAATAAATGTGTGAACTGGAGTAAAATTCATGATCAGTGTTATGCATTTGCACTAAATCTAGAGCTACAGGAAAAATATCTTTCCAAAGGATATCACAGGTGCCTGTTTCTAGAAAATAATTTTAAATACGAGCTCACAGCCTGCAAGTAAGATTGCTTTAAATAGTATATATTAGTGGCTATTAAACCATGGAGAGTTTGTGCTACTAATAGGATTTATTTCTCCTGTTACAAAAATGCTGGGTAGAGGGGATCTAGTGCTATGCCTGCTCCCCTTTCCCCCTGCTCCCCATCTGTTTCTATTTTCTGAGGAAAGGAGGAGAGAAATAATGAAAGTCGTGTAAACTACTACTGTGTTTCTGAAACTGCTCAGTATTCATTTTCAGCTGACTGAGAAGTAATACTGTCCCAAAACATAATTTCCATCTACAGTACAATTTGTCTGAGATTCAAGTAGGTATTTGTGTTGATAGAAAAAGAAAATATAAAGCTGATTTTCATTCAGATAGTCATGAGTTTGAGAAGTGTGGCTTGGGTTAGCTTGTTCTTCTCAGATTTAAAGAAGCAGTTTGCAGTATGTCAAAGTTACTGTTATTACTGATTTGTAATGTTACTTCTGCTTCTCCTCCAGGTGTTAATGCCTATTCTAAGCAATAAGGAAAACCATATGTCCTGGCCAGTTTGCATTTCCCAAGATTTGGAGCATTTTGTGGAAATCATGAAAAAGAAAACACAAATTATGCAAGGGCTGATGTCAGGAAGAACTCATCTTCCCATTCCCACAGCTGCAGCAAAGACTGACTTGCATCAAATATGTGCTGAAAATAAGTAAGGAAAGACTATTGTGTGACCTATTCAACACGGGAGGGGTAGGGGTGGGTGTATGTGGGAATAAAAAAAAAAAAGTGCGCTGCTTTTGGTGATTTTTAGTCTCAGACATAAACTGGTAGTAAAATGCATTAACAAGAAGGAAATAAAATTGTTAGTGTTCCAAACATAGTATTTTTATTAATCTATATTTTCTAAGCATTAGAAGGTATTTTAAAGTATTTTCTGTGTTATTGATGTATTTTAAACACTGTAATTGCTCTGTCATATGAAAACATGAATTTCCAGGACTTTATATTTTGCGCTTATTAATTTCAAAGGCAAGACTTAAGCTGTCTGTAGAGTCGCCAGAATCTGGAATCATGAAGCTATGCTTCCAGAGTGCAAAATAAGGTTATTCTGTTGAATTACCTTTTAAGTGTGTTTCCAATAGATTGCACTTCTCTGTTGCCTTGGTTTAACATGAACTGAACTCTTACCATGAAAGGTGTCTTACTGTCTTCTGTGAGGTTATTATTGATCTCAAAGGACGGCATCAAAAATGAGCGTGGCGCTAATCATTGGCATGTGCATCTGTTACGTGTAGAAACAGCAATAATATGAGCTATGTCCCAGAGAATTCACAGTTTAAGTTAACTAAAGGCTTGATTTCAGTTTAGGACTGTATACAGAAATGATTGATAATCAGTTGTTGACTAAGTGAAGATTTATAATCCTGTCAGTAATAAATTATTTTGAAGACCCTGGTCAGAGTCAGCTCCTTGCTGTACGTCATGGTACTGAAGCACGTGTGCAAGACAAGTATGGAGCTAAAACTGAGGCAGAACAGATGAATTTGCTTGAAAGGACTGAAGGGGGAAAAATAGAGTGTGAAAGGGAGAATGTAAATTATAATATTCCATTAATATTTTATTAAAATACTTTGCTGTATATTATTAGTGCCTCTTTGTAAACACTGGCAAATAAAATAATGCATTAAATAAAATCTATTTAATATTCATGCTAACTATCAGCATTCATTCAAACACCAAATTACCATGTAACTTATTATAAAATTAAACAGTAAAATGCAAATTTTTCACATCTGGAATAATTGCAAGGAACCATTCAAAGGATATGCTATCAATAATTTCTGAGATGGTGTTTGGCCATGGTTTAGATTAGCAAATACATCTGTAAGTGTGGTCTGTGTTTTCATAACTGTTTTTAGCTCTGTCTTGAGGGTTTGTTTGTATGATTTTCCTCTTAATAGAACTAAATTCCAAATTTGTGTTGTTCATCCTTGAATATAAATGTGAATGGGGGGAGAAGAGCTCTGTACTATCACAGTACTTGCTTTGAAATTCAGGGGCATTTTTTTTTTCCTGTTTGCAGACAAGAACCTAATTCCAGGCCAGTGCTACATGCCATCGAATCAATGTTTATTAGGTGGTCACATCAGATTCATGACACTCTGAACAGGGATTCTGCTGAGCCTCTTCTGCATGGCCTTCATCCAGACCCCCTAACTGTGCTGAACTTCTGGAAGGCAAGAAAAGACAAGCTTTTATATATAACTAAGCAAGTAAGCGATTTTAGGTGTTACTGTAAACATCAGGGAGAACATTCTTTTGGTTTGCCTTTCCCCATGCACACTGCAAAATGAGATGCCAAAACAAGTTTTGGTTGTTTTATTTTTGCAAATGGCTTACAGTGGTTTCCCAAAGGAAGCAAACTTTGTGTAAGTTACCGGAGAAAAACAGAGTTAAACATTAGAGAACGGTGAAAGTTAGTGATGAAGGGCTATGTAGCTGTAAGAAATTCTGTTGTTCTTGTGATCTTTTCTAAATTTCTTCCCATGACGTTTCTCAAGCTCTGGAGAAAATGAGGTTGAGAACAAAGTTTATATTTGGGATATTATTGCCAAATTTGGCTATGAAACATACTACTGTTTAATGATAATAGTAATCATAGTTTGTTATAAGTGAAACAGCTCTTTTTAATTGAAAAAGATATGCAAGATTGTTTACTTTTAAAATATGAAATGTTGTTCAGAGCTGTGTTTACTTCTCTGCTCCTTCCGTGCTTGTTATTAGTGATGTTGCAATGTCAGGTAAGTGAATGTGACAAAGAGCCCAGTTCATTTGCCACTGAAAGCTTTTGGGGCCTTTCCATGGATTTCAGCTGGCCTAGATCAGCCTTTATCTGCTAGCAGACTTGAGACATATTTATTCATTAATTCTCTAAGTGCAATTGTAAGTTGCTTGAGTTCTCCCTTCTACTCTTTCGACAGGCGACCATGATCTTTAATTGCTTTCTTTCTCCTCTGTTAAATTACAGAGTCTTGTTGTTCCAAAAATGATTAAGATCTTAAAGCCAAAGAAAGCAGCTATTATCTTGCTTCTTAGGACATTTTCAAGGAAGTGGAAGGTAGTAAGGGTAGATTGAATGAGCTGTATATTTTGTCTGTGTTTATATGTGTGTGTTACAGAATAATCTATAATTTGTCTTGACATAACAGTGTAAGTCATGATGGTAAGCTATATCAGGGCTGCAGGGACATGCACATATTAAATTAAACTGCTTTGTGTGCTGAGCTGGCTCGTTATTTGTGTTGGGGTTTTTTATTAAACTTTATGTGGATACTTTTCCTGTCATAAAAATAGGTGAGAGATATAGCAGTAGCAAAATCAATTAGTATGTGCATTTTTTCAGCATCACTTTTGATTCTTTAACTGCAGTAAATCTGTAGATAGATAAATTCTACTGCTAAAATAAATTAAATAAGGCAGTTAGCAATAAAGAAATATTTAGCTACTATACTACTTTGTATATAAAATTACACTTTATAGAAGCTGGCATTTTATTATATTCTTGTAATGTTGTTCAGTTCAGGAGATACTAGCTCTGCAAACAGCTTACACTTGCAAGTATTGTCTTGCCTATTTTATTCATGGTTAAACAACACTGGAAGTTTTGAAATACAATCTTAAGGTACTCCCATGTTTACTTTTTTTTTTTTTTAATCCCAGTGTTAAAATTTTGGTTTCTTGGTGGAGGCAGTTATTTTGTATTAGTGAATTGTAATATATTTAAATGTTTTTTCTGTTGATGTATGACTAGAAGAAAGGATTGAAATTTCTATAGTCCATCAGGTGCCTTTAGTTATCAAATAGTCTACAGTGACAGAGTGCAAAATTTTTCAGGTCTCTTCTGAACTTTTGAAGCCAGAGATATGTGAAGTGCCTACCACGCAATGGAAGGACATTATTCACTAAGACCTTGCCACCTGTAGAGGCTGACATTGCTCTATAACTTCCCTTTTAATAAAAGTTTTAAGCAGTAAAAGATCAGGCTTTATCCACGTTGAAGAGAGACCAAAGCTGACTGATTGTGTGAGTCTCAATCCTTTCCATGTCATCCAATGCAGCAGCAGCCCACAGCATGCCTAGTGTACCTTCTCCTGAAGGGCAAGCTTCTAGCACAAGCTGCTACAGTCTATGAAAAGAAATGAGTTGTCAGAATTTGTTAAACATCCAGCTTGAAGCACATGTGAAGTCCCCTTTCCCCTTTGATTGAAAACACCAAGCCATTGAGCATAACACTGGAAGGTGCAGTGGAGCACACAGCTCTTTCCAGAATGTCAAGATGCACTTGCTTCTTGGTGCCAGATTAGTCAGGAGTATTAACTGATATTATTTGACCTCTTGTGATCAGACCTGGCCTGTCCAACATACACACTTCTTAAAATTATTGCAGACTTCAGACTATTTTTCTTTCATTCCAAGCTAGAATTTCACATTTCCATCACCTGGGTATCTGCAGTGATTCGTGCTTCTCCTGGATCTGATTGGCAGCAGTGAGAGGAACAACAGACTGATTATAGAAAGGTGTTAAGCATCCTTAACTACCAGAATTGGAATGGGAAGCATCCTAGTCACTTGATGAGCCTCCGTTCAGTTTCATGAGAAATTTTTGACTGTAACGTGCCACTAAAATCTACATATCTTTCTCTTTTAAATAAATAAAGGATGACTTTGCATTCCTCATTGAAGCTTTAGTTTGGAAATTATCATCTTTTAAGATGTAGCATTTATCCTTTTCATATTTTTACAGCACTTGTAGAAGTGCAAGATACTGATTGATCTGTATCTGAGACCACGGGAAAAATACATTCAGCTCTTCTGAGAGAGGCAATTCCCAAAAATCCATAATTTAATCCCACCTTTATTTCACACCATCTACCTGATATGGAGCCATTCTGAGGTCTGTGTTCCATGGCTGCACAAGTAGTAGTTTTGCTGCAGGAGTTTTGCAATCTGCTTAGGCAGAGTAGTAAATCACGTAAGTGCCTAATAGCTGTATGTTAGTTGATATATAGTACAACTGTAACAAAGATATGGATTTAATCTGTCTGTTTTCTAACACCACAATTACCTTATAGATACTTTCAACCAGTATTAGGTTATTAAATTTGAAGTTAAGCTGAATAATTACTCATCAGCTGTACCATTCTCATACTGTGTATTTAAGAATTAAATATGTTTCTTGTCTAATGAAAGAAGACAATGAGTTGGAAGTCATGTAATATTTTCAGGTTGGGTTGTTGCTTCTTACCCCCCTCCTGTAGGTATAAGTTTGCTGCCTCTTTTCTTACCACATTTCTTGGTAGCTATTTCCTTTCATGAGTTGCAAAATGCTGATGAGAGCTACGCAAATCAAGAAAACAGGGGGTTTGTAGATAAGCTGTGAATGAGCCACCTTGATGCATTATAAGCTTTCCTTGTGCTTCCACTGAAACCCACTGTTCTGGTGGGAGTATGAGAACTTTTAAATGCTGTCAAGCAAAGCCATTTGGTAGGATTCACTGATATGGAGGTACTTCTGTTGGTAAGAAACAGGAGCATTTCCTTCAAAGCCAGCCTATGCCTGTTGTACTTCCTAAATGGTCACCACAGTTGTTCCTTAAAAACAGCAGACAGACAGCCTCCCTGACTTCCCCTGCTTGAGGGGACAAGTGTGCAGTGACCAGGGAGTGAGAGAAGAGACCTGATTCTCTTCTCTTCTGCAAGAAACAACTCATGGGCCATGCTTACAGAAGTAGGAGGAGACTTGGCAGGGCTGTCACTGAACAGGAGGCCCCTCAGAGCACCTGGAGGAGTAAATCTTCTGTCTCTGTTGCAGGCTTAAAGTAGTGTTGAAGTGGTAACTGGGTACAGGGTACTTCACTGTTTTTTTCAGGGGAAAAAAAACTGTGGCGTGAACATCTGTGCACTGCAGGAAACCTCCCTCTGGAAGGATGGGAACTGGATGCTTAGATCTGTGCTTAGATTTGCTTATATTTGTGCTTAGAAGTGCCTAGATTTGCTTGGGAAGGAAACTTGATCTGAAGAAATCAGTTTCCCTTGTCACACAGCACTACACTATCGGATTCTTGTTTATTTTTATTTTGTCAAACATCTGTTATATATGGCAAGGCTCCATTTGCCAGTTCTTTGACTTTGCACCATCTCCTTCCTCATGTGTTTAAGCTGGGCATTAACAGGCTAACATAAAATTTTCATTGAAATTACTCTGAATGCCTAGCAAATTATTGCTGCCTGTTAGAAGGCAAGTATTGATGAATGACAGAGCCTGTGCATTCTGATCTCAGCCCAAAAGAGCAGGTTTTGAAGTGGTGCCAAAAGGTTTGGATGGAGCCATGTATTTCTTAATTTGTAAGATTTGGAGAAAGAGAGGGCAAGAAGTACCTAGGAGTGGTGGCAGTATGAAGTAAAAAAAAATATGGGGAGGGGGTGTGGTGGGGGGAAACAGAATGAAAACTTTGACCAGGAAAAGGTTTCTATTTCCCCCCCCCACCCCTTTCCTACTTGCCAACCCTACTTGCATTACATTAAGTAAAGAAGTTAACATCATGTGTTTGATGTGAATCTGCAATAAATGTAAATTATACCAGTTCTGGATAAACTGATGAAACAAGAAGAGCAGAAAACAACCTATAGTCCCATCCTCATCACTGGCCCCCTACCCCACCTTGTTACATCCGGACCATGTTATATCCATGGATACTGGTTCTCTCTTTCAGGTTATTTGTGTCACTGTACAAAATTATACACTAGGTATGCATGTGTTCTAGGTTTGATTCTGGGTTTGGGGGAAGCCTTCTTCCACTAATTTACTAAATGAAAAAAGCTAGAAGCACTTGTCTTGGCACTTGTGTATGTGCTAGCACAATATATGCTACATGAGAATTAGTACCCAAAGGCTATGGAGGTGTCATGGCAAACAGGTGAATAAATTTCCAATATCACTTTTATGGGGCAGAAAAGATCCCTTTAATCTATTATTCTCTGGATATTCACTGTACAAAAGATGATGCATAAGGGCATGTCTAGCTGGAGGGGTTTATAACAGGTTGAACATACTTTGGGAGCATCGCAAAAGTGAGAGTTGTGTTATGAGGTAATTGACAAACTAGAATAGTTAAAAAAAAATTTAAAAATTATACATATTTTTTGTGTTGATATATAAAGTGGATATTAACTTTATGACTGATATCATTACTACATTTTTAAAAAGTTATCTTTTAAAAAATGTTTTTTTCAGCTGTACATTTATTTGCAGTCTAGTCTAGGTTGTATCTTTCACCAGAAGATCTTTTTAAAGGAGAAACTGAAGAAGCAGTGGAGCATGTGAAAATAGCTAAAACTACCTTAAAAAACTTTAAGGATTCATTCTGTAGTCACAGAAACAGATTGGAGAGTTTCTTTGCCTGTGGCAAGGAATTTAAACCATGAGATTTCATATCTGATATGTTGGTTTCCAGATTTGATATGTTCCTCAACCACTTACTGAAGATTGAGGTATTCCTTACCATCTATGTTGTTGGATAAATATAGTATCTGAGAAATACGGGCTATTTTCAGTTATACAGACAGCAAGACTCAGGTTTCTAGTATGCAGAATGCAAAATTACAGTGCATAGCAGGAATTAGGAGTGTTGAATGGGATACAAATATTCCTTACTGTGCAAGGAGCAAACTAGTATTAGCAGTAAAAAAAAATGACAAAGGTGTTTTCTAAATCCAGCCCTTCCCAGGGTTTTGAAATTTGCTTGAGTAAAGTGCTACTCTTCATATGCAGCCCATGGCTGGGACTTTCTCCTGGGCATGGTACCTGCTTCTGTTTTTCTCCAAGAACTGAGGAGGAGTCATTTGTTTATAGCTATTAAAAATGTGGTGTTTTGCGCTAGTTCTTGGATGAGACAGAATAATCTTCACCTCCCCTTTTAAATCTGTGCCAACAGACAAGGGAAGATGAAAAATCTGAGGTCAGGAAAGGAGTGTAGCATATTTTTCTAATATTGTGGTTAGGGTAGCTGTGTAGGATTGGAGCAGTCATAGCTTCTGGTTCCTGCTCCTGGGGCCTTTTTTTATGGTTTCCTGAGCCTGGAAGCAGTTGCAGTAGGAATCTAGGCTGGCTGCTGCTGAGGGTGCCCTTCTGGAAAGCAGGCAATTCAGTTTTGAGATCTGAGCTGCAAAATTATGTACTTTAGCTCTGCAGTTATCTAGACAGTGTGCCTCTCCATCCCAGGCCTTTAAAATACTATCAGAGTCAGAAATCAAGTCTTGCAGTGTCTGACAGTGCCAACCAGAGTGATCTCTGAAAGGGATTTGGGGTGAATGCATTGGCTCATAGCTGTCAACTGACAGGCCGGGGAGTAGTTGTAGGAGCAGCGTTTTGTGCTAGCAGTTTTGCAAGTGTGGCTGCTTGTGCCCATCATGGGCATCACGTATGGCTGCAGCACATGAACTAACTCTTGCTGACAGTCTCGGTTCTTGACAATCAAAGGGGCCCATGGAGAGCCCTGCCCTGTGCAAGCATGTCCCTTCAGGGTGAGGGGGCAGCTGAGTGAAGTCTTTGTAGATCAGAATACTGAGCCTAGGGGTCTGCAGTCCACCAGGAGTCTGCCTGGAGAACCCACGACTGGTTTGCTCCTAGAGAGAATAGGTGTTGCATATTTCTAAACAGACTAGCAACCAGTTATTTTCATCCCTTTGGGGCATAAAACAATTACTTCATTCAAGTGAAATCGGAGACCATAGAAATTAATTTGGCACATGTTACAAAGGAGGTTAAAGTGGGTTCAATTTTACTCCTTTGAGAAAGATTTATGTTTCATTTTCATAGCAACATTTTGTGTTATGATAATAAATCGTGTTTATACATGAAAGTATATGTTTAGTAGTGCTTGCTCTTTTTTGTCTAGGCCTTTTTTAACTGCATCTGATAAAATTAAAATGGAGTTAAATTTGTATGTTCTATGAGACAATTCATTTCCACTTGTGTTTTAATCCTGTGACTCAACCAGGATAAAGCCCTGTTGGAATTACCTGTTGCTCCTCCACCTTTTTTTTTTCATATTAATTATTTAAGATGGCACAGATTTTAACTTCTCATTCTTCCAGACGAGAGGAGGTCAGATGAGACAAAAACCATCTCAAACATGAGGTTTGTTACTGTTTTTAGTAGAGGCATACCATTAATTAATTTTTATTTATTTGGTCAAAGAAATTTATTAACATATAGGAATTTCAAAAGCTGAAAAAGCTAGAGTTTGGTGGAATCAAAGGGAAAATTTTAAGCGAGCAGGTCTGCAAAATGAATGTAGAGTTTCTGGAAAGCTGTGAAGTTTTCAGAAAGAGAATGTATGATCCTTCAGGTTGTAGTAACGTGGTAATATTGCACCCTGCACATAGGCATTTGTGCTATTATTTCCTCGGTTATTTAAAAGTATCTGCAAACTTGGAGGTTGTGACGCTGGGAATTTTATAGTTCTGAATGGAACTAGGCATGCGATGGGCTTCCAACACAGCTTGGTGCAGTGTCTACCACTTCTTTAAACCAGAAATTAGTTTTCTTAAGAAAAGATTTCTGGATGCTTTCTCCTGATCAGATGGCTGAATTATTTAGAAGGGCCACATGTGGAGAAGCATTCATATGGCTCTTGCCAAAGAATTTATGAAACAAAATTCCCCACCAACATTGCCCAAAATTAAAAAAAAAAAAAAAAAAAATTATTGACATACAGATTACAGAATTGATAGTAAGTTCTATAAGCATTTTTTTCCTAAATGTTAGGACTTAATTTATACAGTTCTGGTGTAAATAATAAATCAGTTGATTCTACTTGAAAGATAGAGAAGGTTTTTAAATGTTGATATATAAGTAATGTCTTGTAATATTAGCTGAAGTAATTCCTAGCACTGTGCTCACTAACAGTCATGGTATATGTATCTGATAAAACAGAATGTTTATTACTGTTTTTTTCATAGATGCTTTTTTTTTTCTTTTTCAGGATTTTGCTGTTAATTCATAGCTATAAGTATCAGTAAGCTTGGAAAATAGTGTTTTCTGAAGGAGTCCACTTAATCCATTTTTAACATAAATGCAAATACCCTATCATGTTATGTAGTTGGCTTTGCTGCCTGCTGGCTAGAGCACTCGGCTGCCTTCAGAGCGGGCTCTGGTCCCAGCGCAGAGGATGCTTTCAGCGTTGGCACTGGGCAGACCCGTGCAGGGAAGAGAGTAGAGCCCCAGCAGCTGGGCTGCTCTGGCTAGCAGGACAGCAGCCAAATTCCCTCTCTTCTCCTTCCTTTTTACCCTGTGGCTTTGTAGGGCAGGGCACCATCTTTGAGAGTGGGCAGGTATTGATTAAATTCCTCTTGAAGTGGGGAGGCTGGTGAATCCAGGTCTGCCCTGTCGCAGGTGTGTGCCTCAGCCAGGGGAGGTAAGGCAGCAGCAGGGTGCCCCAGCACCAGCTGCAGATTTAATGGGTGCCCTGTGATGACTCTGCTGTCCTGATCCAAAAGATCACCATCACAAGCGGGATTCAATCACCCTAAATAATCTACATTTAAAAATATACTTTTTCTAATCTGTTTGCTGACTGAACTTCATTTAAATTCAATTCTTCTTTATTGGATGACCAATTTTTAATTTTATTTTTTTTTTACACTTACACCCACCCACTCCACCCCCCAAAATCCTTAGGCCAGCTGATTTTCCTTAGCTTTTTCCCCTGCCACTTCCCTGTGCTGCTGACACCTGTGTACCCACAAGTACTGGGTATGCACAGATGCAGACAATTAGGAGGTGGGCTCAGCCTCCCTGGGATGTAAGCTCTGCTGGCCTTCAGGAGCTTGGACTTGCTGTGTGATGGTTTTGGCAGTGTATTAAGAAGAGAGCACTACGTGTTCATGTTTGGTGTAAGGTGCTCTTTAACAGGCAAAGTTTCTGAAACAGACCCAGATCTTGAAGTTGTTATTATTAAAATAATATATATTAATAATAATTTAATCATTAGCAGAATATAGAAATCTACTGTTCTGTTAGATATGGTAGGAAATACATTCTGTGTGGATGCACAGATTTTTCTTGCAAATATGTGGTTTAATCTAGGTAATTAAAAACCCAGTGGAATGGTCATAAATCAGATTTGAACAAGTTTAATTCATGCAGAAGCCTTGTAAATTGTTAATGTCTTTGGAGTAAAATCCTGGTACTTCTTTAAAATCCATAGCAAAGCTTCCAGTGTCTTAAGGTCAGGACTCACTATACTGTACTTCTAAATTTCAGTGCTCCTGATAAAATCTCTTACTATTCACACTAAATTCCTGTTAATCCCTGCACAAAGCTGTAGAGCAGCCTCAGGAAGAGACCTACTGCTGCATTATCTTTTTTTTTTCCTTTCCTCCTTTTGAGGCATCAGAATACTCTGAAGCATCCTTGTCTGTATGTAGTTTGCCTTGTTTTGCCTTTACCTCTGAGAAGTTTTGCCTGCATATTCAGTATAAAAATTTGCATGGTGATGAGATGCTTGAATAACAGTTTTAAGCTGCTAGTTGAAGTACAGTAATTACTGTATTTGGCCAGATGTAGATTGTAAAATGGTTTGAGCTGATCCATTTTTGAGGCAGTGAGTCCTTCCTTAGGGACTTGACTGACTTAGGGCAAAAGCAACCTTTATAGCACACTTCTGAACAATTGTTATGTATTGTAAGCTTGTTGACTTTCCAGCTTATTGCCAAGTAAAGCATAGTCAATGAGTATTAGTTTTCCAGTTTGAGCTGCTCTTACTCATGTATGCAGGCTTAGTGTTGACAGAGTAAGTACAAGTGGACTTCCAAGCACCAATTACTGTGCTGGTTTTACTGTCAATGCTGAAATATTTTTCTCCAGGTTCTTTAGAAACTTTGCCTTTAAGTTTGACAATACTATTCAGGAGCTTTATCAAACAATAGCTGTCATAGCTAATTTGTTTGTCAAAAGCTTCAGGGTTCCTGCTGTTCAGTGTATGATATATGAATAGCGTCCACATATTTCCAAAGGTAAGTTTTACATGCTTCTGAGTAGGTAACGTGCAGAATGTGTTTGGTTAATATGGGGATGGAAATGCCTGAAATCCAGAACAGAGAAATAGTCTGGTTTGTGGCGTGACAGGGGTTCTAACCCCCATGAGGACCAAAGGATGCTCAGCTCTCAGGGCACAAATGTGGGCTTCTCAGGGTGATTGTTTTAAATGGAGTCCTGATGTGTTAAATATATATAAAAAATACATATATATATATATAAAAATACAGATCACACCCACTCACAGAACTAAATCTGAATTTCTTTATTCACTAGAAGTGCATGTAGTTCATCCTATTGTGTTTTGGGTATATATTTGTGGGTTTGTGCAGTGTTTTTAAAAAGAAACAAAAAACATATTAGTTGAGGGGGGAAGGGCTTAGAAAAGAAGAAGATTGTTAAATAAACAAGTTAATTTAACGTGCTTTTCCAAAGATGCTGGATTTTATTTAAATGCCCACCTTGGATACTGGTACATCTATTTTTTATTTATTTTTCTAGTGGTTTGCATCAGGAAAGAGATGCAGCCAAGCTGTAAAGAAAAAAATAAGATTTTTCTCAGAGGTGTTCAACATTTAACATATTTAACAAAGGAACAAGTGTAGCTTTATGTGTACATGTTGCTGTTTGTGTTGCTGACAGGTCAAAGCAGAAGGTGTGGGAGATCTCCCTTTAGAGCCAACATCAACATGCACCTGTATCTTCTGCTCTGGTATTATTTTTCCAAAAATCCTTGTCTGTGAACATGGTTAATTATCTTGAGTATTAAGAAAGCACAGCTGTGCTATAGAAAATGATTGTTGTTCTGTTGCCTAAATACATGTGCTAGCTGCAGATTCTTAAGATATTCTAATTTAATGTAACAATGAGTCAGAGTCAAAAGATAATGTTTACTTAGTGAGTTGACTTCAAGTATTTGAGTAGCTGAAATTTGATGCTTACAATATCCTATTTAATAATATCCAGAGATAATTGTAAAAATTTGTTGAGAAATTCTTTGTTTAACTCAGGGGTTAACAGGATGAAACAGCATAAATGTAAGGAGTAGTATTACCTGGCACAGATGGCTATCCTTCTTATCAAGCTTACTAAACAAAATATTGTAGTAATTTGCTTTCCTTGAATGTCTATATCACTAGTACACACATGTATTGATCTTTCACTGGTACACACATGCATGGATCTTACATTGTTATTTTAAAATAATCTGTATTGCTAAGCAAGTGCTTCAGTTGTTAACTCCGTTTCTATAAAAAAAAAAACACAACAAAAGCAACAAAAAACCCCAAACCATCACAACGGTAGATAATTTTGATTATAGTTCATCAGTTAAAATAGTACTGAAAAGCCTGAAATACAAAAATTTCAGAAGTTTGTTCAGTGACAGACATGAGCTATGTGTTTAGCACAACCATACGCTGCCCATTAGCTTTTCTTCCCATTGGAAATACATGCATTTTATACAGTTTGGGTTTGTTGGTTTTTTTTTTTCTTAACATTACATTCTAACATTGAATGAAGATGATTATACTCAATTTAAAGGCAAAACCCTGGATCAGGACAAACATCTTGTCTCAGTTCTTTTTGTAGGATTTCATGACTGTTCAGGTTTAGAATTCAAGGTCAGTATCCATACACATGAAACTATTCTTCATTTATTATTAGAAAAAGTTTTGTGCGTTGCTTAAATTATACTTTACATCTAGGTAAGCTATTTGTGAATTGAATGCCTTGAAATACTAACATGTATTTCAGCTGCAGAATCAAACTGAGTTCTTTCTGTTCTCATTTTAATGATGTTCTGAATACAGGTCCTTTCCAGTAGTTAGTAAGGCCAGATCTAAAATGTAATTCAAAGAAACAGAGAGATTCCCCGCTCACTGGCATTCTGTATTTGCATTTGACTGTACAAAGTATGGAGGATCTCATGGATGGCAGATGCATCCAGGCTCTCCATCTAGTGTAGCATATAGTTAGTCTGGGTAGTGGGAGTGTGTTTCTGCAGTAGTACGTATTATTCTTAAACAAAATGTAAAATGTTAAGATAAGGAACAAGTGGTTAGAAACAGTTCTTCAAAATACAATTTAGGAGTTGTCCTATGTAGACCTGAGTAAGTGATGTCATGTTATTAAGAAAGAGGTAAGCATGCAAGATTTTCAAATGGGTGATTGTTCTGAAAGCCACAAGGAGAAATCTCACATTTTAATCACCTTTGATGAGGACTCCAATGGAGTATTGTGCCCAGGTATAAGCCTTACATTTCAGAAAAGGTCATCTGTTCGTGGTTATTGAGGCTGAAGAAGAAAAGACAGAGAACAGACATAAATCTTCATATACATTAAAGACTTCTGAATACAGGAAGTAAGTAGTCTGTTTTCTACATCCCGAACATAATGAACTTAATTTAAAGTGCAGAAGGTTCAAGTCTGATGACTGGGAAAACTATTTTATGTCAAGCATAATGAATCACTAGAATAAATTGCTAGGGGAGGTGACAGTCTCTTCATTATTGAAAAATCTTTTAAGGAGGACTAGAAAAATGTCTCTTGGAAATGTCATAGGTAAAGCAGACCTTGTCTTAGGGCAGGAACACAGACTAATTACTCCTGAAGTCCCTTTTAGACATACATATCTATGATATTGTATACATCACACTGAAACTGTGTCAAAGTATTGCAAATCAGTAATAATTAATACTTAACTACAAATTTTGAGTAAATGAATGTTCCTTAGTGTATCACTTTTGGCATTGTTAGCAGTTAAATATCTTGTATTTAATGCTGACATTTTCCCTGTTTCTTTCCAAGCATTTTCTCACTGAATTCAGATAATACATACAGTATTAAATCTGCTCTTTCAAAAGGCAGATAAGTTGTCTTAACTTTAAACGTAGCTAGAAGAACGGAAGATGGCTTTTTAGAGAAGTGACTTCTGCTTGCCTCTTTGGTAATTTTTTACAGCAGTAGGCTTTCCTCCCCCCCAAAAAAAAAAAACAACAAAACAAAAAAACAACAAACATGTTAACATACAATTAAGATTTTGTGTGAGACACTGGAGGAAGAGCCTAGTGACTTATGAGAGAGAATGTATCTGGAAAAGGGAGAGAAAACATGGGTTAGAGAAGTGCAGTGTAGGATTTAGAAAGTATCTAGAGTGTGCGGTATATGCCTGGATCTGGAGATCCTAGTTCCATACTTTGTAGGATCTAAACTAACCTGACATTCTTTAGGATTCTAGAATTCATCTGTTTAGCACAATTTAAGAGCATATTTGGAAATATGTGCTCTGTTTATCACCACATGGCATATACCAACAGTATAGCTTGGTAGAGTTCCAATCCTTCTACTTCAGAAGCATTTTGTATGAGATTTCAATTCGAGAGTATTACAGAAGAACTCTAGTGCTTACTTTGCTGTTCATTTTCTTTTTTAGCTTTTAACCATCTTTGGAAGCTTTCTTTAAAAAACTGTCATCAGGGAGATATTTAGCCCAAATTACAATATTTTATTGGAAGTGTTTGAAGAACTGTATAACTGCAGATGTATACATGATGAACACATTAAAAAGGTATTGCACAGTGCAGAAATCAAAGATTATTGTTGGTTCATAATGGCTTAATTTCTATTCTGATAAGCAGGTGGAAGACAGGAATGAAATAATTTTTTAAAAATGTGCCAGTTACTTCAGAGAATGAAACTTAAATGGTCCAAAGAACTGAAGGAGCGAATACAGACATTTTGGTCCTACTTGTCATGTCTGCCTCACCCTTAATAAGTGTTTGTAGTCACTGATTAAGTAGCAAGTTAACAAAAAGGCATCACTAATCACTGAAAAGTGTGATCTGTATCATATGGTCCCTTACCCAAGTGAATTTATACATCCGTGTTGTACATGTGTACAGTTCAAGTTTTGTGGTATGTTTTGGAAACTTCCTGTTTCTGCAGTGAAGTGCACTTGGTAGTACTCTCCAAACTGCATTTTAAGAAGAGATTTGCTTGAGGATTTTTTTGGATGAGTCAGTAACTAACAAACCCAGGAATTTTGCTGCTTTAGGACAACACTAAGGTATCTAATGTAAGCTGTATTATTGCTCTATAGTGACAACAAAGATACCTATGTGGGACCTAGACATCCAAATAATTTGAAAATTATGCCCTGTCTCTCCCTCCTTTCCTGACCCTTCAGTAAATGTGCTTTTAGGTGATAGCATAAAGGATGGAAAGCTGCTGTAGGAGAATTAGACCCACCTGAATTAAATTATTGAGTAACAGCCATTCCAACTGTTGACCACTGACATAGCTACTAAGAGACAGTGGGGCATATCCTAATTTTTTTTCCTGGAATTTTTTTGTTCCAAGTATTCTTACTTCTTGGTTTATGCATCTTTTCCCATCTGGTTCAATTCAGTGAGGCTATGGCTAGCTTAGAAATGGTCATCATACATAGAATTTCATCTAAAAATAAATGATGTGGGAAACTAAAACTTTTCACCATAATTTGGTTGTGAGTTGCTATCATTAAATGAAAATAACTGATTAGGTGTGGGTTTGTTTCCTTGCAGTGTCTTAGAAAGCCCAGAGGCTGCTTTTATTTCTCAGAAATATGTGGAAATATTGGACTTCCTTGACCAATATGAAGATCATACCTATTGTGAATGAAAAGTTCAGGTGGATTAAATTTGCCAATTTAGTTTAGACCAACCTCTAATTAAGTGTAACCCTCAAAATGGCCTCCTGAGTGTGAATTTTTTACTGTATCCGATCTTTTTCCTTGACTTCATAAAATGACAGTAATATTCTGGGGTATGAGCAAATCTTAAAATCTTACATCTTACTTATTTTGTTGTCTTTGTTTTCCAATTGGGAGATCTAGTTACCCTATACTTGCTTACGGGACAATTCTTAATTTAAACTGTAAAGAAGGTCATTAAAATAGTAAATCATTTCCCCAGAGACACATGGAGGAATATAATAAAGACAGCTCTTACCCTGTAAGATGCAATGGTTCCTTAAGTTATCAAGCTTCAAAAAGCTCTTAAATTGCTAAATACTAATTAAAAGATGTCTCCTGCAATGCCTTTGTATCTGGGATTAAATACAAAGTAAACAAAAAGTCACTGTGGTGAGGCTTCTAAAAGAAACGGTTTAGCTTATATTTATCCTTTCATTCTTCTAGTTAGTGGCTTTATTGAGAGAGGTGAAATACCTCTTGATGTTGAAACAACCCAGCATTCCAAATTCTGCTTTAGCATAGAATTTTCTTTTTCTATGAGAAAAGAAACAATTTTGCAAAGGTTTGTGATGGTGGGATATGTCAGCAGTGTGGTCTGTTTTTTCTTTTGTCTTCCCCTCATCCGTTGCAACTTGTGTGTGAGTGTGCACATGGCTCTAACTAACCCATTGAAAGGAAATCTTTGCATCTTTGTCTAACAGAGTCCAACCCACAGCTTAGGCTTCAGCTTGCAATGTTGGCCACAGCTGATCATTAGATACTTGCAGGCACTGACAGTGTGGATCTTCCAGGCTGTGGATCCAGTTGCCTTCCTGTAGCTTACCTTCTACCTGGCAGCATGTTCTGTTTTGAGACTTCCAAGGTCTGTTTAGTTTCCCTTTCATGATCTGTAGAGCTCCCTCAAATAGCTGTTCTGCCCAGCAAGGTGCATAATATCACGTGTGGGACATCAGAGAGATTTCATCCTGTGTGTGTCTTTCCCATGAACAGTGTATTGGAAATCTTGAACTTGTCATTTGGCTGTACAACAGACTAATGCAGCCTACTCTGGAGGTGGAATATCCTCTGATTGTAAAGGAGCTGAGAACTATTGACCAGCTAAAAGAAGCGGAGGAAATATGCACGTGGTAGGCGACAACCCACTGGGACTGCATCAAACAAGCGAAAATGTCAGTGTGTGATTTGGAGCTGAGAGTTCAGCAATCAAAGGGCAATATTAGATCAATCCAGGGAATTATGAATGCTTGGATGGAACATGCCCTCTTTTTCAGGAAAGGTAAAAAAGAAGCTGTCTTATACCTGGATAAGAAAGGCTTGCTAAAATATACAAAATGCTGCAAGGTGTAGCTACCAGATCCATCATTTTGTTGAGATAACAGCCAAGTGAGCTGTATTTTGATGTGATATGGGTGCTAAATATTTGGCTATTAATACTTTTGTTCAATTATTTGTGTAATTGCACCGACTTCATAAAAGTTCTTTAAGACTGATGATTGCAGACAAATAGGGAAAAGATAGAATAATTTTGGGCAACGTTTGAAAAGAGCATTAGTACTTTTAAAAGTTGGTAAATTGGGAATGACTGGCAAGCTGCAGTCATGACAGTGCTGTGGTCTCATTTTTGTAACTGAGCTGTGCTGTTACTGTGATCCCCACAGGTAAAGTAATTTCTGCAGCTGAAGAAATTGTCCAGAAACACGTTCTTGCACTAGATTTATTGTGAAATAATTTTGATTGGAAACGTGGATATTCCTTCCTTATATGTGTAATTAACAGATAATTCACCAGTGTACTTATGAATGCTAAAACAAATTATAATATCCTTAAATGTGAACCACTGCATTACATGACTAAGGTGATATGTAGTACAGTGACTGAGTCAGAGAACTTAACTTGAATAAGACGTGAATGCAGAAGCAAGGGTTTTTTGTCTCTGTCCCACTTTTGCTATTTTTTTGAGGGACCTGCTTCTCTGTCTTTTGCAAGAATTTTTTTTCGGTCTGTTATCAACATTAATCTTAGCACTACTATCTGGAGTACCTTTTAGTTCCATTTCAGATCTAATTTTACTTGTATTATTGCCATTATACTATTGATATTTATTTTAAAAGATCAAAAGAAAAGTCTCTTTTTAACATTTAGTTAAATATAACAAGGGTCAATACTGCAGTGTGAGCAAACATGCAGAAATATTCTTACAAAATATGGATACTCCATCAAAGTTGCTGTATTATGTAAGTTTTCTACCACCATGTAGTCTTTTCAATGCAGGGATACCTGCACTCTTGCACTGAGTTTAGCCAGTGTGAATGCAATTCCAGAGAGGTTCAGGAGTCTCCTGCACTGACCAAAATACAGTCCAGGAGCACACGATACAAAAAATATTTGAGAATGTTATTTTGTGATATACATCGATTATATCAAATAATACTGAAAAAAGGAGGTGTATTGAATGAAGATATACATTAGCAAACCCATATATTAAAGTACTTTTCAATTGTTTTTTTCTTTACTTGCTTATTTAGGGAAACTTAAAGTAGATTCTTCCTCAGCCTCTTGGGAGATTTATGTAGAGTACATTGATGATGTGGCGGCCAATGGTTCATATAACACCATAATGCATTGTTTAGATTTCTTTTTGAAAAATACAGAAGTAAGTTTGAAGCCAGCTCCACTTTTTCAAGCACAAATGATCCTTAATGGCCCAGAGATTCAGTTTAGACCTTCTCTAGTTAAAGACGCTGGTGATGGCTGTTATGACTTATCAGGTAAACTCCTGGATGATGTTTTCCAAATGTCTGCCCAGTTGAAAACGGTAGCAGCACACCTGGGATCAGAACACTACCAGGTCCAGCTTCTCCTTTTGTGTTTGGAAATAATGAATCCAATTAATTGTAAGATGCAAGAAGTTTATTTTTAGTTGCAAACTCATTTAATAACATCTGTCTTCAAATCCTGAGCCTCATCTGTTCTCTGAGTGAAGCAGTTTATAGAGGCATAGTCCCATTCATTTCCAAAGGCTTACTCATGCTTTCATCCACTTCTGCAGCTGTGAGCAGCAGAATGAAGTCGTCCATTTTATGCAAAGCTAATTTAGATTAGCTGAATATTTATCTCTTGGTTGCTGTGCTGTGAGCTTCCACCTTGGGTGCCATGTTGAAATCTGTAAATTTGCACATAGTGGAAACTTAATCTCTTAGCCAAGTAAGGGATTATCCACTAAACTGATGGTCAGAATTATATATAGTCCATGAAAGGTTCAGCTTTCAAAAACTTATCAAGGATATGTATTCAGTTTGGTTTTATGTGTTCATATAATGAAATTTAACCCCAAAACAGGAACAGCTGAGTGAATTGTAGTTTCTCTTGTTAATATATCTCTGGGGAAAAGGGGTGGAATTCCAGTCTTTCATCTGTGTCTAAATTTAACCAATTGGCATTACAGTCTGACTTACTGAAATAGCAAAACTTTTTTTTGATGCCTAGAATGATATGGACAACATGCTTGATCTGTCTGAAATCAGGCAGGAGATTATGGAGAGAGTGGCAAATGCCACCAACAAAGCCCTGGAGTACAAAAGAAGATCTCTTGCTAGCTCTGTGCCTCTCGGAAGACTGGTCTGAGTTTTTGAAGCAATTCCTTCTCCATGGTCACGGTTTAGCATCCACAAAGATGTCTCTTACTGTTGAAGTCTCTAAACAGTCTCCCACTATTAAACTGTTTAAAGAACAGGCAAGAAAGCAACTTGCTGTTTTGTTGGGAGGAAAATATTGGAAAAGTATATGCATTTATTTCTCTCTCTTTTGCTCTAGATTAACATCTATGAAAATGTTTATGTTTAGACAAGCAACTGTGGAGACTCAAAAACTTTTGAAAGTTAGTTTAAAGTGGATATGAAGCCTTTCAAAATGAGCTTGCTAAACATTATTAAGAAATGGAGCTGGATATTTGAGGAGAATCTCTTGAGATTTGTCATTGTTAGGTAAAATTGAGTACATGTGTGCATGTTTATATGCACTAAAGGAATAACTATAAGCTTGGGGTCTTTTTACATATAATGCTTCAATGAGCTGCATTTGCCAATTTTAATTGTGGGTTGTGGTTTTTTTCCTGAGGTTTTTTTTTAGTGGTATTTGTTGTTTTGTGTTTCTTTTTGTTTTCCAGATATTGTACTTGCATATACTGTTGGGTTAATTCTCAGTAGTAGCACTTGCCATCTCTGGAAGTCAGGCCCAAAATTCGTAAAATAACATAGTAAAACTGTACTGTTTTTGTTTGATTTTATAAATAACTATTTATTTTGTAAAACAGTGTAAGTAATTTCAGCAGGGCTTGCTACATGTTTGTTCACTATAGTAGGGAATGTTTGCTCTGTTTGTCATCATATCTGCCTCTGTTTGGTAGTCTAACTGACTTACGGGAATTTATAAAAGTGACAGATGCTGGTCTCCAAAGAGAGGTGACCAAGGGAGATTATTGTGTGCTGGTAGAAATCACATCCATCTCTTGGCTGTGAAGGAGAGACAGACAACTGCTGATGAACCCTTTGAACTTTTAAGAGTCGGTTGCACTTATAGAAAGCTATGGACAGAAGATGCCAAGCAAATTTAATGCCCAGTTAGAGGTACTGTAGCAAAAGTAATATTTCATGTTTACATGTGTGTGTATGGTCCTAAAATAGCAGTATTAGATCTCAGTGATGTAAAATAATTCCAGCCTGCTTGTTTCTTCTCAACTACCGGCAATAAAACCAGGTAGCTTTTCTTATGTTCTTTAAAAGACTTGTTTTATGTGAATGATGGAAAATCAGTTTAAAAAGAGATCTGTTCATTTTGTTCTGATGAGGTCTGTAGTTATTTTTTGCCTTTTTTTTTAATGACCAAATCATGTTCACATTCATAAGCCTCCTCCCAGAAGCTGAGCCATTTAGAAAAATCTATGGAGTGTTTCCTATGTTGCTTTGCCTTCCTATACACAGCAATAGTTTGGGGCTCTGTTCAAATACGGATACAAAAGCGGGGATTTGATGCCTGTCAGGTGACGTTGTCTTTCAGATGTCCTCAGCCATTTGTTTCTGTACATGTTCTGCCCCACACATGCCCAGTTATAATTATTTTGGGTGGCAAGTGAAATTTGGGAGAATTATCAGAATTAAACAAACCTCGATGGGAAGAATAGGTGGGAAAGCACTTACAGCTGCAGTGGTTCCTACTGACACTAAAAGTAAAGCTTATTAAGCTATGGCTTTAAGATCAGCATCTGCATATGGGAGACCTTTATTTGGTCTATTTTGGTAGGTGCACTACACTTTAAATAGCATTAAATAGAATTGAGTAGAAGTCCAACTAATGTTTTCACCAGATAATCTAATTAAGCAAAATGAAAACTTCTTATCAGCTTCAGTGAGTTTTCCAGTCCACAGTGGAATTTCTATTTTGCTGGCAATCTGGTCCAAACCAGGTTGAGGGGATGACTAGGAAAATAAATGTAGGATTTTTGACATGTACCTTAAACTACTCATTATTTACTCTGAAGTGACTTGGTTTCAGGCTTCTCTTGTACTTTCATCTGACATGACAAAAAAAAACCCTGTCAAGTTGGGGGTTTTTTGTCATCTTGATGGAATTTTTTTATTCCACATGGTTTACTGAATGTTTTTTCTGGAGATCTTGGGGAGATTTGTAGAATGAGTAAACTATTTCAAGGTCAACTTTTATATTTGCAAATGTGTTAAAGCGGCAGGAGTGGAGCTCTCTGTTTTACTGTGTGGAAGATTCCCAACTTATTTTTGAAAGATGTTTTATGTGATTATACGTAAAATAACTGACTTAATTAAGTTCGAATAGTTTATGATTACCAATGATCCATAAAATTAATTATTCTACAGTTGACAAAAATTCTAGCAAAAGCTATGTCACAGAGCATGGCCTGTGGTTAAATAAATCCTCCACGGTGTTTTCTTATTCATAGGCAGGTGTTGGGATATCCTCACAGTTAATATACAAATTTTACTGATATATGTCTGCTGTATGTGATATTTTTTCCTTCAAGATAGTGTTACTCTGCTAAATAGAAATTCCCTGAAAAATGGAATGCTGTTGAGAGTTGTGTCGGTAAAGCACAAAGTAACTCCTCTTCAGGCATTTGAGGTTGCAGTTATAAGAATAAAATGTACTTTACCTGATGTATGTTGAATTCTAGGATCAGTCTTTTGTTAAGTCTGTTTTATGAGAACATGATCAGTGACAGGTTTCATTACCTGTGTTTCATCAGGGGAAGTAGATGGATTTCAGAGAAAGATTTAAAATGGAAGCTCCCTTTCAGTCTGGTACAGAAAATGCATACGCTTGTCAATAAGGTAATGGGGAATCTCAGAAGAACATATTTGCTTGTAATCTTTCAATACTAAATCTCATGATATTTTGATACACATACTAAAAAGTGGATTGGAGTTTTGTTTTGGTTGTTTGGTTTTTTTTTTTTCGGTTTGGGTTTTTTTTGTTTGTTTTGAAGTCTTTTGTTCTTTTTTGTGGGATTTTGTTTTCTTTTGGTTTCTGAGTTGGCTTTGTTTTGTTTTTTCAAGAAGCTGGTATAACTCTAGCACCAGCAAATCTAGGTTTCTCTTGTTTCTCTTCCAATGATGCATGTGCTTACTGATAAAATAAAATTTCAGAATACTTGCTAGTGTTCTTTATTTATGTTCCTTTAAAAAGTCAGCATAATGTGCCCTTGAATGCAGTACTCTAAAGTGGGCTATTTAGTGGATCTTTTCAAAACATTGTGAAGGGACTTTGTTAACATTTATACAACTTAAACCCACTTCTCCTTACTTTAATAAGTTAAAAGATTTATTATAAGAGTATAAATGAACTGTTTTCTACATGACAGTTCTTATGGTTCAAATGTAGAGTCCTCTGTATGCCTTGGGTGCTTTCAGAGACGGTGCAAATGCATCTTTTAACCTCTTTGCAATAATTGTTCCCAGCTTTTCTTATATTGAATCATATATACAGGATCTATAGATTTCGCTGTCAGGTTTAGGTAAGCTAAATATACTCTGTAATGATAATTTGAGTGCTCTTTTCCTCTTCAAGGTAAATCAAGAGCTTGAGATGCTGGAAAAAGAAATGCCACTAATGCAGGAATCTGCAAAACTATTTGAAGTACATATGTCAGAGTAGAAGCAAATGAAACAATGTCAAAATGAAGTACAGTTGCTCAAGAAAGTTTGGGATATCAGTGCTTATATTAATGTAAGATTTTTTAAAAAAATAATTATACAGTTAGAATATATTTTGGTTATACTTTTAATTTGATCCTGTAAGTGTTATAATTTTGATTTTTTTTTTTTTTTTTAATTTAAAATACTGAAGATGTTCATATTCCTTTTGGTTTTGAAATTATAGTTGCTATGTTTTAGGTTACTGAGAGTAAAAATACCTCTGTTCTAAAATTAATGAATTTCAAGGTAATCCCAAAACAAAACAAACTTTTTTGAACTTTTTTTAATACCAGTAAGTTGCTTGAATAATTAAAATCACTGAGTAAAAATTCAAAAAGCCAGAAAATTCCACTTTAGAGCTGAGGATTGTACATTAGAAAGCTGTATAAGGCTAGAAGCAGGAGTCCAGAAAAGTCAGTGTACAGACCCGTATGGGAAATCAATCAGCCTTGTAAAATTCTGTTTCTCTCAAGAAGTTGTTTTTCATAGGGAAGTTAAAAAAATATGTACTAGATTTTTCTTTCCATAATTTTGTGCACAGCATTTGTATTTCCAGGAGAGACATGTAAGGCAGTTTTCCCCCATATTTCCCAGGTGCACCTGTATGTTGTCAGTGGATATAGGTGTCTGTTTAATATCACAGAATAGTATGTATGTATGTATGTATGTATGTATGTATACCTATCAGATACTGAAGTATGAATGCTTGGCTTTTGAGTTGAATTTTGAGAAGATGGATTATTTTTGTGTGCTTTCTAGATAGTGGTGGTGTAAGGTTAGAAAAAAATAAAGTCCAGGAGCTATTGCTGTGTGGTGGGTTTTCCCCTGCATCCATTTATCTATGTAGCAGAAGCTTGTCTTTACCAAATGTTGTTGATGCTTTTATCTGTACCTTCTGATTCAGAGCAGCATTGATGTTTGGACTAAAACCTACTGGAGACAGATTAATGTGGAACAGATGGATGTGCAGCTCAGAAGGTTTGCCAAGGCAGGTTCCATAGCTGTCTCTTTCTGCAATTTAGCTGTCTCGGTTCCACCCCTTCCTCACTCTTCCCACCCACTTTGATGTTTCAGTGGATTTGTTACTCGTCCAAACTGAATGTTCTGAAGCATGCTTTGTTTAGGGAGTTTTCCTTTAAAACTTTATTCTTCTGGATGAATTTCCATTCCCTGTGGAAGTACATGGTAAAACTGTGCTGCCACTTCTCTGAGTTGAGGCAGTGTGTGAAAGAATAAAGAGGGTGGGGGTTTATGACAGGCCCCAGCAGATGAAAGTCATTATCTTTAGTGGCAGATGAAATTTGCAGAGGTTTATCATAGCTCCAGAGTGTTGGGTTTTGCAGCAAAGGTGCTCATATTTAAAGGGAGGACACTTTCTTTGAAGTATTCGCGGTGTTTGTTGACAATAGCCCTGCAGAAGATAGTTCCAATGAGAAAAGGAAATTATGAAGCAAAAATAGCATCGAAGTCCCCCAGACCATTTGCAGACGCTAGAGGTAATAGTTGTGCTTCAAAGACAGTATAGTTGTTAAGTATGGAAGGAAGAAAGTCTTCAATCTAATGGGTATAAAGTTTCTTCTTTACACAGTTGTTTTGTTCTGGAATAAGTAAGTTTAATTGCATGCCCAATCAGTAGTGCTTTAAGAGAAGAATCAGACTTCACAACAGATTTCTTGGCTTAAATTGCTTCAGAATTATGGACTCCACCTAGCCAGTTCTGATGCTGGGGGTTATCGTGCTGTGATAGGGGTGGTAAAAGCAAGGAGAAGGTTGAGATAACACCCTTCTGCTTTTGCTTTCACTGTGGCACATATGCCAGGACCTGGAACAGAGAAGATGCTAATCACTGACTGTGAGCTGATCGCTTGTGTCATGTTCATCATGCTCCAGTGTGCATATGAGTCTCCCTCACCCCTCTGAATGGTGGTTTTGAATGTATTAAATTTATGGATACTTTTATCTACAGTGAAATAATAAGAAAGTTAGACTTAAGTTATCAGGTCTGTGGTAAAGTAAATGGCTCTGATCCAACTGGAATCATAAAATGTGTAAATGCAGTGTTAATATAGTTCCATTACTTTAAGTGACATGCTGGAAAGTACATTTCCAGAGTCTTTGCTTTATCTGCCACATAAACCAATGACTCCAATAAAATTTTCTCTAGTCTTGTTTGAACAACTGTCCCACACATCTGCACGTGAAACAAGAAAGCAGAGCTTTCTGACAAACCTCCTAAATTTTTATTAGTTATCAACAAGGAGGCTGTTAATGGCAAGTAATTACTGCAATTATTTTAATCCTATTCTTTAGGAAATGCAGTCTTTGGATAAATAAGTTCATTCCTGGGATGTATATAGAGGCTTGGAGTTAAAGATGAAGAATCTGATATCATCACTGAGACCAATTTCAGAGTTGCAAAATCCTGCAGAGGGACACTGCTACCAGGTCATGAATGTCACAGGAGTAAGTATTCAGCCAAAGAGATCGTGATGATGGTCTTTCTTGCTCTACACATAGATGTAGCAGCACTATCAGTCTGTCAACTATTTAATGTCTAAGTGGAGTAGAGATTTAAGTTTCAGACAGAGGCATCTCATGGGTTGAGAATTGAATTTATCTCTGCTCAGACAAAGGGACCCAATTCTCCGAAGGCAGACCTGGCTTGCTAAATTAGAGGGTTCTTTCATACCTGGCTGTTGCCCTCCTGAGCCTGAAAATAGAACTAAGCTTGAAAGGTTCTCTGTCTTGTTTGGGGCAGGAGAATACTTCAAAGTAATAATTTCTATTAAATATTTATAAGAAAACAAAGCAATGTGGCTGGAAGCTTTCCTGGATAGCAAAAGAGAATGTTTCTTAATAGTGAACAGAGGATATGATGGGCAGAGGGAAATGGAAGGTAAGGAAAGAAAGGCCACCTGAAAGACCAGCTTACTAGTAAATTTTCTAAGAATTTGTACAGGGAGGCTGTTGAACTGACAGTAGATAGGGGAAAAAAAAAAAAAAAGTAAGTAAAAAAAACAGAGAGGGATGCTAGAATGGGGAGAAATGTAGATGTTTTACCCAATTGTTGATCATGTAGCTGAAAAACCAAAGAAGTTTGTGTGCACCAAAATAAAGTTATTTCAAATTCTCAAAAAGAATCCCAGTGGCTTGGGTATAACACGGACCAGTTGTTGATTTTCAAAATTTAAAAAAAAAAAATTGTTAACCATTTTGGAAAAAAAAAATTGAAGTTCAATTTTCAATCATTTTTAAAATGAAGAAAACTGGGAAGCTGAAAGAAAAACAGAGAAGAGAGTGAGCCTAACAGAATGTTTCTATTCCAATATACCAAACATTTTTCACATACAGTTTTAATAAAAGGACTTTTTTTTTTTTTTTTAATGCAGAAAACTCCTAAACAGGCCTAGTACAAAATTTTGGGGATTTTTTTTAATTAAAAAAAATTTAAAAAGGATTGACTGTGGTAAGTTTTTTCAAAGCCTTAATTAAAATTTTAAGTGGTGGTTTGGTTTTTTTTTCAGTTGATATCTTACAAATATGGCAAATACCCCCACCATCCCCCAAGATTTCTAGTGTGGAAATACTGTGTCTGTAGTTTACATCAACTTCGATGGCAGCTGTGCAGATAATCTTGCCTTTTAGTGTATAGAGTATATCACAGTACAAGAAGTGCAGACTGTCACTTGACAGACTGTTTCAAAACAGAAAATAAACAGTAACAGCGTCAAAAAATACTTCATCTAGGCTGATTGGGTTCAAAGTTTGGTGCAAATCTGAAAGTATATCCAGTATTTAGAGTGCACATAATTTAGAGTTTTTTAGTTGGATTCCATTTGAACACTTTGTTATATGTTTACATCTCATTTTTCTTATTCATTTTTTGCTCTCTGATGTCTTTCTGTTTTATAGGTCAGCCTTTTAGTAGCAGAAGATCTGTCAAGGTAAGATCTTTTGAGGCTCTAGCTTCATAAAGTAGAAGATGAAGTCCAAAGTATAGTTGACAATGCTGTGAAAGAGGTGGAAACTGAAAAGGTGAGAGATGCCTATTTTTTCCTTCCATTTTTGTAGAATAGTATGTAACAATCTTATTTGTTTAATCAAGTTTTGTTTCAAGAAATTCATTATAGAATTGAATAGTTTCATGTGACTTAACCTAGGGAGCAAAATTCACTGCTTAGTGAAACTAACTTCCTGTCTGTGGTGTAGTTTACCATCACTGTGAATTAAATATAATTTAATTAAAATTCTCAACTCAAAATATGAAATGTGATATGTATAGACAGATGTTATTACTACTCTTCTTGTTCCCAGATTTTGGCAGAAATCAGCCATACATGCACTACCATCAAATTTTCTTACGAAGAGTCTCACAGGAATGGAGTTCCTTTATTAAAGTCAGATGAACAGCTGCTTGAAACTTTAGATAGCAATCAAATAAGGATTTAATTAATAGAAATACTATTAGTATAATCAATATTATTCACTCCCTTGGTACACTTCGTTAGTTAAAACTTTTTTCCTTATTCTTTATTGCAGAGAGATATGTTTTCTCCAGATGTTAGTCCCAGGAAATCAGATGTATGCTGTGTAACTATATATATTCTAAAAAAAATCCTGTCTCTGTGTAGGAGTTAATAAAATTACAGCTTTCTAAGCTTATATTTTCTTAGATTTTTTTTTTAAATCATTTAATAATATGCTGTCCATTTTCAGTGTTTAAAGATGTCTTCTATTATGTTATATGATAATAATAAGTTACAAGAGAATTTGCTAAACTTTTATTAGCCCTACTTCCTCTGTTTGATTAAATTATTTTGATTAATGCAGTTTTTCACTTTTTTTTTGTTTTTCTAGGTTCAGATGCAGTTTATTCTGGAAAGTAAATAGTGGCATATTTCATTGAAGAAGGTGAAAGGCTGGCAAATTAAATTAAACATGGCAAATTCTGTCATTTCCATTTGGATGGAAGTTCAAAACACATGTTCTGATCTAGAAAGTATTTTCTCTGTCTCTGAAGATACCAGAAGCCAGATTCCAGAAGATGCAAACAGATTTAATGAAATCAAGAGACTTCAAAGTTAGTAGAGTTAGTGGTTTATGTCTATTTGCATCCTATATCTGAATTATTTAGAATGGGTAATGAAAAAGATATTTTTAAAAATAAAAATACCATATTGATGGTTTAATTTGAATACTTCTTCGATAAACTTATTTCCAACACACTGAATTAACATTATTATGAGAGTCTTGGGCTTACTTGGGAGAATATCGGAAGTAGATTTTTTTTGTTTTATGCTTTATTATTAAAATCAAATTATTTGCCTTGTTTTCCTTTCATATGGACTCGCAGCCTCAGGTTGATATATTGTCACAAATCATGGTTTGTGACGAAGTTCTGCAAGTCATTCCTTCACATGACTTTAATATTTTCTTTTATTTATTCTTTGTTAGCTTTTTAACCTCCTGGAGTCACACAACGATATGATACTTCTGAATTACAGAAATCCCTTCTGCTAAACTCAATATCATTTAGGACAGTGATAGCTGAAATACAAGTTAATGGTCTGTTATTTATTATTGGCCAGAGATAATTACAGCAAGTAACCTAAACATTTGAAGTTACACAAAATACTTCATCTTATTTGTTCATTCAGACCAAAAAAAGTCACTGAACACTCGCTTAGAAGGAGAATAACTCGTGTGTTATCAATATACCTGTAATTCATCCATGTATACTGGGGAAGTTCTCATCATGTACATTTCTGATAAGCTATGATAATGATGTATAGGGAAGTTCTGTGTTTAAAATTTCAAATAAATTTCTAATTGTTTAAATCTTCAAACAATGTGGGCAGCAGCATGTCTAACTATAGGCAAAAAAAAAAAAAAGAATTATTCACACCTTTGTAAAAGTTGAGAACTCTGTTAAGAACAGTGAAACTCTTCATGGCATTTAACATGCATAAGTTTCTTCATGATGCATGTTAGAAAAAGCATTGGGCTTGCACGCATAAGAAGAATTATTGTACAAGTTAATGCTTCTGTTACAATCTGTCATTTTTATTTTGTTAGAAGAGATCTAATAGTATAATCAATGGTATTTGCTTTCCTCTGGTGCGGTTCTCTCTGTTCATCTGTTCAGTATAAACACTGTCAGAATAGGTGTTTGTGGATTTTTTTTTTTTTTCTTTTGCCATTTAAGAAATAGAACCTAAAACAAGCTGACAAGGTGCCTTTTTTCATGGTGCTTTTCTTGTCCCAGTGTAGTAAACAGTATGAAGTAGAAGAATATGAGGGGAATTCCGCACGTTGTGATAACTTCCTTGCACTTGGGTACTGGAGTTGGTGATTGACACAGCAAATACACAAAATGTGATGGAAGCTACACCAAGGCAAAGGTGTATGCAAAATTTGAAGCTTTGCAGCACAGGTAAAATTTTCAGCATGATTATGAGTTGTTTGAAAGTGTAATTCTGGAACAGTGAGGAAATGAGAGCTGTCAGGTCACATTTTCTTCTTGTATGGGTCTGAGATGATCTGATGATAATATTTTTGTCATTTATTTCTATTTGGCATACTCATTTTTTAATGATTTTTATATGATCAATTACGTTTGAAGCATTGGTTCATTATTTATGGATTGCATGATGTAAAAATTGTCAAAGGTCTTAAAAATATGTTCATTTTGGATCAAATTAATTTTCTCCCCATCCACAACCTGGGAGCTGGGAGTCTTTCATGCTTACAGCAGGGGATAGTTGATTGTGTACAGCAAAGGTCCTCCTTCAACACCCTTAAAGGTATGCCTTGAACTTCCCAGTGATGTTCACTCTTCCTACCTGTAGAGACAATGATGTTTGGAGTCACAGCCTGTTTCTCCCTGCAGGAAAAAGTTATAATAGGCAGTTTCAAAAAAACCCACAAACCTGTTTTTTGAGTTGTCACTTTTGTTATGAGAGATACCAAGCTAATAGCTAAAGTGCATCAGTCACACAAAATGTGTAGTTTTCCTCTCCAGATAGGCACGTAATTGTGTATTTTGATTCTTAATGGTTTTTGTGTCAATACCAACATGTGTTTTCATGTTTATTATAATACATATACATAAAAGAAAATGTGTGCATCTTAAGAAAAGTGGTCACATTGCTCTCCCATTTTTTATTTTTGGGGTTTTAAAAATTTATTTGCAAGTAACTGCCCTGTCAAGTAAGAATTTTTGGTTTTATTGCTTACTTTAGAAGCCTGGATTCTTGAGAAGCTTGAAGGGGAATTTCTGCTTAGTCAAACTTACTTTTTCAGGGACTTTCCTGGCACCATTCCGTTCTCTTGGGTTCCTTGGTCTGAATGAATAAAAAGAACATGTTCCCTTTCAGTTTCTGGAAAGGAAACGTGTAAGGCTTACCACCTTATCTGTTCCTTACAGCTGTATCCATTGTTATTTTAAATTAAAAGTGGTTTTATTGTTCTGTTTTACTGTTTGGTCTGATTTCTTCCTTAACTGGGAGAGAATTCTTGACATTAGGGTGATTAAAAGCATGCATCATTAAAATCTCTGTCTTCTTTTCGGACTTTGTGAAAAAGCTCTGGCTGAATATTTAGAAACCAAGTGCATAGCTTTTCCTCACTTCTATTTTCCTTCTTCAGCAGACTTGCTAGACATCCTTTCAAAATGAATAGAGCCAAAACAGGTGAGCCTCCTTGCATATAACTGTACTTCATTTTGACTACAGAAGGGCATGTTTTCCAGCTAACCATGTAAGGAGACAGCATCATAGAACTGCACCTTTGTTTCTGGGTGTTGATTTACTTTACAAATAGGAACACTCTATGTAAGGAAGGTAGGAAACATTTTCCCCTCAGCTAGTACAAGTACAAGGTGTTCAGCAAGGAGAGAGAAACCATCATTCTTGAGGAAAAGTGTTACAAATCCTGTGCTGTCTCTTCCTGGAAATGTAGCCACATGCAATTTGCATTTATTTGGATTCTTGGATTGTAGGTTTGCAGGAATTAAAAATGGAAAAGGTCAATGAGATCATCAAATCTATTCTCCTTCTGGTCCAGATTGATCAAATTTCAGGCATGCTATGCATCGTGATGATAAGTAATACTGAAAGATCTGTGATCTCTGTTAGGCTGTTACTAACTGAGCTGCTGACCATTGTACAAGGAATGTTTTTGTAGCTCCCCTTCTGTTTTCCTACCTCGAACAATAATCTGCTAGGTTTTGTGACACTTTGAGACCAATTTATATAAAAGCACAGGCATTTTGATGTATTTCAGAAGCTTTATACTATGTTATCTACATGCCAGATGATACTCCTGGCCTCAGTGGCTATCCAGCCATGGCCATTAATTCTCTGAGTGCTGGTTATTGGTGTGTCTCAGGCAAAACCTTTTTAGATGCAGTGACATGTAACAAAAGAACTGGTACTTTCCAAGAGGATGAAGGGCTTGTGAGGTTTGAACACTAAGCCTTTCCAAACATGATGACTGTTTCAGAGCTTCTTTGTATAACTAAGTCTCAGTGACTTATTTCATTCATTCATTGCTCTGCACTGTATATAAGGAGGAGCAACCAAACAAATCTGCTGTTCTAGTTACCGGGCATCGAGCATACTGGTGTGTAGACAGTGATCTTCAAACTCCACGGTCTTTGGAAAGGTGTGGAGTTACACAGGACCTGAATCAACAATTTGTGAAATAAGCATTAGCCATATTTAATAACAATTTCAAGACTTCCCAGTTTTATACTGAGCTACCTCTGTCATTCAGCTGCTTCTGATGACTGACAATAGTGTAATCCCAGATTTTTCCATAAAAACCTCCTGTGTAGTGATCATGTAACAGTCAGCATCACCTTGTCAGTCTGTGGCACCAGGCAAATCAGAAGTACTCCTCTTTTATATTCAGTTGATGTAAGTGTGCAAATAGTAGGGGAAAAAATGGGGTTTAATTTTTTTTTTCTTTAAAAATTAAGAATGAAGTGTTGATTAATCACGTGGTCATTTAGTGCATTTTACTTGCTAAGATCAGTTGAAGCACTATGTGCTGAAAGCACTAGAATAAGAAACACAATTGTAAGATTGGTGTAAGGAATTCATGTTACCCAATTAGTTGCTAAAAACTGTGTTAAATTTTCTTGAACCACAAAATCTTATTGTGTATAGCAAATGTTAGCATGGTGATCATCCACTTTAATAGAAATAGGCATTAACGTAGTGCGATTGACAGAAATCCAAGGTAAATGCTTTCCTGACATGTCTGGTGGTTTTGGGTGCAAGTAGCCCATCATCTTACCCAACTTTTTGACAACATTGCTGATCTTGAATTTCAAGACAATATAGAGGAATCTGTAAATACTGCCCTTGGGATGTACAGCAGAGAAAAGGAATACGTTCCATTCTATGAAGGGTGTGGATGCCGTGGTCAGGTATTTTGAGTTATGTGAAATTTCCTTTATAGATTTTACTCTCTTTGGTGTGTAAATGAAATAGACACTTTCAAGGCATAAAATGCTGCTTTTAAAAATATAAATTTAGAAAAAAAAAATAAAAAGCCCCTCAACTTTTTTTTTCAAATTTCAAAACATTTTGTGGCACAAACCTGTATAATAAACTAATAATTTTGTAGATTGCCTAGATGTCCCTTGTACATAAGATTTATGGGGTTTTTTTTAATAAGTGTAGAGCGCGAAGTGTTTAGGAGCAATGAAAAAAAAATTTACTAGAAGCCACAGAACTGATGAATCCTGTGGTCAAATGTTCCATTTATCAGACTTCCTCTCTTCTTCTGTCCTTTTATTTAATCTTCCATTATACTTTCAGATCCCTTCTCTCTTATCCTTTAGATACACACCTCTCCAGACCTCCAGTTCTCTCCTGTGTCCCCTATCAGCTGAACAGTTTTATCTGGTTTTGAGCCTCATATTTGCTAATTGGCCAGCCAGTATGTGCTCTAACTGGGTAGCGGTAGGTCAGAAAGAAAGATCAGCAGCTTCTGAGACAATAACTTATTGTTCTCAGAACAGTGCTGAATGGATAAGCATTCACATTGCATAAAATCAATGTTGCATGTGGTTCTAATGATTGATTGTCTCAGCAGGGAGGCCCCAGACTGAATGGACAAATATATGCAGCTTGCCTCTTAGAGACAGTTTCTCCAAGATACAGCTACGTTTGAGCACATAGAGACATGGGAAAGACTGTATTGTCTGTGTTTACTCTGTCTGTGAACAGAAGAACTTCAGACGCTTATATTTGGAGCTCTAAGGCAGTATGCTGTGTGTTCAAGTCAAATGGATAAGTAAAACAAAACAATGTCTGGTATCTTAGTAATTGGGAAGTGCTCCTGATCTAACTCCGCCTGAAGAGGCAGTATGAGAGAGAAAATGAAAGAAAAAACTCACTCTCATTTAAAGTTTGTAAAGAATGCTGATGTAAAAAAAATCCTTTGTAATGACTAATGAGATGACCTTCCTATATTGTTAGTATAAAATGTACCATTTGTGTTACATGCATAATTTTATGCATGTTTGAGGGTTTTTTTCTTCAAAAGCTAGAGTCTTGGTTGCATCATCTCGAGGATATGATACACAAGACAGTGCCCCTCTGCATCATGGAGGTGATGCTGGCCTATGAAGAGAAGCAGAGAGAACAGTGGGTTTTTGACTACCCAGCCCAGGTTGCACCTACTGGTTCATGATTGTGGTGGATTTCAGATGCTGAAATGGCATTCAGTAGGTTGAAAGAGGGCTTGGCTTCAGCCCTGAAGGATTGCCACAAGAGGCAGGTATGGATATCTTATTTTTGTTTAATTCAATTCAGTGAAAATTAGTACAGTGTGAAAATGGCCTCATAAAAGAAATGAGTGAAAAATTTAGTAATTTCAATGCTGTAGTAAATTAACTGCTATTAACACATACTGAAAAAATAAATACGCCTTTTGCTGCTTCCATTGCTGTTATCTCACGAGCATTGTAATCACATCTTAATGACTAGGGTTTCTGTAGGATCATTCTGAACTGAGACGAAAGGTAAAAGCAAAGATACTGCCAAACATTAACATTATGGTGTGTCAAGAACAGAGTATGCAATCAATACATATACAAATACTAAACATATATTTGTGTGAGGAAGACAAAACTGTTGGTTTTATTTCTGTCAAACCAGTTTACTTCTGATATTACTAGTTGTAGTGCCCCCTCAGAATAGCACCTTCTGCAGTTTGATTTTTGCTTTGCCTTGTTTACCTCCAGCTTCTTTTGCATGTTTTTGTCCTGGTGTGAGTATTGTTTCTTTATGTATAAACTTTAATTTTGGTTTTCTTTTCAACCTAGAAAATCTGCTGAAGGGAAATATGAAATAGGAAAGAAACTTTAAAAAAGGAAGGAGGAATCTGATCCCTGTAATAGAGAAGGTGGATAAAGATTAATCTTTGTTTGCCATTTCTTATAAAATAAAAGCTAATAGGCACTACCTGAAGCTGTTAGGTAGCAGACTTTAAACAAAAGAAATACTTCCACATACTGTACAATTCAAAATATGGAACTTTTGGCTACAGAATGACAGAAGTATAAAAAAAGCCAAATGAAAGGTTAGCCAAATTTTGGTCTAGTTCATAGCTATTAAATATGATGATAAAGTAAGTAGAATAGTTTTGGGGGGTTGGGTGGTTTGGCTTGGTTCTTTTTTGTTTGTTTTGTAAATTCTGACTGCTATGTCTATAGCAAATTATGGCAGGTATTCCCAGGATATTCTTGTCCTGGAGTTATTTTTTATATTCCTTTTGTATTTTTTAAAATAATCTCTGCTAGCTTCTGTGAAAGGCAGAGACAGATCCATGATGAACCTTCGTGTGATCCAGGCAGGCCATGTTTCTGTGTTACTTTTCAAGTAGAGCAGAGCGCTGTCTCATGCTGTTGCTGCTTCCTGAACCTGTGATGGGGACTTTAAAGTGCTTCTGCTTTAAAAAGAGTGGACTAGGAAAGGTCATCTGAACGTCTCTGCAGATAGCAGCTCACTGCCATAGAGAAATGGAGCTTTGGGTGTGTTTAAAGGAAGGTACCAGAAATATTTCAGGATGCTAGACAATTTCATTCAAAATGTTGCTATTGATATCTCCCTTTGTGATATGATAAAGAAAAAAACAGGGAGCTCAGTGAAATTGCCTTCTGGTTTTATTTTTGTGAGCATTTTCAAGCTTTAGACTGATTCTCAAAGAAATTTTTTTTTTTGCATAGAATATTACCTTCTGGGCCTTTAGCTCTGTCTCAGTAAAAACAGAACCAGTAAGTGGTTTTGTATATTATATAGCTATAATAGAGAAGGTGTAATGTTTAAGGTCTTACTAATTCACTGCCTGTTTTTAAGCCAGAATTTTTAAACATGTACAAGCATAATTTGTCTCACACTAGCTACCCAGTAAGTTTTATCTTTCTAATGAAGTTACATTTGCTGCCTCAGAATTACATGCAGTAGCTGTGTGTGGTTTTCTTTATTATTAATATGAAACCTGAAAAATTCCTTTGGGGCTTTCTACTATGGAACTCAGTGACTCTGTATAATCATTTATGTCATATTTTGTGATCTTCCCTTCATTACTTTGCCTATTTTTAAAACGTTAAGTCACTGATGTTTCCTAAAGTCTATTCCAATAAATATTCTCATGCAATTAGTACAACTTTTGCGGAGTCTGGTGCATATATCTATGGAGATTGTAACCAGAAAATTTACAGTTTGACTTCATGCACATCTTCTTATTCATCTATTCCTCCTACCTTGCCTAGCTGACCATCTTCAGTATTCGTGCTTGTCTGGATTGTCATTGTTTTGGAGGTGGTTCAAATGTCTGTTTAAACCAGGGCTTCTTCTGGAATCTCATGTTTAAGATACAAGCTATTTTTTGTGGCGATTTAATTAATGACTTAAGCATAAATAATTTCTAGTAGCAATAATGGTAGATGGTACTAGGATCCATCTGGTCTTAGAGGGCTACCTAAACCTTTTCAGGTCACTCAGCTAAATGCTCTTATTACTGTGCTGCTTGGAGAACTTTCCTCGGGTGATCGGCAAATCATGACCTTTTGCACCATAGATGTGCACACTGGAGATGTTGTAGCAAGCCTTGTAATTCAGAAGGTATGTGTTTGGATTGGTTGCATTTTACATGCACAGTTTTAGTGGTTCTGACTAGAATTAATATTACTTAACCCAAATTTGGATCTGGATATGCATGTGGGCACCAGAATGGTGGAGATGGAGTAGGTATAATCACAAAGACAGTCTGTTTCAGAGCTCTGTGTTGTGCCTGTGTTTTTATGGGCTACCATCTTCTGAAAAAAAGTCCTACCTAAAGAAAAATGTAGGTGTCGACTTTTACCCTATTTCTGGGAACGCATTAAATTTTAGGAGGTTTTCTGTGAGCAGGAAGATACTTCTAAATTTCAGACCACAAAACTGAGGGCAGACAATCCTTGGGCAATCTGAGCAGCTTTTCCAAATGTCTTGTTATTTTGCTTTTAATTATTCCGTCTTCAGTTGTTTACAGTGTGTTTTGCTCTTCTTTTGGAGGCATACATGTACATCTCTAGAGAAAGACACTCCTCTGCTCTGGTGACTCTTTATTATTTTGAGTGTTTATTTAAACCAAAGTGCTTTATTTATAATTTTGTTCAGGTAAAAATTAAGGTGGCTGGCACATGTTGCTGGTTTGAATGCACAAAATGTTTCACTGGATGGAGATTGAAATAGGAAGGAATTCTCATTTTCCTCTGACCTCCTGAGCCTCAGAAATAAAATGAGTTTCTAAGGTAGCGTTAAGACAAGAATAAACAAGGCTTGAGGAGTAAAATGAAACTCATTCTCGTCAAAGTAATGTCTACTCCCGTGCAAAGGCTGCATTGTTTGTAAGGAGAGGTCTTGGCTTAATAAGTGGCAATGTGTTCTGCTGCAATAGCTCTATTAAAAAGATCTTGTATTACACTTGCATCTGTATGAAAGCACAGATGCCTCGAGGTGCGTCTAATCCTTTATAATCAGTTGTAGTAGTTATTATTCATAAGTGTCCAGGAATGAGGCGTGAGACCTACTGATGACAGCTGTAGCTTTATGATGGGTCTCAATTCTCTCATCTGAAGAGCTCCTACCCGGCATAATGTCTCTGCAGTGGCTTTTTAGGTCATCAGTTCCTGAGCTTTTGCTTGGCTGTCACAGCTACACCGTAGATGGGATGGTGCCCAGAAACACTGCTTTGCCAACATGTGTGAGCTCAGTTTCGGTACTTTTATGAGTCCTTGAGAAATACCCCTCGGCTAATTATTACACCTTTGACTGACAGGTAGTGACTGTTACTAGTAACAGTGTCTGTTTTATCTCTTTCACTGAATGAAAAGTTAAATGTTTCTTAGAATTTCAATGTTCTTTCATACCTCATGTATTTTATAAGGTTATTAAGACACAATATCTCTGAGCATGTGTGTGCAGGTAGGTGTGCATACTTAAGTAATGGTATAATTTTATGTTCATTACTTTTAAAATAACTGAAATATTTCTTGCATAACAATGGATATATTCGGTGTCTAGGCTGAAGAAGAATATGAGTGGATCTATACCAATGTTAATCAGTTTTCAGCAAAATAATTTTTGTTTGTGTGTTCTAAAGTCCAAACCAGTACTTTTTTTTTCACACCACGTACAATGAAGCCTTTCTTCTGTCAGTGTTTTGGCTCCAGAATGGTATTTCTTGTCGAAACTCGTGATCCAGAAAGATGCACCCAGCAATCCTCGTTGGCTTCATGCTTATGACGCTCAGCTGTGGGCTGAGAGTCTCGATTCTGGGCTCAAGTCTTTGAAATAGGCAAAGTGGCAGCTACAGCCTCCTGTTTCCTGTCCTGTGTGACCACTGATGGGACATTCCTTCTTGCTAAAAAATGTTCATGTGGTTGTTTTTCATATCTAAAATAAACATTTTCCAAGTAGTGACACATCATGAACAATGAAAGAGGTACATTTTATTTATGACATTAAATTATAATGAGAAAGTGGACTCAGTCAGAATCACCCATGAAACATAAGATTTGGGAAAAAAAAAAAAAAAAAACAACCCACAAAACACCTCCCAACACTGTAGATGTTCCTTGCAGTGCTAACAATCACTTTTCCTGTGTTCAGGTGTTACATTACTCTAACCCAGTCTCTCCACCTAACAAGCGGTGCTGCTGCAGGACCAGCCAGCACAGTGAAAACGGAGACCACCAAAGATCTAGGCTGTGCCCTTGGTATGGTGGTGTATGTCTTCAACTGTTCTAGCAGATGGATTACGAGGTGAGATGTTCTGCTAAGCAGTATGGAAATTGTTGGTTTGTTTCTTTTTTCACATGAAGTATATTGGAAATTGTTGCTTTCAAGAAAAAAAGTTAAATCTTTTGCTTTTGATGTTAGTCTGTAGGGAATATCTATAAAGGTTTGGTCCAGACAGGAGTTTGGGGATGCGTTGGGAATTAATTTGCATCTTTGTAGAAGTTCTGCCAGTGGTGGCAGTACAAGTAAAGACTATCCACAATGCAATTAGGAACAAGAGAAAGAAGTATTTTAGCAGTGCTTCTTTATTGTCCTTTGCAGGCTGTACATACCAGTAAAATCTTCTGAAGTTCCTCTGAAACCCTTTGTAAATGCATTGATGGAGTAGATGGTAACACTAAATCACCTGTGTAATATACTACCTTAAAATAACTTTCTCTTAAAAATATAACAAAAAATGCAAGTGACCTTCTGTCCCTACTGGAGTCCAGTTAAAGCACTGCTGTTGAAATTCTGGTCCTGTTCAAGTCCCACCATGTGAAATCATTGCATCATAGGGTGAGAATTTTGGTGGACTTCAACTTGGCAAGAAGTCTCAGGGATTCCAGAGTTTCCCAGTGCTTTTGATACATGCCTTGTGTTTCCACTGTCCTGTGTTGTCCTTTCTCTGCTTCCTTTACTCAGTGCTGTCTTCTGGCCTTTACAAACCCACAGAATCCCTACGAGTCTCATTTATTCGACATGTTTCAAAAGGTAATTCTTCTTATAGACATACTACAGCCATACACACTGTTTGTTGCACTAACAGTCCAGTCCTTTCCTTCTAAATTCAGTGCCAGCCACAGGAGATACAGATTAGCTAAAAGCTGGTGCCTACCAGGGAAATGCCTCTGCTTAGCTCTGATATACTCCTAGGCATTTGCTTTTGGTCACTGTGAGAGATGAGATTCAGGCCCAGAGGCACCCCTGTCATCTGACCTCTCATGGTTAGTTTTGTATGATGCAGTTGTTTACATCTAATCTAGCTGTAAAATTGTTGTTACCATCTTTCTTATAACAGGTTTTTATTCCTTGGCGAAAACATTACATTGAAGTAATCAGTTGGAATATTTATTACCATGAACACAGGATATGCAGGTCAGACAGAACTACCTGAAAACCTCAAAGATCTGTTCAGGCAAGTATGCTATAATGTACTTTGATGGTATACTAATATATCAAGTTTATATTTAGAGTACACATCCCGCCTAATGTTAGTAGCCTTGGTTTGCAGTGAAGTGCAATTTCTGTTTGCTTCAGAATTGCTGTGAAAAAAATCAGTACTCACGTTGTGCCTGCCTGTACACTGTAATGACAAGGGAAATTAAATGTATATCTTGCCGCCTTTTTTTTTAGTCTACTTAAAATTTTAAAGGTACTTTTAAACTTATGAAATGTACCTAAGTATATGCAAGAATATTCACTGTTTTGTGGTAAATAGGAATCCTCACTGATGGTTTAGCCTAGTAAAATGACCCTTTGGAAAGTGTCTAGCTATCATATTCTTCCATGGGTGTAGGCATGCAAGTGGTCATAGATGTTTCACAACTACCAGCTGAAAATGAAGCCACATACTCTTGCCTATTAAGATATTTAATAGGTGATTGTTGAGAAACTGTGAAAAGTATAGCACACAGCAAAAAAATTCATGTGCTTTTGCAGACTGTAGGACAGCCCATTATAAAAAAAAATCTTAAAGTACACACGCTTTATATCTTAACACTAACGTTTCAAGAAAGTTTTGAATTTAAAAGACCTGACTGTATTTTGCATGCTGTACTCAGTGAGTTTGTGTTGAAATGGCACTTCTGAGGGTGAAATAATTCCACAAGCGGTTGCTCTCACATGATGGGCAGTAAAATGGTGCCAATTTATTTCAACAAAATGTTGGAGCTGCACTTTGAACAAAGGTAATGGCCTTTGTCTTAAATGGTGTAGGGCTTGCTTAAAAAGGGTTGTCACTTGAAATCCTTGCTCTTGCATTAACACTTTTCACCGATTTAATCAAGAATTGAAAAAAAGTGATTCTGTGATTTCATTTTTCAATGCATTGAAGTTCAGTGGGGCAAGCTGCAAGGCATTGCCAGGCTGTCTGAGGCGGCACAAGTATAGACATGCTATCTGGGATCTGCTTCTCTGAGCAGTAAATCCCTTTGATTTTCAGAAGATAGAAACTTAAGGCTGAAGTAGGCATCACCATTGCTTCTGTGAGCAAGTTGAAACACAGGTACTATTTTCTTCTGTATTAAAAGTACATCAAGGTTTTGGTGTATTTTATTATTTCTGCTTCAGCAATGGAATTCCTGACACTGTATTCCTTCATGCTTTCACTGCAGAAAGACACAAGGTCTGCTAAAGTTAGAAAGCTGTTTGCTCAGGCACATCTCATCCTCTTGCCAATCAAGCATTCTACTTCAGATGGCAGAACTGGGTGGCAGCAGCAATTAACTTTCTGGTTCTTTGAGCCTAAATTACAATCATTTTTAACAAGCAGTAACATCTGTTTACAAGGAGGAGGTTAGGATTTGAATTCATGTGCCTCTGCAAAGGCTGTCACTGAGTAAGACCCTATAGTTGGTTCTTAGCAAACATTAGAGGGGGATGCATCCTGCTTCCCCAGAAGTGGTGGTTTTTTTTAATATTTCACAACTTAGCTGTTGCTTTACTAAGCCTTCTCATTAATTGTCATCAAAGAACACTTCAAGGCAAAGCAGGATTGGTGCACACCAAGGGAATGATGTTGGGCACCCCCTCACATCAGAACCTTGCACAAGGGAGAACAGGGTGACAGATGCCCCATCCACCTGTGTCTGTGCAGTGTGGTTGACACCCTTTCTGTGTTTGGACGGAATCAGCTGCCTTGGCAGACGCGTCTTCCACAGTCAGCTAGATGTGGTGTTTGACAAGAGAGCAGGAGGGATCATTCTCTTAGTGGATGTTTTCATCTCTGAGTGGACTACCAGAGAATGGAAAATGCACATGATAGATTTTTGTTGTTAGTTTATTATTTTTGTTGCTCCTTTTTTTTTTTTTTGGAAGAAAAGAGTAAGCAATATGAAATAATACTAATTTACAATGCCTCTACTGAAAGATAAAGTAAAATTATTGCTTTATTTGATGTGCTAGTATGTTTATTTGTTTGTTTGTTTAATTTTCCAAATGTATTTGCTACATAAAATATTACCTTTACTTGATTGTTACATAAAATAAAAAGCCTTTGGAATCAAAGTATGAACTGCTACATTTGTGACTCAAGAATTCAGCCCTATAGCTGATGTCTGTAATAGCTCTTACCCATTGTACAATGCACAGGAAAGGCAGGAGGTAACTGGTAAAGGATTAACTCCACATATTTGCCACCTAATGAAATCTCACAAGGGAGAGAAGATATATTAAATACTACTAGCCTGAAAGTTCTAGTGCAAGCAATTACACTATTTGCAAGAAGGGTATTGGTTATGGTAGAAAAGCATATAATTTTTTATAATTGACTGCAATACATATGGCAGCCCTTGTCTGGGCTTATGAAGAAATCCTTCTTAGGGAATATAGTTAACTTAAAAGTTGTTTAACAGAGGGGTGCTTGCTCTTTTTCTAGACTGTATGTTATTGTTTTCTGTCTGAAATACACTGCTGGACTGAAACACTGGTCTTAATTTTGTCATATTTAAATGTGAATGGGGAACAAAAGCAATCTTTATATTTGTCAGGAGTAAGAAAAGTGCTCTGAGGGACAAATTTGCTGGTTTACAGCTGACCTGAACATAAAATTCAAGATCTCTTCTCTGCTACTATGTAATTTAAGTAGTGATTTTTAATGAGGAAATTGTTTAGCCGTTTGCATTATAGCTTTATGTTACTTTTTTAATTGGAGATTTTTTGTATTTATAGAATTAAAATGGCTGTGGTCTTGTTCTAAAAGTTTGAACTGAAAGTTATATGTAAAACAGAAACAGTGAAACCTCCAAAGGCAACCATACCTTTATATAAAACCATTAAAGCCTTCCAAAAATCAAAGTTCTTTAAAAAATTATGGCATTTTTAGCAATGCCAGGGTGTTGCGCTTGACTTCCAGACCTTGCACAGCTGCTGGCAGTGTCTTCCAGTTTTTGGTGGCGACACCGCTGCAGGCTGTGCCCACTCTACGTTTCGGTAGTACCTGCCTTGCAAGCCCTGTGTTTCTCAGCTGCCTCCTTTATGTACAGCAATGTTACTGAATGCTAACAATCAGCAGTGCTTAATTAGCTCCTTTTACTTTGAAGTAAGGTCCTTGTTAGATTTGACTGACATTCTTAATTGTGACTCTCTCGAGCTCTGTTTCTAAAAATGTTTGCACACATCAGTTATTTGATTTAAGTGACTTATTCTTACTATGTTTAAATACTAATCTGTGCATTTGGATTATGGGGTTTGTTTTCTTCCTTTAGACTCTGTGCCATGGTTGTCCCTGACATTGAACTGATCCCTGAAATTGTGTTGGTTGCTGAAGGGTTTATTGATGCACGTCTGTTAGCCAGGATACTCTGCAGGGAGCTGCTTTCTAAACAGGTGAGGGCCTCTCTAGGCTTCTGGGTTTGATACATGTTAATTATCACATACTCCATACCAGTGCGGCTGGACATTGTATAGGAATGAGGGTTTTTTAATGTATATATAGGCTTGTATTTTATTCTGAAGATGCTTTAAATCACATGTTCATCCATATTAAATTGCCAGATATTAATTTAGAACAAAGTGCCCTTTGATCTTGGACATTCATAATGCATTAATTTTGCATTAAATAACTGTGTATCTCTGCCTCATACCTGGGATAATATTCTATATTTGAAATAAAGCTACCTGTTGGAGAAAAGTCTTAAAGGAGAGTAGATTTATTAGGAATAACATATGTGTATTGTATTTGGATGAATGTTTAAGCTTTCCCAAGTAAATATATTGGAGGATTGCTTGAAAACTGGAAATAAAACATTGCTAAACAAAATTAATTATAATACTAGGAAGAATTCATATTCAGAATAGTTATCTTAAAAATCTGCAACAGACATGGAAGGTTTACCATTTCTTCCCTGTATGCATGCTGTTTACTCGTTTCCAACTGTATAATTTTTCACAAGATGTTCTTAACATTCAGTTTTATTAGTGGAATAAGAACTTGGAGAACCCTTTGACCATAAACTCTAGCAAGCAGGGACATTATGAAAGCAAAAGCATCTTTTTTTTCATGACTGCATAATTTTGAGATTATCTCTAAATGTCCTGAAGTTTTCCTGACACATTTTTGCAATGTTTCTAGAGATAATGAATTTAAACCTTGAATATCTTAAGATATCAATATTGTCTGCTTTACTAGAGAAGGGATTCCTCAATTCTAATGATTACTTTGCCCTGGAGTAATTTTCTGAATTCAGAAAAAATAATTTCTACCATTGTTTGTCCCTTCAATATTAACAATAGTAGTAGTAATAATAATATTAACATTATCATTTGAAGCAAAAGCTAGAATCTTCATGTTTGTTTACGTTTTTAATCTTATTTGTTTTGTTTTTAATGGAAATGAGAGAAATAAAATCCCTTTGACAAAAATTCTGGGCTGCTGCAGAAAATACACTGTGGTTCAGAGAGCTCTGAAAGTATTGGTCCAATATTGGGGCTTTTAGGACTTTTGATATACCTTTAGGGCACTAGGATCCCAGCCTATGAAAACTGCTTCAGAACAGGTTTATCAAGGCTTTCAGTACATATGCTATGAAGGAAGGGACTTCTGGTCCTGTCATGCCATGGCAAATAGCCTGGATGTCTTAAAAGTCCTTGTGCACTAGACAATCCACACAGCAGGCTGCTGTAAAGATGCACAGCTTGCTCTTTAAAAGCCTCTCAGACAGCAAACCAACAAAAAATTGGGGGAAAAAAACCCCTACCCTAAATCTAAGAAAAAGCTCATTAAACCAAGTATATTCCTAAATTTCATATTTTCTTAATCAGCTCTATGTTTAACTTCTTTGCCTAGTTGTACCATTTCTAAACTGTGGAGACTCATTTTCATTGCAGATACTCATCATCTTTAGTACCTCAGGGAAAAAAAAAAAAAAAGGCAGTTTTTTCTTACTAGTGATGAACCGTTCTGAAGTTGAAAATCGCTTTTTATTTTTTCTGCTTTGTGATAAATTTAGTGCATTTGATTCACAGTTATGGAGTGCCACTATCATGGAAGGGATAGTGACAACTGTCAACTTCAAAAATGTCTATTGTTAAGTTGTGGGTGGCTACTGTTTGGGTTGGGTTTTTTTTGTTTTCTTCCTTGCTTTCCTTGCTTTCCTTGCTTTCCTTGCTTTCCTTGCTTTCTTTGCTTTCCTTGCTTTCTTTGCTTTCCTTGCTTTCCTTGCTTTCCTTGCTTTCCTTGCTTTCCTTGCTTTCCTTGCTTTCCTTGCTTTCCTTGCTTTCCTTGCTTTCCTTGCTTTCCTTGCTTTCCTTGCTTTCCTTGCTTTCCTTGCTTTCCTTGCTTTCCTTGCTTTCCTTGCTTTCCTTGCTTTCCTTGCTTTCCTTGCTTTCCTTGCTTTCCTTGCTTTCCTTGCTTTCCTTGCTTTCCTTGCTTTCCTTGCTTTCCTTGCTTTCCTTGCTTTCCTTGCTTTCCTTGCTTTCCTTGCTTTCCTTGCTTTCCTTGCTTTCCTTGCTTTCCTTGCTTTCCTTGCTTTCCTTGCTTTCCTTGCTTTCCTTGCTTTCCTTGCTTTCCTTGCTTTCCTTGCTTTCCTTGCTTTCCTTGCTTTCCTTGCTTTCCTTGCTTTCCTTGCTTTCCTTGCTTTCCTTGCTTTCCTTGCTTTCCTTGCTTTCCTTGCTTTCCTTGCTTTCCTTGCTTTCCTTGCTTTCCTTGCTTTCCTTGCTTTCCTTGCTTTCCTTGCTTTCCTTGCTTTCCTTGCTTTCCTTGCTTTCCTTGCTTTCCTTGCTTTCCTTGCTTTCCTTGCTTTCTTTGCTTTCCTTGCTTTCCTTGCTTTCCTTGCTTTCCTTGCTTTCCTTGCTTTCCTTGCTTTCCTTGCTTTCCTTGCTTTCCTTGCTTTCGTTTTATAATACCAACTAGGCTGTATTTATATTGAAGTCCTAGCTGTGGTTGCAGCAAATGTTCTCAAATGCTACCTGATGGGTAAGCAGGGTAGTTGCAATCTCAGATTTTTTGAAATTGAGGGAGGAGTAGTATGCCTACGCTAAAGAAACGACGACCATGATGTGGTGTGATGCCTGCTAACATAAAGAGATGGTGGCTGTATAACTCCTGACTGCAGCAGCACAGAGGTTAGAGAGGAGCTGGTAATCCATGTACTTAGCCAGCTGCTCTTATAGTAGCTTGTCCCACTGCTGGTTATTCCAAAATTAACCAACTGGGTTCTCTACATGAGCTGCAAGAACACCTTTAAGTGTAGGAGTAGCCTTAAATTTAGAGAGCTGTAACTTCATGGTAGACCTCTCCAAATTGCCAAAGTGACTATTGGGGTACTCCCTTCAATCATACAAGCTGCTGTTTTTCAAATTATTTAAATGTCAAAAATGGTTCAAATTCTGCCTTTTTCTACTTCTGTGTTACCTAGGAAGGAGAGAGCAAGAGTGTTGCTGGAAAAAGGAGGAAGAGGGATTCAAGAGCATATGTGTGATGGAAAAAGTTGTGCTTTAGCATTGGATATCTGCCTTCCCATTGACAGGGCTTAGGGGAGGATATAGGCTGTTTCTCTGCCCTTCACTCACCAAATGTTTCTAGGCTTTTTCTCAAGGCTGAGTACCTATCTGTTTATTTTTTCCTTTTAATTTTGGTGTTATTGCTGGTTGCAGAATATGTTGATATTCTGTCCAATCTTCTATTTTGGAAACAGAAAGGTATTGCTAGCATCAGGTCAAATAAGAAGTTTGGCAGCAATTTTTTCTTGCCTTGTTTCATCATGAAGGCATAGTTCCAATGGATACAATAGTACTTGATGGGGCACATTTTGCCATTTAAAAATAAGGAGCAAAGCGGTGGAATACTAAAAATTAGTTAGTTATACACATTTCACCCTTTGTTTTTTTTCTTTACTAGACTTCCAACACTGGCCTAAAGCCATTGCAAGACTATAACGGAATAAAAAGGTGTTATTTACTCTGTGTGTAAATTGATTGTTTTCTTCGTAAGCACTACCACTTAGTTTTAATTCCTAAAACTAACATGAAATAAAACTTACTTCCATGCTAACATGACTAGTTAAAATGTTTCACAGGACCATTATGACTGGGGACTTCATGCTATCAAGTCAGTTTTGGGAAGTTGTTGGCTCACTGAAGAAGCAAGGAGACGAGAACAGACCTGAGGATCAGGTAAAATCTTCACTTAAAAGCATCTAGGAGTAGGAACTGTTTGTGGTGTTCTGCCTTTTAATAAAAACAGAATCCTGAAGAGAGAAGGATTTAATGCTCTTGCGATACATGATTTGCCATCCTTTTCCAGGCACTTATGTGAGCCTTAAGAGACTTCAATTTACCTAAAATAGTGACAGATGATATCCCAATTTTCATGAGCCTGATCAGTGACCTGTTTCCAGCTCTGGATGTTCTGAGGAAGAGGAACCTGCAATTTGAACAGATGGTTAAACAATCTACCCCGGAGCTTCTCTTGTAGCCTAAAGAGAGCTTTATTCTCAAAGTAAAAGAATTCATTGCCTTTAATTACTCCCCTTAAGAGTTTCAATCAAAATAATTGCAAATGAGTTGTATTAGACATGAAGGTTATTTTTGAGTATGTTACAGTAGTGATAAGGTGTCCTCAATGTCTCGGTATTTCAAAGGCATTTTTTCATGGCAGTAATGCTCTTCAGTATGATAAATATGCCTGTAAGGAAACGCATATCCTAGTCAAAAAAGCTGTCTACAGTGACAAACATGTTTGTTTGTGAACAGTACTAAGCATTTGTACTCAGTAGCAAATTAATTGTTGGTGATTATCTATAGGGAGGAAAGAAGAGTAAGAGAGCAAAAACATAAATAAGGTGTGGATTAGGAATGTGCATGGCTATATGTGAGTTTTGTGTGTTCTGGTATTTCTGTATAATATAATGCACATTCTGCTATACACATTGAAAATATGCATGCACACTCATAAGAACTAGTTCTCTGTAAGCTAAATTTAACCACTAATTTGTTTGAATTTGTTTGAATTACAGGGTGAAAAGGTGAAATTTAGAAACCCTGGTTAGTATACGGTGTGCTTCTTTGGACTGCTAAGAAAGTATATCCTCACCCTCCTTCATGGAACATCTACATTCACTGTATGCGATAGCACACTCCTTACCTTTATTAGGGTATATTGTAAACTGAAATAACCAAGCTGGTTAAATGTGACAGATCTCAGGATTTATAAAGGATTTTCTGCTCTTGTCTATCTTGTTCCATTATCCTGACAGAAGAGTGAAAGCCAATAAGCTATACCTTGGGGTATTATGAACTTTGCAATCAGGCTTCTGTAGAGTATTTTGATTCCTGATAACTGGGTGAATCAGAAGACAAGCACTAAGGAACATGGACGTGTGCCTATTGGACTTTAGCAAATCAGTACGGATGCTTTTCACTAAGACAGAAATCCGTAAGCAGCCAAGCTATTTTCATTCTGTGACTCACAGAACTATTTCTTTGGAAGAAATATATTACTTTAGTGGACTGATTTTATATTTTACTGAATTATAGCTACACAACTGTTCTGAGCGTGGAATTCATTCTGCTAGAGTGATGGCAAAATTGTGATCACTGTTCTGTATACCTGGCTTGGCAAAATCCTACTGGACTGTGTGGCTGTCTAGCAGAATAGGATTTGCTGTCACTTGTTGAAGTAGCTGCATTCATTAATTTAAGCAATTCTCCTCCCATTTTCTGGGAGACAAACAATGTTGCTTGATGCAACATCAGCTTGGCTCAGGCAAATCTACTGAGAAGGTGTAAGTTCATTTTTTCCTGTTAAAGGGCATAAGAATGTGGAGGGGGAGATAATTTTTGTGAATAATTATGTCTCTAATAAGAAGAAAAATAGGGGAGGAAAGGTTCTCACTGTGTAACCCTTCTGTGCAGCAGGTTGTTCAGCTGGAGGAGCTACTGGAAGTGCGTCACTCTGTGCTTGTCGTTGGAAATTCAGGGAATGGGAAGAGTAAAGTGACTGCCTACCTATGCAGTGTGTTTTCTATCTCATATTGTAAAGAAATTGCCATGGTTCTTGCAGAAAATATTCTGCATCTTGCCTTTGCCTTAGGCTGCAGTGTAATTACATGGTGTTCAGGCCACCCAGTCAGCTACATGATGTGCAATGGCAAGCTCAAATATTACAAGCAAATTCTACATTTCATGTGTTGTTTGGATGTCCCAAAGGAAAATTAATTGTGGCACCAAGTAATGAGCATTCAATTTGACACACAAGACTAAGTAATACTTTTTTTTCCTGGAAGGAGAAGCAGGAGGGTTTAATTAGGCTTCTAGACAGAAATAGTGGAATATATTGCCAAAACGCTAGATAAATACTTCTAATAGATAATGTTTGCCCATTTCTGCTACTAAATGTTGGCAGCTGTATGGATTCTCTTCCCCATTCAACACTTTCTATTAGAGAAGATCAATTGCAGGCTACAGCCATTTCAGACTGAGATTCTCCTTTCCTACCCTTAGGCTTAATGGAAATTTGGGGCTAAACTAATACAGAGGCAGGAATAAGTCAAGGTGAACAGCTGACAAAGCACAGGGATTTGCAGTCGAGACACCCACTTCAGGAAGAAAGTCAAAGATTCCTATTGCTTCAAAACTGTGTCACTAATATGCAGTCTGTGCCTCCTCTTTAGGTGCTGAAAGTTCTGCATCACATGTATGTGAACATGAAACAAAAGCCTGTCTGAAATTATCTTAACCCAAAAGCTCTGACAGATGATGAGCTGCTTTATATACCATGTGACCCAAGGATGGAAAGCTGGCAAGTAGCACAGATGTTCTTACTAAGACCTGTTTCTGGAGTCATCATTTTCCATCAGAAGTGGACAATGCCAGACTTTGGAGAAGGTGTTAGAGACCAAATTCTTGTGGTTTTCTGAGTTTTGATACAGTGAGATGTGGGTGCAGAGCACTGGTGGTTATGGAAAGACTGGAGGCAGGGCAGGATGCCAGCCTGAATGATGCTGATTCTGCTGCCTTAAAAGGCAAGTTATTTTCACCCCAGATCCATGAAACCTCCCATATCTCACCCATATCATTAAGACTAATGATATACTCTCCTGTAATCAAAACAGAAAAAGATCATTATGACATAAAATACAGTCATTTGGCTGTATCAAGTGCTCAAGGAAAATATTTTTTTTTTACTTTGAATAACCACCTAATAAGCAAGCAAAGGAAAAAAGCATGGTTTTGATGCTACAAAAGCTTCTTGTTTCAGTGATGCATTAAGTCTTCTGAAGTCTTAATTGCTGTGCAGTGTTGTTATTTAAGCACTAAAGTGATGGGATTCTATTGAAAAAATAGTTTAAATGTCTCCTGTCATCTCTTCGGAGAGATCAAGTTAATATTACCCACGAGGGGCCAAAATGGTTAGTTTTAGATGGGGATATAGATCCCATGTGGATTGAGTGTCTCAACATTGTTATGGTTGATAACAAGGTGAGCAACTGAGAAGCAGGCACAGTGGCTTCACCTCTACCTGTGTTCACATTTTCCTCTTCCTTTATTTTGAGATAGTTTTTCAGTGTGCATTCCTTTTTTCTTCCATTTGTATAATTTCTTTGGTTTTCACTGTTGGTAATATTTTAGCATCTGTTTAATGCATTATGTCTTGCTTGTTTTGTACAACAAAAAGACTTAATGTAGCCTATGTATCCTGTAAGGGTGATTGTGCCTCCTAGTGTACAAATTGATGTAATTCAATATGTCAATCAGGTTATTGAAACTGGCATTTGGAAAGCCTTTCAGTAAAATAGATTTAAGATTTCATGAGTGAAGTCCTCACATCACTGTAGTAAGGAAGGCTAGTGTTGGGAAATCTGAATCAGTCAGTTTAATAACTAGCGGTAGCATCCAGACTTTTTATTCCCTTCTTATTATTTCTACAGCTTAACCAACTTTTTTAGCTGTCTGGAATGCTGTAATGTAATGAAATCCAAATCTAAAATCAGATGTAATGTCAGGAAGATGATTGTAGTTTAGCATTCTGTCAAGCTTTCCTCTTTTAAGAACTTAAATCTGTCTAGTGACATAATCTTTGATTACTCAGCAAGGTACCTGCCTGGGGCTATCCATATAACCTAACTTTAGGTAATGAACAGAAAGTGGCTTTTTCAAGGGACATTTCAGAGTACTTAAGTTTAGGCACCTGCTCTGAATCATTTTCTGTTTATTTCCATTGACACTGAGAGAGACTTCACCTCCCCTGCTTTTAGCAGCTTTCAGGAGAACTCACATTGGTAAAGCAGGCTAGTCATCTTTGGCATGAATCAAACTGTGAAAAACTCATACAAGATCAAGTAAAGCCTTTTGAATTTGTCCTCCTCTGTGTTTCTGAAGTAAAAAAACAGAAACTACAACCCTGTTTGAATAAAGTTTGTTTAGCTAAATTCAAGAAATAGTATATGTGCATGGTCTTGCAGATTATCCTTGCTCCTTTATGGGCCTGTAATAAACACATGCTTGCCCTGATCATGGTTTTGTTCATGTATCTAATCTTGCTTTTGCTGAAAAATTTACTGATGATTTCTAGGTTCTGACCCTTACAAGCAATTAACATGTGCCTATGACTCTGTCAATGCATTTGCTGTTTGAGGTACACTATTTAATAGCTGCCACCCTAGCTACAGTACCCAGAGCTGGTATTCTCTGTCTGAACACCCAGGACATGCAGTGGAATCTGCGAGTATCTGAAAATATTAGTTAGCATTTTTAAGATACGTCTTGAAGATTAATAGGAATAGACTCCATTATTTACATTAATTCTTCCTTCTAGCTTTTATTCTGATAATAATGGGATGATTTAGTTGGTGGCTGTGTATATTCTCAAATATGCAGTTTGGAAAATTTTGCCATCAGTTTTGTTTTTCCCTTTTATGCATACTGCTTAATCAAGGCCGTAGTGAACTGACTGCTTTTTGTAATGCAAATTTGGCAATAGCAAGTAGTTAATAACTTGGTTACTGTTCTTTGACAGCATTTTAATAACTGCCGCCACCTTTGGTACTGTTAAGGACATCAGTTTGCATCAGCTTGACTTTTTTGTTTCTCTTACTTCATTGAATCACATACTGCTCTTTTAACTTGTTTTCTATCTATGCCTCATGCAAATTAATTATGAAAATAATGTTTTCAAAAGAATATGAGTTTCCATGTATAAAAAGGAATTTAGTTGGTCAAGGCACAGTGCATTAAGTTGAAACAGTCCAATGTGATCTTCTCCTTTTACATTTGTAGAGCTGATCCAAAACATTTCTTACAAATTTTAGTAAGAAGTGAATCTTGCTAACATTTGTCAGTTGGTGTTTTTATTTTCAAAAAGTCTTCCTCCTGTTTCATGTCAAAATTCAATTTTGCAGTGTTCTAATGTCATCAACATTTCAGTCACTTCTGTCTGTGTTAGAGTTGTATGCTGTTGGGACAAGAAGCCTTCAGTGCACATATTTCCCAGAGAAATCCTGTAGTAGGAGAATTTAATTAAACAGCATGAGTCTGTACAAGCTGCCCACCTAGGATGATGAGAATCAGAGGACTGGTGAGGACATAGAGAGACAATATGATCTCCCACAGCAGAGGAGTGTAGGGATGGAAACAGTAGGCAACAAACTGCCCAAATAGAATAGCTGTGAATGAGTAAACATTCAGTTTAGACTACGTTTGACTAATACTGTGTGAACATGACCAGGGGTTAAAATTGACTAATCCTTTGGAATCTGGACAGTTAGGCATGTGGCTGCTAACCTGAAGCATGTGCTATAGTTAGCACAATGATAACGAATTTTGTATGTGGTTATAATAGGAACTAGTAGATGAGAAGAGTTACTTTTGTCTTCAATTACATATAACCAGACTTTTCAGCCAGACTTAGTTATATATACTACAGTAGATATCTGCAATGAAAGTTGTGCTGAACCTGCGTGCCTCATAATCCTCGGTTTTACGTACAACTTACTCGTATTTTAAGTAGTCTCTTCTCAAACAACATAAACCAAATACAGAATCTTTGCTCCCACCTGCTTTTTGGTGGTGTAGCCCTTGAAAGTGGGAGCAAACTGTTATCTAGGTCCTTTCTCCCTGCCCTCTCTGAAAGAAAAGATTCAGTCAAGGAAAAGGAGTGTAGAAATGCAGCAGCATGATGACCTTTGCATAACAAATGAATACGTTGTAAGGCTGATGGCACTTATGTCTGGCTTAGAGCCAGTGCAGTAGTATTTGTGCATTGCACTAAAGGCAGTCACAAATAGTTCTCAAAAATCAACAAAAGTTTGCATTTCAAAGCTAGAGGGAAAAAATTTTGTATTTTTTCAATTTCTCTCTGACAAAAAATTGCTTGCTTTCCAATCTGCTCTGCAGATATGTTGCCAGCTGAATAGAAATAAGGAGATAACCAATCCAAAAAGGCTAATTTGACTGTTCTCTTTGATAAATATTTTCCTTTTTACTTAGAACAACTTAGAAGAAGATTTAAAACTGTTACTTCTATTCCTGAGAATAGTATGGTTCAGGTATGCCTTAGGATTAAAACTATATTTTAAGAAATGCATGAGATGAAATTGAGAAGCTCTTCTATATTGAACCTGCACCCTTATTTTGGAGACCTGCAGGGATTCAGAGGTTTCATACTGCAGCAGTCTCCTCTAACAAGAACTGTAGTATGTCTATGGCATGGCACATAATTCCCTGACTTCTGAGATGTTGTATTGCTTCTGTTAGTAATGTTTTAGGTAGCTTAGGGCTAGCCATTTCATCTCCCTGTACAAGCATTCTGCCTCTCTCTAATTAAATGTTCAGTAAATTCATTAGCATTGTTACTTCCATACTCTGATAATGAGGCCCTGCATTATTAAATGTTATTAGAGAATGGAGCTGAACTGTGTTTCATATATCTGATCTGATGTATCTGATATATCTGATCTGATACTGCTTAGCCTTATGTTGACATTTTAAATTTGCTTAATATGCATTGTCATTCTAAACTCTTCTGAGTGCTTGCCTGTTTATAAATAAGCCAGTATGAGAGGAGAAAACTAATTACTGAGTACAAGTGTTAAGAATTTGCCATAACATACATGTATGAGCTGTGTCATCTTCTTCATATACCTTGCTTTAAATAGTGTACAATGAAGGTATTTTGGTATGTTTTATCAGAAGACTGCTTCAAGCCTTTGACCTCTGAAAGGAACTCCTAAAGAAGCACAGCAAAGAGTTGCAGTCTCACTACTTAAATTTAAATACATTCTTGAGGTCACTGTCACCTTCATATGGAATAAGACTCACAGGTCACTTTCTTCACATATTTATTTTTTACAGACACTGTCTTCTCTGCTGGATTGCTTGCTGACCCCTGAAAATGTGCCAAATGATTGCCCCAGAGAGCTCTATGTCTATGCTCTATGTATTTTGTCTTTGCTTGTATTTGGGCATTTGTTGGGGTGTTCTCTCAAGATCAGGTAATTTAATGGAAATGTCCACAGTATCTCACTGTGCTTGAAAAGCAGATTTATCTATGCACCTACCTACGTATTTAAACAGGAATAAATATGTACATGTGTGTGTTCATATGTATAAGTAGGTTTCTACTCACTAATACTGATAGGTGGTACAGAGCAATGGCCCATGCATCTGATTTGTTGGGCTGTAGTACTGTGTACTGGCTATCAGAGCTCATCTGTAAATGAGCTAATTTGACTGGAGGGAGCTGATGGCCTACAGTGCAAGACTGCATGCAGATCATTTACCATGCATAGAGAAGCTGTGTTTACTTAGGGAAGTGTTTCTGCTTGTACTTTTTTATCTATACTAAAGTCCCTGGCAAGCAACAAAAAGTGGTATGATGGTCATGCCTACCAGAATTAAAGAATTTAGTAAATGGCTGCACAGATGTACGCTTAATCTTACCTGTTGGATTTATACTGAGAAATGTAGATATAAGCAAGGCATTATAATGCATTCCCCTTAGTGAGATTTTTTGTTGTAATGCTGCAAGAGGTTTGAAGAAAGTTCTAAAAGTCTACAACTACTTGTCAATGTTTTGCTTAGATAGACCATGATTTCTTGAGAAATATCTAGTCATACTTGCCTACTAAAGACTAAAAAAATACAGTTGGCTTTGCTGCTGTTTAAATTAGATGAAACCCTTGTGAAGGAATAAATTTATACATGTGTCATCCATAGATAAAGGGAGCATCTTGTATAAGTTAAAGGATCAGAAGCAACACATTTTTGCATCAAGAGACTGGGAAGATCTCTTTGGTCATATTAATGTGTTTTCCTATCCTTCAAAAATATTTGCTCCTTTGTGGATGTACTCAGAAAAGTCTTGTCTGAAGCAAGTCATCTCTGTGGTCTCACAGCTATATAAATTTAAACTGAATTTAGAAGTTTTACTAAATAAAGTATTTGGGCTGGATGTGTTATTGGTTACCCTTGGTGAACAGCTAAACACCCGCGCAGCTGCTCACTCACTCCCTCTCCTCAGCAGAGCAGGGTGAGAAAACAGGTGAAAAATCTTGTGGGTCAAGATGAAGATGGGGAGACTGATAAGCAGTTATTCTGATGGGCAAAAGAGACTTGATTTGGGGAAAATTAATTTAATTTGGTCCTATAATTAAAATGGATTTGGGTAGCGAGAAACAAAGGCAAATATTAAAACAAAACCTTTCCTCCTCCTGCCCCAGAAGCTCAGCCTCAGTCCTTTGGTCCTGACTTCTACTTCCCCACTCCCAGCCACATAGGTGGATGGGGTTTTACAGTCAGTACACCGTGGTTTCTTTCTGCCACTCCTTCCTTCTCCAGCAGGAAGGTCTACCCTTGCTCCAGCATGGGCTCTCCGTGGGCTGCAGTCTTTCAGGGCATATTCACCTGGTCCAGCCCAGGGTTTTCAGGAGACTGCAGTGTGGGTATCTGTTCCAGCAACGTGGAGCTGCTCCTCCTCCTCCTTTTCTTCTTCTGACCTTGATGTACTGCTGTTTCTCAGTCTTTCTGCCCTTTCTTGAATGTTTTCCCTGAGACATCACCAGCTTGGCTGAGGGGCTCAGCAGTGAACTGCAGTGGGTCTCTTGGAGCTGGAGGGAACCAGCCATGTCCAGCACAGGGCAGCTCCCATCCTCTCTTTGCAGAGGCCACCCTGCAGCCCCCCGCTGCCAACATCTTGATACCTGCATTCAATCCAGGGTTTAGTCAGAAGGTGGCCTGTCTTTAGACTCTTAAACATCACGAACACTAAAATATTGCTTTGATCATCTTGGTTATTTCATCACAGTCTACATACATATGCATTTAAAAATAAGATATATTTGTAAGTCTGTTTTTCATATGTGCTTCATAGGAATGTCTAGTTATGGAAAATGTACTGTAAATAAATAATGCACCATTTTATAGCTTTCAGTTTACAAAGCAGAATTCAGCTGCTGGTGGCTTAAGAAAGGTGAAAGCAGAGAAGTTTCCATCCCAGGGCACTCTGTTCAATTATTGCTTTGATCCAGAGATGAGGAAGTTCCTGCCGTGGGTGGATAAGGTCCTGAGTCCTGATGTGGATCCAGATGCACCCTTGCGGGTACAGTGCACACCAGTGACACCACATTGAGCATTACTATATTCAGAAACATTTTATGGTCTTGTCATGGTTTCTGATGTCATCTTAGATGTCCTGAAAAATACACTCTCTAGATGAGTTTGAATAAATCCCTGCTATCTGGGCTACATGCCTTCAGTTGAATGTTGAGGATTAATATTAAAGTGATGCTTTTATTGATTTTTATATTATTAAAGCATTCTGAAGACATACCATATTCAATTTGTTAGTGGTTTATACCCTTTTTCCACAGTAGGAGAAATTCAGGCCCCAAATGCATTTAATCATTCAAAATAATGCCCACAGTAACCATACACCACAAATTGAAGCCTTAACATATTTCTATTGCCCACATTATGCACAGGTATTCTTTTGCCAACTAAATACCCTTCAGACTAAGAAAAGTATGTGAGTTTTAGGGGAATCAAATAACTTTATAACCTTTCCGCTATGCTCTTCATCAATTTACATAGTTAGAGTTACATTTGTGGAGTGTGAATTATAGAAGTTATCATAGTATGATATATACCTGTCAGTGGAGAAATAGAAAGCATGAGCTATTAGTTGCAATTGCCTCAGTTTGAGGGTTTTGTTGGTTTTACTCTTTTTCAGTGTGTTTCACACAGAATAATCTTAAATGCTTCATGGTGTTTTGATTGCATTAACTTGTAAGTCTTTTTCTTTTTAAATGCCTAGATGAGTACGAATCTTCCTGGGTAGATTAAAAGTTTGTGGACAGAGAAACATGGAGCTGATGATCAAAAGACATTATCTGTTATCAGCTATCCTGTAACAAGTTCTCTTTGAGGGTTAATATTTGATAGAAAAATACAGAGCTTGAAAAGGAAAGCTTTATCAGGTAATGAAGGTTTTAGGTGCTCACAGTAAGTAAAGCTAATCTATTGCCAATTATTTGCCCTAACATTTTTAGGCATTTTAGTTTTAGGCATGCTGAAAGCCAGGCCAAAAAGTAAATGGAAATACTAATTGAGAAATTAAACTAACTGCCTGTTGCACAAGCCTTTGTTTCTTTACCAGTTTTTGGAAGACTAGCATTCTGTAAATGTTGAGATGGAACCAACACATTTCAGCTACAGCCTGATTTCAGAATCTTCCTACTGGAAGAAATGGAATAAAAATTTTCAAATAGAGATGCTGTATAAAAAGTAATCCAGTAGAACATTTTGTTCTAGTAATTATGTTTGAGAATGAGAGAATGGTGTATCCTGTTTCATTGCTTTTTAGAATTCGGTTCTAGTCAGAGAGAGAGACAGAAATTGCTGTTTGCTTTTAAAACTAAACTGTGTTGTGTAAGTGTTTGATGGTGGTTTTCCTTTTCAATTTCAGGCAATCTTTGTTCACACATCTGAGACTGCACATCTCAAATATTTTATTGATTTACTCTTAACAAAAGACAAACCAGTCGTGCTTGCTGGAAATGCCAGAGTAGGAGTGTTTGTAGGCAATAGGCTTGCTGCTCTCTCTGAAGACTATCTCCTGGCTAACATCCCTCTCAACTATTAAATCACAACATCATCAGTGCTCCAGAGTAAGTTCTATACAGATGCAAGAAACCTATCTTCCCTCAACAGCAAAGGTGAGAAATATTATGTAGTTACTACGATCTCATTCCAGCTGTTGGCTGCTACCATTGCCTGGGTCTTGGCAAGCTCATCGCTTCACAAAGTTGAAAACTTAGTGAAGTTGGGGCAGGCAAGATGAAAGGAGGATGAAACTGTTTGGGGCAAACTGACACTAACACTGTGCTCCCACAGGTTGCTCTGTGCTTGTAGACAAGAGAAAATTTGGCCTTTACCTCTGTTAACAAGAAGCCTTGAGCCAGCTTTGGCTGGTCTGGGTGTCTTTGCATTGTGCTTTGTGTAGATGTACCAAAAAGGATTTAGGCTTGCTTTTGATAGGCTGCATACAATCCTCAGGTAGGGGCAGTTCCTGTCTAGAGAAGTTTGGAGTCTCCATAGGTGAGATGGATGCAGAACAAAGAAAATGTTAATATAACACACAAGCGGAGGGGGCTGTATTTTGGCCAGAAATGTTACACTGGTGGTAGGTTTTGCAACAGGACGAGTCGGACAGTCATAGGCTTATAAAAGCTCTGTGTCTTTTCTGGTTTTTGTGAACAACACAATCAAGGGACAGCCCAGCTGTCAGTGCATATGCCCTCTTTGCCTTCTTTTTCTTTATCCTTGCAGTAACTTGAACTGATACAACTACACAGAAAAAAATGACATGCCCTATTTGCTGTACAGCTTTTCACAGCTGTAAAAAGCACTATAGAAAGGAGTTAATACTCCGGCCTATCCTCTCACATGTCTGGGAGAAGATACAGAAATCAATTTCTCACTTTTAAAAACTGTCCAAAATTTAAGAAGTCTTCAGATTAAAATCTTTATAAGCATTCGTTTGCTTGATGCTTAATTTAACTACTTGTGCAATCAAATTTTTAATTTTCTAGCCAATCTACAGTGCTGCTAATGGATCAAATTGTCACTAGGCTTAAAAAAAAAGTATAAATCCACAAATCCCCATTGAATAAGTTTTTACACTCTTTTTTTCTTTCCTGTCTCATGTTGATTTTGTCAGTATTCAGGTCAGATAAGTAAATACCACTTCCAGTTTACTTTGTACCCTAGTTTATTCTTTGAAGTGTTTCCAAATTCATGTTAGCAGAGAATCCTGCATTAACAGAACTTAATTGCCTTTTGCCCCTCAAAATGAATGGAGAGATTAGGAGAAAAGAAATCTGTGGTGCGTCAAAGTGAGTTCATGAGCTGTTGTAAACTGTCATAGCTCCTATAATGAGGAATTAGCCTTAAAGTTTTCAGGCATTCCTCTGATCAGAGAGAGATTTTTTTTAGCTAATGATTGCCATTCCAGCAACAACCATGACCAAGGCGCTAGAGCACACTTTCCATTGCAAACAAGCTGATGAAAGGAGCTCCTAGGCAGCAAACGTTGGGCATTCTTTTTGCAGGAAACTTCTTAAATAAACCAGATGGGTGAAGTCAGCATCACAGTGGCTTTCTCTGCAAGTGTATCACACCTACAAACTGCACTATGGAATAAAATTTGAGAGTTTATAAGGATTTGCTGTGAAATGGTACTAGTATTCCTTCAGATTTTAAGTCAGTGTTATAAAACATCCTTCCTTCTAAGAAATATTAAGAGATGAACAAAGAAGTGGACTCCTTTGGTTGTCTGCACTCTTCCTTCTGTCCACTGCCCTTCAGCCAAGTCCCTCTTGTTAGATACTCTGCTAGCAAGTCTCTCTGCTAATCACGGAGGGTGAAGAACTGCGTAACAATTCAGAAACAAATATATAGTGTTCACTTTCCATTATGTTTACAGCATTTTTTTGGTGAGTTGTAATGGAATGGTTTTGTACAGTTATGTATAGCTCAAAATGATTGCTTATGTTATTTTTGTGTTTGTGCGTACCAGTGCTTCTTCCTATAAAATTAATTCAAGTGATCACTGAAATATCTTCCTTATGTGTTTTAAGTTATCACTCCAAGCAGTTGTTTGGAACAATTAAATTATTGAATTTTATTTTTTTTTTTAATGGAAAGAGGCATTCACAGCAAATTACACAAATGAGCAATTTAAATTAAGTCTCAATTCAAAAAGAACATCTTAAGAGCTTGTACTTGTTGAAGTACAGTTATTCACTACATTGCCATGTTCCTTGCACAGTTTAGAGGTTAAAAGATTGTTCTTACAGATCATATCACTTTTAATCTGCAGTGTTTTCTGTCAGTTCCCATCTTATCTGTATCCACATAACTTTTTTTGAGGTATCTGCTAGAGTGGGTGAGATTAGCATGTAGTGTTGGGTTTTATTTAGCATTCCCCCAAGGCATATGACTCACCCGCTCTGCCTCTAGAACAGCAGAAAATTTCAAAATGTTACTTGATGGAGGCAGGTTCTGATACAAAGTAATATTGGTTCATTAAGTTTGGGTCTTCAGTAGTACTAAAATCTGGAACAGTGCCACAGAGAAGAAATATGCATAAACATTTATGTACAGTGGAATTTAGTAAATTATATTTCCTTATTGTATTGTAATAAAGCAGTATTTAAAAAAAAAAAAAAGGAGTAATAAATTATAAATGTGGACATTATGTAAAATTTAGATAAGTTTAAGGATCAAAGAGTATTCCTAATTTAGGATTTAAAAGTACAGGTATGTGTGTACCTCAGCTAAAAGAAGGAGAGTATCTTTTTTTACCTAAATTTCTTTAAACTTTTTATATGCACATAGTTTCTGCAAAAATCTTTTTCATTTATGTGGTAGAAAAGCAGGATAAATGCAGTCATGGCTTTTTGCCCCCAAATTTATGATCATCCAGTTGCAAATATGTTGAGGTTCTACATTTCCGTCTTGTCTTCCAGCACACCTTCACTTTTTAGTTGATTATTTTTCTTCTCCAGTCAGTAACCGTGCTTTTAGCTGACTGTGACTAGACAGAAATGTCTTTGGAAGCATTTGTTACTTGAATTGGCCAGAAAAAATTCACTGTGGAGGTTTGTCGATGGTTTATTTCACTGTTTGAAGAATCTAAGATGACAGTACAATACTCCTAATGGAAACTGCTTGCAGTGATGTATTTGTTTATACTGCTTTACCTAAGAAACCAAAAAGTTGTCTGCAAGTCAGAACTGCAGCAATGCTGTGACATACAGCATTCAGCTGTCACTATGCAAGTGCAGTTTCCATTTCCTACAAGCTTTTGTATGTTGCCCAGTTTTTGAAAAAACAAGTTCAAAACCATATGCTTACATTTCACATTTTGTTTTTTATCTAACCCAAAGGATTTTAACATGCAATCAAATACAATGGGAAAAAGAAAGAAGTTTGTAGGCTGCATTTTTTTCCTATTCTACTTATTATACATGGAACTGATAATACTTTTTTTTTTTTCTTCCTCACCCTCCTTTAAAAAAAAAAAAAAAAATAGTAGGTGTATCCTAAATTCATGACGCTCTTGACTGGACAAAAAAAAATATGGGCTAGATACACAAAATTTTTGAGAAATCTTTTTCCTCTTGCATTGAGTGAGAAATCTCATGCATATAAAATCTGAATTAAATTCTCTCCTATGCTGTAAGGGTTGTAACCACCATCTTCTCTAAATGTTTCCTTTGGTTCAAATCCTTGCTCTGAATGAGGCAGAGCTTTTGAAATTAGGCTGCTTTCCAAAGATGAGAGCCCCCGTCACTGGGATGTGCTGAAAAGTTTTCCATGAAGTTTACCTACAACTGTAGTTTCATTTTGTGCAAAACATTTTTGTGATCATTTAGACAACATAAATATGTGGCCTAGGAAGTGAGATGAGACTGTTAGTTTCCAGTCCTGCTTTAATAAATTTCTAATGATTTCTGCAGGTTTATGTACAAAATAGAAATGATGCGGTTAGAAATCAGACTTCCATGGATGATGAAACCTTTCTTGTGAATCTGTGGAATACTTCACTAAGTGGCAAAACTTGAGGATCACATCATACTAAAGTTAAATATTTTAATAATGCTTAATATAAGTGGGTTTCTTCTGTATTTTCAAGATGACTTGGCATCTTTCTGTAGTTATTCTTTCTCTTAGACCCCTAAGGGAAGCAGTGCTGTTGAATAAAAAGTGTATAAACTCAAAATTTATGTCTCAAGTTTTTACGATTCTGCTGAATACATAAGGATATTTGAATTAATTTGTTCACTGTTGTAGTAATTTTGTTATCTGATGGTCTGCATTGAGCATCATGTAAGCACCTCATTTTGGGGAATAGTCTGAAATCCAATAAATCGGCTTAATATTCCTTAGTATTGGAGATGCCACGTTAGTTTCCTGATTAAATATCTTGATTAAATTATATTTATCATTCATATTTTTGTACTTTACATATGGTAAAGTCCTTGTTTATTCCTTCACAGGAGAAGGAGAAAATCGTCTACTTCACTGATAAACTAGGTGAGTGTCAGTATACCTGGGAATTTTGCATTCAAAGCCTTTCAGTTCCAAAGGATGCAGATGGATATGCAGTGAGGTTTTCAAAAGCTGTGAAGTAGTCAACTCTAAATCAGTAAGACTCTTCCGGAATTCAGAATCCCAGTGTGATGTTTTTTCAAAATCAAACACTCTGTGATTTTCACTGATTACTAAGGACTTCAGTAGTTCAAAAACCCTTGTAGGTGGTGAAATGTTTGATCAATTTTAGCCAGCGTGATTCTGAATTCTTGATTTTGTTTAGTTTCACTATTGCTTTGTATGTATGTTGTGTTATGTTTCAGAGATGCTTGGAAAAAAAAAAAGCTGGAAAAATAAAAGCTGGTCATAGCTTTAGGCCAGTAGAAAATAAGAAATATATCTATTTTATTGACAATTTGAATATACCTGAAGTGGATACATATGGAATGGTTCAGCCTCATGCATTGATTGGGCAGCATATAGATTATAGACACAGGTGAGCATTTACTTCTTGCTTAATGTTATGCTATAATTTTGCATTGTAGTCCATGATGGGATCCCTAAACTACACAGAAACAGAAAGCTTCAAGATGACTTAAATAGAAAAGCATAACCTGGAGGTTATAAACAGTTTTAGAAAAGAGAAGCAGAAGGTCCGTTGCTATAGATAGTCTTGGAAGGAGAGTATCCTTCAGCTGCTCCTGATGGAGCTGCTGGATGTTGACCCCATTGACCTGATGAGAACAGGGATGTCTGAGATAAGATTGATTCACTAAATTGCAGCTTGCCAGATGTGCAGCTTCTACAACCCTCTATCTTTTCATCACCCTGTAAAGACAACAGACAAAATCTACAGAAACTTTATGATACTGGTTCACATGAATGCTCTTTCTCTGCCATGAGAAGAAAACAACAGAAGATGACCACTGAAGGATAATTAAGCTGATGCGGCCAATTAAGGTACTCCCTTCTTTCCATAGGACAATTTAATTTTTTGGCAGTTAAAATATATTAGTATCCTTTCACCAGAGTCTGTGGAAAGAGAAGTTTTCAGTTTAAAATCAACTGATTAGTGTTTAATTTCATTCTAGTACAGGAGGATCTATATTTCGTGTAAATACCTCATTATTATTATAAATGCTCATTAGATTCTTGTTCATAAACAGACATGTCACTTTGATGTGACATGAGGAAAATGTGACATACAAAGAATATATTGTGAATAGCTGGTGAGTCAAGGAGAGAAGTAATCAGACATTTAAAAAAAAAAAAAAAGTTAAATACACATAGCTAGCTGTCCATGTATTGTCAAAAGGAGGTGCACAGACAGATAGGCATGCCACGCACAAACCCAGCCATACTGCGGTGTATTAGTAGACTGAGTGTATCTGCTCAGTTCTCTGCTTCTTCACCACATTCAATAATTTTACTCATACCCTTAAAACTTCTGCTTTGTAAAAGGTTCTTCTTTTCTCTGCCATATATGCTGACTATAATTGTGACCAAGGTGAGACAATAATGGCTGTACTGTTCTTGCATCTTTTAATGCAGATCCAGTTGAATCATATAAGCTTTACACTAGGTGGTACTACATCTCATGAAGGAATGATAACAGGCATCAGCTGAATATCTTCTTAAGGAACAAGAGGTAAAGAAGAAAAAGAAGTAGTGGCTGCTCAAGTCTGAAGCATCTCTAGCTCAGAGAAATCAATTAGGTCTAACAGTAACAGGCAAAGCTACGCCTTGATGCCCTTCTGTTCTTCCCAGAGCTATATGCTATTCTAGCCAGGAATCTTTTTGTTTTCTCCCAAAATTTCAAATTTCAGATCTTAAAAGCTCCTATTGCCTAAAACTGTTGATGTTTCTTTCTTTTGAATTGTTTTTTCTTTTGAAACCAAACCAAAAATTAAAAATCTCCATTTTACAAAACAAATCAAATTAGGAAAATAGTTGGCCAAGGTATTCAGGAATTTTAAATGCAGCCATTTGAGAATTCTAAAATAGAGTAAAATTTGTTGCAAACACATGGAAAGAAAGAGAATGCAATGTACTTTGAAGTTCTGGGAAGTATTTGTTGATTTAAGCAGGGAATGGCTGCATTATTTAGAAGTTTTCCTTTTACAGTGTTTTTTTTAAAGATGGTACCTGCTTAGCCTAGTTCAATTGTAGACTAACTTCTAAAGAAACAGTCTGTCTTCACATTTGTGCAATCAGAACTCAAATTGCCAGCTACTGAAAGCCTCAATTTTTTTTAAATTATATTTTTAAGTGACCTCCTTTTAATTCACCTGGAGCTGTGTCATCTGGAGAGCCAGAAACATCTTTTGGATGATGCGAAAAAAGAGCAATGTTTTAAGCATGCCACCTCTTATGATGATCTTTGCTGGGTTTTTTGCTTACTGAGATTTGTTAATTTTGTCTGCTCTTATCTATGAGGGTTGTGTGCATTCTCAGACTGACCATGTTGTACTCATCCAAGTTTGTTTGGAGCCAGTTTCATTTTAAAAAATATCTCTTTATCATCATCAGAATATTTTGTGAGAATGTAATATTTTCATTTCAACAAAAATTTTGAACAAAACATTATGTAATAGAAATTGTGCGATTTTTCTTCATTTTGAAATGTCAGTCCTAATTTGATACTTCCATGGCCATTCCTATTCCAGATTTCTCATAGGACAGAGATGTATGTGGTTCAACTGAGGTTAAGCCTGGAAAATGTACAGTATTTTGTCACTAATGTTAATCAAGCTACATTTTGTTTCTCAGGTATTATAAGCAGAAGGTAGCTATTAAATTCATAATTGTCAGTATATTACCTGTATGAATCCAACTGCTGGCAGCTTCATTATCAACCCTAGACTCCAGGTATGGTTTGAAGTGTCATATTATAGCAATACTGTATTTAGTACATGAAATAATTACTATTTAACTTTTCACTGCACTAGGCAGGAGACAAAAGGGGATAGGATAAGACAGTGTCTGAAAATTAGTACAGGTTCAAAATCCTGCTGTTCCTATAGCTAAACAGAAAGAGACATACCATATTTATTATGATATTGAGATTCTCCTGAATTTCATAGTAATTACAGTCTGATGTGGTCCTTCACCTGGCAGATGTGCCCTTGGAGCTCATAGACGGACATGCAACTGCTGTGGAACTGCATCAAGGATGAGGCTAGAAATTATGTCTTTTCTGTGACATACAGCTATTTTCACCAGGCTGTATTGTCATTTAACACTTTGTTGACTCATATCTGTTGTCTGATGCTGGTGAATCTTCATCTCTTTTTCCCTTTTCATTTTCAGAGACATTTTGCAGTATTTGCTTTAAAATTCCCTTCTTCAGACTCCCTGACTACCATCTATAGCAAGATAGTTTGCTCTCACTTCCAGCAACAGGCTTTTACTCCATTAGTAACCAAGAATATTCCAGCCATAGTATAAGCAGCCAAATGGCTTCACCAGGTGGTGGTTCAAAACTTCCCACCAACTGCTATTAAGCTTCACTATATCTTTAACATGAGAGATTTCTACAGCATCTTCCAGATTTATATCATGGGTTAATTTTCTACCCAGATATACTCAATTATTGCTGCTCTTTATTATTTAATGATGTACATTGGTCTGTGGACTAATGAAGAACAAATGCCCTTTGTACAAAATAAGATATAGTCCCTGCCCTGAGGTGACTATGGTCAGGCAGATAAAAAGGGTAGAAAGCTGAGAAAAAAAAGACATTTGATGGAAATAGAGCAGTGGTTTGCAAAGTTTGCTATGCTTACTTATGTTTACTTATTATTTCAACAAGAGAGGTTGAACATTTGTTTGTAGGGAAGAAAAACTTTCTGGAGACTAGGTAGAATGAAACAGAGATTGAAGCTCTGAAGCAGGGGCTGAAACTGGTAGCCAAAAAACAGAGCAGGGATTGAAGAGAAAATTGAGAGAATGATATAATATGGTCAGCAAATCCTGGTCCCTCTTGTAAAATCGGGTGAGTCTGATCATAGTTTGGTTTTACCTGCTTTTCTATTCCTTGGAGTACAGGTCTGTTCTAGAATATTTCTTCTCGCCTGCACACCCCATGGATCATTGTGAACTGCTAGCAAGGCAGCAAGGATTTGTCAGGTCTCCTATTATAACACACACCTTGGTTTGATGGGGATGCACTGGCCCATCACACATCTTTGCACCCATCCTGGTGTGGATTTTGTTAAGGAAGGAGGTTTGAGATTACAGCTGAGAAAGTGCTAATTTTGTCACCATAAACTGTGTCCTGTTTTCTTGAGTGGTATTGCAAAACAGGGGCTAATGAAAATGTAAGATCCTGGCAGTTCTGATACTCTCCGTATCCTGTATTGCATCAGGGTCTCAAGCCATAATGAGTTACCTAAGGGTGCAAGTCAGTGGAGAGCAGACATTTCTTTTAATTACATTTTACACACTCAGTTGTCTAGAGAACTTCCTAATTTTTAGAGACATTGTGGTTCATGTTAAAGACTATATAGTTTGTTTCAAGTACAGTGTGTAGTGGGTATCTTCTTAGTATGATTAATGTCTTTGCAGAATATCAATCTCTCTTAAGAGTGCCCTATTTTGATGCCAGATGACAGCATTTAAAAAAAAAAAAAAAAAAAAAAAGTGAAAAATACTGTTATCTTTAGGGCATTCTGTTTACTACACCCAATTGTTTAGAGCAACCAAATGATCTTCAACATCTCTGACTTCATGAATCAGCACGTGTCTATGGTAAACTGGTGAAAAACACAGACTGTAATTTCTTTTATAAAATGATGATGGACACTATGCACAAGTATTTTTAAGGTACATTGGTAGCTTGGAAGTATTTTTCCTAACACTAGAAAGTTAAAAAACAGATGGTGAAAGGTCTTATCTACTGGAAATGTAATAGTAGCACACTATGTTTTTATCCTCAGCCCCCAATGCAAGCATCTTCCTTACTGAGGAAAGCCAGGTGCCAGAGTAAGTGAAAAGGGAAAACTAAGGAAGCTTGCACCTTGAGAAGATATAGGGGTGGTTATTCTTACCTTGAGTGTAGTATTTGACTACCAGAGGACTGTCAGGTATCTCTGTTGCAATGTTGTTAGTAACTTAACTTGAGCCTTTCCTGGAATGGGAGGATAGCAACCTGTCTGTGGACATGACTCTTCATGTCCTTCACTGGATAGTGGAAACAAGTTGCTGTCTTCATTTTGTTTTTCCTGATTCTGTGCTTCAAACCACAAGAATAATATACTCTTATTTTCCTTTACTAATTGTTCCTTTTGTATTAGTTTTCTTTCCCTGTATAGTTTAACTTGAGTATTGAGGAGTGTATGTATGTGTATATACATGTATATATATATAAAAAAAAATTGAATTAAGTGATTTTTCAAATAATTTTAAATTACAGTTTCTCTGTGGCCTTCAGAGCATGTCAGTAAAATAGAATGTACTTTTTGAACTGTGAGCACTGTTGGTTATTCAGATAAAAGTATCTATTATCAGAATTAAACTATTAAAGAGTTCAGACACTGTAAATTAAAAGACATAAATAGATATACATGTTTCATTTTGGTCTTTCTGCTGTAGGGGGATAAGAGACAGTTTTCACTATGGAAACACTGTGAATATAAGCTAGGATACAAGTATGTTCCTTTGCTTTGAAGTTATCAGTTAAGTTTTGTTGTGTATGCCTCTTGTTTCCTTAACCTGGCCTATGTAATGAAATATAGTACCTCTCAGTATTGTTCATTGTATCAGACATGACACAAGGAAGACAAAATAATGTCACATATTGTATCATACTATTGCATATACAGTTTCTTCTGGAATTCATGTGTGTTTGGTGCCAATGCCAAGGATAAATTAACTAGTGAGGACCACAATACTGTTTCTATTGCCCTTCAAAAACTCTTCACTTAAAACCGTACTCATTTTGCAGCAGACAGACCAGCAGAAACATTAACTAAAATGAACATATTCAATATATGTATATTTGATTTTTTTTAAAAAAGAAAATAGTTTTTCTGAAGGGAGTGGGCTAAGGAAGGAAAAGGAAGAGAGTATCTGAATTAGTCTAAAAAAAAGGAAACTGGAAAACATCAGCTTTGTTTACAAGGCCTTGTTTCCCTTCCTTTCTAATTTCTATTTGCCAGTAAAAAAGGAATGAAAAGAAATAGAATAAGGATAGGAATGAGGACACCCAAACGGATAATTTAAGATGTTTGGGAGTGTTTGAATACAGATTGAGCAGTGACTTCCTATCAGAAAGAAATTATTTTTCCTTAATTTTAAGTAGTTTAAACATGAACAATTATGGATATAGACAACTACTAGTAGTTTGTTTGGAGCCTGTCTGGTTGGATGTGCTGTGCATTGAGCCCATACTTGCGCCTACTTTTAGTCTTCAGTACATACTGCTTAGGTACGTCATGTATTAATGGACTGTTTTTTCATGAAAACATTTTTCATGTGCTGTTTTGGGGGCATTTCTTAACTATTCTTTTTCTCTCTTACTGTGTGGTAGAATGTGGAAGACCAAGTGTTGCTGCAATCTCTGCTCATCTACTGCCATTTTGCAAATGGCAGAGCACACCCTTGCTACAAGCCAGTGAAAGGGTGGGAATCATTGAGGAACATACTTGAGGAGTTCCTAGAAAGCTACAATGAAATGCATGCTTCCGTGAACCTAGTCTTATTTGAGGTGCCACGTGTAAGTGCAATATCTATACAGGGAGCAAGTAATTAATCACGATGCTACTAACGTTTGCATTAAGTTGTTGCTTTTTACTGTTTGGAGGTTGTTGCAGACTCATAACACTCTTAAGGGAAGGCTTATGTGAGGGTACCATGCAGGAATAGTTCTGCTAAATATACTTTATTGGTGCCATTAAAGAAAAGTAGATTGTGGTTCAATGTTAAAACTAACCTCCATTCCATTTGTTTAAACAGAGATTCATCCTTTTTTGCACTGCATGGAAATTAACACCACATTCTCTGAGGTTGGAAAGAAAATCTATAATGCTGTAGATAGTCTGCCTTATCTTTTAATTAGTTAATGATGTAACAGGCCTTTACAAGAAAAGTAGTATTTATCTGTTCTTTCCAAGAAAGGGAAAATGTTTTTTAAAATTCATTTAAGTCAAAACAAGGACAAGTAATACTTTAAGCCTATACTAAATGATGCCACTGCGTAGCAGACTTGAAGTTGCTTTGATGCCTACTCTTGTACTTTTTAAAATCTAAACCAGTCCAGGCTTTTAAGTGTCATCAAATATTTATTTTAATTTAATTCATCTATAGATTTTTTTTTTTAATATGTATTCTTACCTTATCTCAGTTTAATGTTTAAATTTGTTTTTCTCACGTCAGGCAGTAATGTGGTATCCATTGTGGCTCAAAATCTCAGTTTCTTCTGAAATCTGATTAACTACATTTGCTTTGTTTTCCTGCATGGAAGAAAACCAGCCAGTTTTCAGAAGACGAAGTGAAGATTTTGCTGAATAAGTGAGGCACAGACTTCATTGTTGCTCCTTGTCATTATTTGTAATCTTTCTTCAACATAGACAGTCATTCTGGTCATGGATAATATCAGTGATTTCCAGAAAGAGACAGAGGCCCATGCTGGCAGAGCTTAGTTTTGTTAAAGCAGTTTCTATTATTTGCAGTGTCAAATCATTTAACACGAAACCTTTTCTTCTCATTGAGTTGGACTAGGATTTCAGTGTCATCGTTTTTCACTTTGCACATATTCAGGCAGGAGCTATATAAGCAAAGGTACTCTTGACAAAGCAGTCTATTGTAGAAGTTTCTCTCCAAGAGGATTAAAAAAGAGCTTGAATTACAAAGATAATCATATGGATCTTTCATAGGAACGGTAGATTTTGTTCTGCTGATTTAGAGGTTGATGTGATAATCATCAGAATTGCAGGCAGAAGCCTTCTCAGGTATCACTAGTTGTACTTGAAAATGTTGGTAAGCCATTATCTTCTCTCTAAAGTCTAGTGACCGAGAGTAGTATCCCAGTTTGGCAAACAAAGTGGCAGGGTGTCGTAGCCTTACAATTTGGCAGTCCTGGAAAAGTACATGTGAAATTAAATCCTGTACATTTTTTCTGCACCTTTTATGTTGTTGGGTTTTTTTATGGATCCATTGTGAAATCATGAATAAGTCTGACAAGGTTCTGTAGTGAGGTCAAAGAGAATTGGCTTCCAGTAATGTTTTGGTTGAACAGGTTTCTACCCATTTATTACATACAACCAGATCAGACGCATTATCCCTTTATTTAAGAAGGTTCTCATCGATGTTTTTTCAGAGATGATTTTTTCAGTGGCATGAAACATAAAGAGAAGGAAGGGGTTGCTTTTTGTTTTTTTTCACTGATACATGGGAGAAAAATTAAACAAAAGGTCCAACATGCTGTCTCTATGCTCTGGTCTGCTGATACTAGGCTGTAATCTTAGAAACTGCATCTGTTTTTAAAAAAGGAAATTTAGAAAATAATTTTTAGATGCTTATATAATTGATTAAAATATCAATTGGAAGAGATTTCTTTTAATATTTAAAATATAGGGTTTTGGGGGAAGAATTACCTCAATACTTACATTTGAAAATTCTACCAACTAATTCTTGTCTAATTTGGGGCCAGATTCTCATCTGGCTTTTCATCCCATAGTATTCCATGATCAGCAAATAAAAGCATGCCTTAAGTAGTCTGGGCTACATATTCCAAGAGTAAATTAAAGTTTGATGCATATTTTTAATGAAATGATTCATCATCCTTCAGCCTTTGTGGTGCAAACTGCCAGACATGAAATTCTTGTGTGCTCCTAGGGCCTAGTCAACCTCTCTTCAAGTTAACTAAGTCTTTATTCTGAGTTCAGTCAGGGTCCATCAGGATCTTGGAATGATGATTTGGACCAGACAGCTCTGGTCATTTTAGAGGTCAGTGCAGGCCTTCAATATTTGACAAAGGAAAACAGCTTTTCTGTCTGCTTGCTCACCTATTGGAAAGAAAGAAAATGCTGATGTAAAGATAATGTACCTTTAGGTATCAGGAGCACATTACCACAAAAACAGACACAAAAAATATGGGGGGAAAAAAAAAAAGCAAGCTTGGTGCAATAAAAAGAATTTGAGCAGCTTGGCTAACGAGGTTATTGAAGTCTATGTTATGTTATTGGTTTTTTGTCATCAGGTGCCAGATCAGTTATATTCTAGAAGCCCCTACAGGATACGCACTTCTAATTGGAGTAGGTGGTAGTGGTATACAAAGCTTGTCAAGGCTGGCAGCATACATCTGCTTCCTGGAGGTTTTCCAAATCACACTGAAGAAAGACTACGGGATCCAGGACCTGAGGGTAAACTAATAGGTATTATTTGAGTCTGCTGAGTTCAGGACTTCAAGAATGTGTTCTTTTGTTGTTGCACAGGCTTGATAAAATCACAGGCAAAACAGTGTAATTTACAGTTACAACCCCTGTGGTTCCTGTGGTTTCCAGCTGTACCTTTTGTTTTCTTTATCTCTGAAAAATGGGCAGTCAAACGATATTTTAGTGTCTTTTTATATGCTTCCCAGAGTTTTGGTAGTTTTTCCACTTTTTCCAAGGCAGCTGCTTCACACACTACAGAGGTGTGGTTGGAGTTCTGGTATTTAAAGTTAGCCATTTGTTACAAAATTTTGCATGTCATAGCACGTGTATTGATTTTGTGGAATAAAATTGATGTGGATGAGCACAGGGCAAAATTTTGCCCTTGTTGCATGCGTGTTATTTAATCAGTTAAACTGGCCATAAGCAAAAATAATGAATATAGTTGAATGAGGTGCTCTATCAGTCTTACAGACTTGAGGACATTGCAAGGCTGAGCCCCATCTATGTGAGCAAACAGGGAATGTTTTCTTCTTCTTTTACTCCATGTGGAAAACAAGCGATGCTTCTGAATATCAGACATAGCTAAATAAGGAACTGAATATGGCCAAATTTGGTGGATGGTAGTCCTTCTGTTAGCCTTGGGCCATGGCCAAACCACTACGGTGTGTGCAGCCTGAGGCATCAGTATCTTGCATGGTGTCTAACTTCTTGTGCCTTCCTTCCCTTTTCTAGTACATTCATGGGGGGATTCCCTTGATTAGTAGTCCATTTTGATCTTTACACCTAGGTCAGGTCAAAACCTCAGCATCTGATATGGAAAACTTTTCCCTTTGGATGTTGTTCAGCAAATTAGTGATATGTAAATAAACTGAAAAAAGTAAGAAGTGAGCAATGTGTGGTCATCCACTAACATACATTTTACACTTTTTCTGTATCAGTGTTTTAACAGGATATAAGTGATTGCCTCCTGTCCTTACAGGTAGATCTTGCCAGTTTGCACATCAAGACTGGTGCCAAGAACATGCCCACAGTGTTTTTGCTGACAGATGCCCAGGTTCCAGCTGAATGCTTTCTTGTGCTGATTAATGACTTGTTGGCGTCAGGTGATTAGACCAACACATTTCTTGAAAGATCTTTTCCAATGACAAATGATCTGTGGTTTCATTGAACTTTAAAGATGTTTTTTTCTCTTTCAGATATTTGTAGGGGGAGCTTTTACAGAGGTCAAGTCAACTCATCCCACTTGAGACTAATTTGCTTAAGAAAGCATTGCCTACTGAGGAGAATAATTGCTAAGGATTATCATGCATAAGTGCATTGATTTGGGGGGAGATGGGAATCTCTCTTTGACTTAATGCCATGTTTGCTTTGATACGATTTCACTGACTTCAAGCAATGTCTTCATGACTGCACAAGTGTAACAGACAGCAATGCAGTTTCACCCATGTGTTGGAAATTAGAGAATCTGGAATATCAATGTGGGGATCTAGAGATAAAATGGAAGAAAAATGGGAATAATACTATGCTGTACAGTTGGAGAGCATCTTGAAAAAATTTTTTTAAATTATTATTTACTTTTTTGCAACCAGAGTGGAAAAAAATTTCTAACCATCTGTAAAAAAAAAAAAAAGGAACCACTATTCTGAGGAATACATAATTTGAGTGAACTTGCTATCAAGGCAAACATTTTTGTCTTTTTAAATCAATGTTGTTTCCCCTCCCTTAAAAAAAGAATCCTTCTTTTTAGATGAAAAGGTGTGGGGAACAGGAGGAAACTGTTTTGTTGTTTAATTTATTATCACAGCATAGCTCTAGTTATGCGCCTAAACCTCATTGTACTAAATATGATGTAGAAGGTTATTTCTCAGGTTGTATTGTATAAGGCTTCTCCTAACTACCCCTTTGTCTTTTCACAGGAGACGTTCCAGATTTGTTCAGTGATGAAAGCATGGACGATATAGTTAGAGGAGTTAGAAAATAAGTCTGAACCCTGAGCCTGATGGACACCAGAGAAAGCTACTGGAGCCGCTTCTGGAGTAGAGTGCAGCTGCAGTTAAAAGTAAGGCATATTTCAGGGACAAGAGGTAGTGCTGAGCTGTCAAAATAACAACGTATTTCAGTTATAACCCAGCATATGCTCGCATACTTCTCTTGAAAGGCTTACTCGCTCACATGTGACACCATATTTGCCTCTCGCATGTTACCCCTGTAATAGCCTTCTCTCTGAGGAGGCTTGGTGTACACCAAATTTTACTCCTAGATCTGGTTAATTGACTTTCTTCTTGTTCATAGGAAAGTCACATGGTTGCTCTGCATCTTAGTTTCATGATCTTATGTTTTGAATATAACAATGCATTTCAGAGAGAAATGAGGTGCTGATGAGGAATTAGTGGTGCAGTTAGTCTAATCGTAAATATGTTCCCTAATTACACATACAGTAATTCTGTATATGTAGTCAACTCTTAAACAGTTGCTTAAATAATTGAAATTTCACAGTAAATGTTAACTCTTTCTACTTTTCCTATGCTATTTAAAAATAGGAAAACAAAAATATCCATGTAGCTGTTTTCAGATCAAAAGCTGTTTAGCAATACATATTAACATAATACAACAGTTTCAACAAGTGTCTCTTAAATTCCATTTTGGAGGCAATGTTGTTGAGGAAGACTGTAGTTCTGTGCTGAAAGCTGGAAAGCAGAAGCTGGGAACATTGATTTTGGAGTGGAATCTTTAGGAACTTCTGTTTATGCAGGCTTCAGTTTTATATGTTATCTGAAACATGTATGTAGCTATTAAGAAAATTAAAAGTCTGAAAACTGTTAACCCTTTAGGAGGAGACTGTTTGGAATGGAATATATGCTCTGTACTTTCTTTATTAGACTGATCTGACTGGGGGATAAGAAGAGCCCTCCCATAGCAAGTGATTCCACAGTAGTCTTCTGTGCAGGCCTTTCCTGCTTTTTCTGAGGCGTTTAATTACCACTGATCTAAAGACCATTCCTATTTGGTTGTGAGATTTTTTTTTTAAGTTCTTACACTTTATACAATGCCACTTTCTGATTTTTTTTTTCCTCATCTCTCTTTTTTTAATCCTGCTTTAGTTTTGCTGCTGTTCCCTCCTATCTTTAATTTTGTTGCCATCACTTCTGTCCCTCTACAAATTTCTTCTGTAACTTGAAGGCCAGTGGAGACTCGTACAGGATCTAGTGTGACATATTCTGTATTGTTTTCGCTTTTTCAGACTTCGGTGACATGGTCAATAGTGGTGCTTACCTTCTGTAAATCTATTTCTAGCCAGTGCTATTTATCTCTCTTTCATGACTATTGCATTTGTGTACATTTTTTTAAAAAAGGACAGGAAAAAAATATGATGACCAACATCTCTCTTCATTTTCTTCTTTCCCGTTTCTTTCCCTTTGTGTTTTCCTTATTGCCCCAACAATTTCTTCTTTTTCTTTTCTGGTTGTTTTTGGGGTTTTTTTAAGGGCTTTTTGTAAGCCAGCTTTCAAAGGCCTTTTACCTTGCAGCCATTTCACCAGTCCCCCACTGTGCAAATTAGCACTTCTGGAGGCAAGAACAGGAGATATCTATTCATGTTGCAGGAAAGCAAAGTAGAGACATTATAGTACGGAAGTAGACATAAATTTCATGAGTTAACACACTGGCAGTTATCTGTATGGACTTTTAGTTAGTGCTAGGTGACCTATCACCTTATCCTTTCCCTAGATTTGAAGAATAAAAGACTAATAAAATGTGAAAGAGAACAGAAGGGAGAATTCAGACAGTTTCAGAATGTTAAAGCTTAGTGAAGTGATATAGACACATTTTTCAAGTTCATTTTAAAAACCCAATATCCTACACTAAACTACATTTCCCTTGTGCTCACTCATCATCTGATACCCTACAGTTCTGTTTATGATGAGGAATCTGTAGCTCAGGAGCCCAAATTACACACTGCAATTCTTTGAACAACCATAAATGTTTGGTTTTGTGTTAGTTTTGTTTGGATTGTTTTCAGTCTGGAGCTTGCAATCAGTTCTGCTGTTAACATACGGAGAACATGCCATGTATGGAGGTGCAAATTTATGTCAGTGTAAACTGGAAGTATGTCAGTTACAAACAGTGGATTGCACCATTATAAACTAAGGGCCCACAGCTGAAGTGTGTACAAGGACATATACGCACGTGAGGATTTCAAAAGCTTTTGTGATGGATGATGTAATAAATTAAAAAGGAGGAATGCTGCTTAAGCAAACAAAGCTGATGGCCAAACACTGTTAATGTGCTGACAGTGCTAAGGCATGCCATTGCATAGGCTGAGAAGTTTCTAAGGCTCACAGTGATTTACTGGAGCTCCAGAAGTTTTTCAGTATCCCATGTATCTGTGCAGTAATCCCTTTTAAATGCTCTGCACGTTACCAGAACTTCTAAAGAGTAAAGGCCAGAAGAAGCAACTATTTCTTGAAAGTAAGAATATGAAGTGTGGCCTGTCAGTCCTGTTGTCTCTTGAGCTCCATCTGATTTTATTTTGTACTTTTGGTCATGCCAACCTTTCAACATTTTTTCCAAAAATGGGAACACTGTGCCTAAATGCCTTGCAACATACACCCTATACAAACATACACTTCAATGGACTCTTCACAGCATTTCATCTTTGCATGTTTTCTGAGTTTTACATTTCCTACTAGCTCATCTCAATTTCTTCAGTGCTCTTAAACATTACCATGTATTCTAAAGACATACATGTTATATGGCTTTTCTTCTGAACTGAATCTCTGATACTTAGTCCCTGTGCAGCCAGTTTCTTCATGAGCTGCAGATCTCTACTACAAATACTTGATCCCATTTCTTGAACAAGTTTACTCATCATGTATTTTCCTCATGTTTCAAAGTTTACAGTCCCTCAGTGGACGTTGTGAAGTCCCAGCATTCAGAACTAATTCTGCTGGTTTAAGGCAATACTATTTCTCTGCAACACTATTTCTCCAGTTTCCTTCCAACAGGCAGACTTGGCTGGACTACTTTAGTCATTACACTCTTATAATGGTCTCCTCCTTATATAGTCCTGTCAGTATTCAGCTGGGTCTCCATTTTCTAAGGAACTCAGCAGTAAAGCCGTTTCATGCTTCAGCCCGAATTAATGTCAAACATAGGCAGGGCAGGTGCCCTGCATAACCACAGGCAATCTTTTCGATATTATTATTTTTACTTTTAAATAATTTCCAAATCCTTTTTCATCAGAACACATTAACATTTTTCTTGTGGTCTGTTTCACCACTGACAGAACATCTCTTTTATCTGTGAATCTGAGAGGAACTTGTGCAGCCCCATCACAGCTCAATTTTTGGTCAGCTCTCATGGTTTTCCCTTTGAGGGCATAAATACACATGCCTGTCAGCTTGACTGTTTTAATCCCATACAAGAGAACCATATTTTTAGGGTTTCTGGTTCTGTGTTAAACTAATACTAACCCCAGATGTGATTATAAGTGTTTGATTCAAAGGGAAATAAGGGTTCAAGAGATAATACTGTCTATCATTTGATCAGTATCACCTCCCAAATAATTTTTGAACTCCCCAACCAGTTGCCACCAAGGAGGCAGGTGGATCAGGGACGGACAGACACAGTCATTTCCCCCCTACCAAATGAAGGCTCAGTTATGTTATTAGACAGCCAAGAAGCTATCGAGGATTTCTAAGTTCTGTAGCACAGAACACAGCTGCTTCTGCAGTTGGCAGGATCTTACAGAGTTCCTGTTTCTCTATTAAAAGCTCCAGGCTTTTCTCATTTGGATGTCAGCCATCTCTTCTTGAGTACTTAGCTGATTTTTAAGGATACATCCATATGAGTAAATTTGAGGTGTATTTTTTGGTCCCAAGGACTAGTAGCATGACATGGCTGGCATCCATGTGGCTTAGCTTTTCACTTTCTCTGCTCACAAAATGATGGTGGTGGCATAGAGCTGGCCAGGAAGGATTCTTGGTCTGTACAGTCCCTCACTCCTGCTCCAGCACTGCTTAGTTTCTCATGGGAAAACCATGCAAGTGAGTGTGCTAACAAATAGAATGGGCCTTGTCAGCTCAGTGCTTAAGCATGTGCCAAGGCACTCTTTAGTTCATTATTATTAAGATACACTGTTGTATCTTAATATATCTTGCTCTGTTTGAAGCATTTAGTGAACATAGAGAGCTTGCATATCTGAGACAAGCAGGAGAAGATTGAGCTAAAAAATATGGTGTAAGAAACACATCTGTAGTGAGAGTGACCTGTAAGTCCCACAAAGGGACAATTGAGAAAAGAGGGTTTTTGTATTGTTAGGAGTGGTGAATGCTATGTGGAAATTGATATTAATTTCACATACCAGTTCTTTCATCCACACTGATGGTCTTCATTACTCAGCTGTGCAAATTTAAATCTTAAAAATGTCGGATAAAATACTTTTGCAGTGTCCCTCTCAATCCATGTTCCTTTCAAAGTATGGGTGAATCTCAGAGAACTTCCTAAATTTTCTATTACTATGTGAAATACCCTCACTGTAATATTTATATCCTGGTTGTCTTGAAAGAAATGAAGCATTTCTTACATAAAGCATTTCCTATCCTTTTTTTTTTTTTTCCTCTCTGTGAAATTAGACTGTCGTTTACGGCCTTGGTGGAAGAGAAATGTTTTCAACGTATGACCTTCTTGCTTAAGCAAAGATTGTTCAAAATGTAGTCAGTAATAATTACTCATGTAAAATAATTAACAAATACATAGCTATGTAATCAGGGTGTTATAGCTAGCGTTGTACTGGCATTTCCTGCCTAACAATATAATATAGTAAAAATCAGTCAATTCTAACTTTGTGTTTTAGAGAAAAGAGGTGGAAATTATAAATAGTGTATTTGAATTTGAACTCTAACACTAGCTATTCCAATAAGTAATTTACTGAAGGCTTGATAAATTGTTCTTCTAAACTTCATCCTGACACAAAAGTACAAAGATTGTGTGTAGGTAACTAATTTTCCTATTACTACTTTTTAAACTGGATTTAATTGCTTCTGTTTGTTCTCTGCAAGGTTGCTAGAATTCAGATCTGCTGCTGTTTTCTTTATTATTGGCTTTTGCGGATCCTCTCATCCAGTTGATTTCTTCTTAGCCTTCATAGCAGTTCTTTTCAACTGTTATCTTCTGGTTTGTAATCTGCACTTGTGAAATTACAACTAGGTATTTGAATATGTCTGCATTGCGGGCAAAAGATTGGAATACCTGTATTTCATGTATACAAAGTTCACCTGTCTTTAAACTAGCTGTTTTCAGGAATGTTCACAGTATAGTTACAACAGTTGAGTCCAGGGCACTTACTCAGGTATATTTCCTTTTTCTTGGTTGGGATTTCCAGCTGAATAATCCTGGTAGGACCAAGTGTGTGCCTGTTATTCCTTGCAAAGACTTTAACTAGGACTTGCTTACCATGTTTAGCAACTTGTGCTAGATGTGCTGTTGCTTCAACTGTTTCTCTCCTGTTTGCTTTCACTTGTCACTCTGTTCGCCTTCTGTTCCTTACTCATTTGTTATGGAAGTTAACTGTTGAGAGGCTTTTGCGTCCTGTGGTTATCCACATGAGCTCCAGTAGTACCGTGCTGAATAAATGTGAGATTAGAATAAAGATTTGAATAAACTACTATAATGTACTCTTTAAAATTTTCAAAAATTTTTTTAAAGGGTGGCCAAGGGCAAGGAGAGAACAGATGAGTCTGGGTATGACTTAGTAAATCCAGAATTTAGATGCTAGGGTAAAGTTAAAAGTAAACAATCCTGAAAAGTCAGTATTATCTTTCCAGGAATCTTCACTTCATGTAAACTAATTCAGCTCCTTATAGATACAAGTAGTTCTTTCAAAATCACTCCTAACAAATTACATAGGGGAGAAGATGCTTCCTCTATCCAAAAGTTCGACATGAGATTGATATAAATAGGACATAAATAGTAATTATTCCATACAAACAAATGTTTAATATTTAGGGAGGTTAAAATATTACTTAAGGTACAAGACTAAGGAAAGCACCAAATTCTAATTTGTGTTTGGCAAATGGTCCAAGACTTTGATTTGAACTCTTCTTGCAGTCCAGTACTTAGAGACTTGAGTCCAGATATGAGCAATGTGAACAGTGTAGGAAGGTGTAAAAGATGTAACTTCTAGCAAGACTGTGTAAGGTTTGCAACTTTGAAGTGTGATAGGTGCTGTATCAAGGACACTTGTGAGAAGCACATCAAAGCAGGGACAGATATCTCGAGGCTCTCTATTACTGCTGCTGCTGTAGTAGGGATGGTATGTAGGTCTGAGAAGTTGGCTACTATGGAAGAAGAGAGGAGAAAATGAGGTGCCCAAGCATCAACATTGCTTGCCATGCCTCTGATATTATAACTGAACATATAATTTTATCAGAAAATGAGGTGACATGAATGAGAGGCAGAGACAGTGTCTAACTGAAGGATACGTGGTATAACAGAGAAGAAATTTCAGAAAACTCACAGAAGTGTCCAAGGTCTTTGAGACTTGCAAAACGGACCTAGCAGATTCTTCATGTACATTTCTTCTATGATTCAGAGTTTTGGGGTGGAGACCATTTATTGTCTTTTTTACAGAATCACGGAATCAACTAGATTGGAAAGGACCTTGAAGATCATCTAGTCCATCCATTAATCTAACATTGACAGTTCCCAACTACACCATATCCCTCAGTGCTAAATTGACCCGACTCTTAAACACCTCCAGGGATGGGGACTCCACCACCTCCCTGGGCAGCCCATTCCAACACCTAACAACCCCTTCTGGAAAGAAATGCTTCCTGACATCTAGTCTAAGCTTTCCCTGGTGCAACTTGAGGCCATTACCTCTTGTCCTTTGCTTACTACTAGGTTAAAGAGATTTTTGAATGGTTTTGCTCTGTTTGCCCTTCTTTCTCATCAGCATGATAAAATTTTGTGGTAAATTCCAAGATCTTTCTGTAGTCTTTGTACAGTTTTAGTGTCATTTTCATCACTTGGCTAGAATGGATTTCTACGTGAACATTTCTGCCACTTGCCTCTTCATGTTGAATACGTTCAAAGTAGATGGCATTTTCTTCTGTACTTTAGACCAACTTGTGGATCGGCCTGTCATTGTAACATCCCTAGGCAACCTGAACTCCACTGTGTTTTTGCCTGGATGTCTACAGTTCTGCCTAAATTCTTGAAGATGGGGAACATTAGTTTCTTGCAAATATGAGAGCATGCACTGCTGTTTGTAATGCTTGCAGGAGTCAAAGGTCCCAAGTGATTTAAAACCAATGGTTTCTCTTCCTGACACATTCTTAAGTACTTCCTAGGTAAATGTGCAAATCACCTGTTGTTAGAAAAATGTTTACATTCATCGAAGAGGGGTGCTTTTCTCTGACAGTAAACGAGATCAGTAGGGTGACCAGAATAACTACAGTAATTCAACACTCTGTTTTAACATGAAATAGTCCTCTGCATCCCATTCCACAAGACAGAGAAAAAATGTGCTATGAGCTCTTGTATCTCAGGGTAGCTGGTAAGCATGCTGGAAATGAAATAGGTATTGGTGAATATCCTCTATTTAGAAATATAAAGAAGTAAATGGACTAAAAAATAGTGGAACGTGCAGTTACTTCACATGGAGTCTAAAGCATGGGCTTGGGGGCTCTAATTTATGGAATATTTATGATTCACTCACCAGTAAAGGTTTCAGTGAATTCTTCTCTTTTATGCCCCATTTAATATTTTAGTCTGCATCATTTCTCTTCCTGTCTGTCACAACATGGGAGACTTATCATTGCTTCTGTTTGCCTTCCATGCTTCTTTCTCTTTCTGGTCTGTCTGTTTTTTTTTTTTTTTTTTTTTTTTTTTAAGAATTTCACATCTTCTGCTTTTTGCCTCCTCTGTTTCCACCACGGCTCCCAACAGAAGGGACCACTTGTGCTTTTCTTGCTGTTACGCTTGGCCACATAACAGCCTTCTGAAAATGGTATCATTGATCTGAAGCCTTGGATAATCTCAACATCCCACTCAGTTTGTGCAACCATGAGAAAGAAGTTTTTGTGAGACCAGTGTTTGTGGCCAGAGGCCATATCTTGATTTTCCTAAGGATGGGAATGCAAAAAGGACATACCCTGTGATTTAGCATAAAATCCAAGCTTTAAAAAAGGTGTAAATGTCCCAAGAAACAGTTTGTCTTCAAGAGGGTTTTCTGAATAATGGTAGATTTCCTTGTTTTGACTTAGTTCTGCTGAAACTTACTCATCTTTGTTCATAACTAAAGGTTAACTGCAGAAATTGTTGTCCTGTGTTTTCCAGTGCAGAGATGTATTTTTTGAAATTATGAGATAGTGGCAAGTCTTTTCCATTTTCCATGTAATCTTCTTTCCAAATACCATAGAAGCTTTTTCCATCATTACTATCTCCTCAGCACTTTCTTGCTCCTCTCTGCTTTAAAACCCAGTGTTGTCTCAGGTCAACCTCCTCCTTTCTTCACTCTGTTTTTCCTTCTTTTTCAATTTTCTGCTCTTCTTTCTTTTTCATCCAGTTTTCCCTTAATATGTAATGTCAGTTCCTGATTGCTTCAGAGGCAGAATCAACCTGTCACTTCCCTGGCATGATTGACTGGACTCTGTCCTGACTCTTGTGGCTGTTGGGGAAGTGATAAACTCTTCTGATACCATTTGGATGTTTTCTGTTGGAATTAACAATATCGATGCCATATGGTTTGGGAAGCCCTGTATGGCAAAAATAGCTGATTTCTTAAGAAGCATATAGGAGAGACTCCAGTCCTGTCTTAACAGCCTGATGTCTGTCATTTTGCTAATTAGCTAAAAGCAAATAAAATCCCCAAAGCACATGCAGTAAGTAGGCCCACAGATACAACTGGGAGGCTAGAATAACCCTTCCTTCCCAGATGTGAGTTGCTTTGTGTAGGCCTGGTGATATTGACAGCAAATCACAGATTCATTATCCTTTGAATATTTTACCCTACTCTTGTTCTTACACCCTTTTCCACTTTTGTAAAGAATAGTCCTTAAAAATTCACATACAAACTAAGATCCAGATCTCCTTTTCTTCTCTTTCTTTTAACGGGGTTGCAGTGTGTATTAAAATGGCAGGAAGTGGCTTGAATAGACTTAGCAACTCAAGAACTGGGTTTGTGCCACCGTGACCAGCTGAACGTGCGCCTTCTGGCTGTCTGTGTGCCAGCCAGTCCCTGTGGCTGCGTTATTATTTATAGCTATCAAACTGAGTAACTGATACCAACATGGAGATAGGGGAAGGAAGCTGCAAGTGTGCTGTGTTTGTGCTATGGAAAGGGAGTAAAACCTGTTTGCCCGAGGTAATATCCTAGCTGACGAAGTTTATTAGCTGCCAAATTTGTTTTGGAGCCTCAGCAGTGTGCTGGCCGGTGCCAGGCCATGGTTCACTGCATGCCTGTCTTTGATCGCCTCAACTTGCCATGTGATTCTTTTCTCTCCCTTTTCCTTCCCTCCTCTCCGAAGGTCGTTCTGTGTTTCTCTCCCGCCGGTGCCACGCTGGGAGCGCAAGCTGGGAAGTTCCCAGCCATAGTTAACTGCACTGCTATTGACTGAATTTATTTAACCCTTTTTGATACAGCTAAGTATATTCACTAGTGCTGTAGCAAGTGAGGCTGAAATACTGCAGTGCACACAGTTCAGGCAAACTAAAGAGTTTTCTCTCTGTTCAGCAACTAATAAGGTGAAAATTTCCCCTCTAACCAAATGGCAAATGCATTTAGAGTTTTAATATCTGGACAATTAGTCTTTTTGTTCATTATTGATCTGTAGTGTGAGTTGTTTGTTTCTAGAAAGAAGCAATCATGCGTTAGTGAGTTTCCTTTCAAGGAAAATGAATTTTCACATATTATTCTAAGAGTTTTAACAAGCTGCCTCTGTTGTCCCATCCAGCGTGGGTGGGACACTGCCGTGCTGGCAGTGACGCTGCTCAGGTATTTGTTGATGAAGTAAATCACATAGATCTAAAGATTTACTTTTCTTCAGTAATTGCAGTTGCAGTAGTTTCATTCCAGAGTGCTATTATATTTGGAATTTGTATAGGAGGATTTTTATTCATGAGAGACTAAGGATTTCAGGAATGCCCAAGGAAGAACTCTCTGATTTTAGTCAGTGGTAGCATCAGTCCCTGGGCAAAGCTCTGCATAAGAGACTGATGCATTTACAGCATTTTTCCTACATTCAGACCGATACAAAATACATGGGGGTCATTGTGAAATGTAGCCGAAAGAGAGGGAAAGCTTGCAGGGATGCCTGGGGCTGCTTCCAGGCTATCCCACAGGCCTTTCCCCTCCCCACAGCTTGTGCGAGGGAGAGGGGCCGCGGGCATCTGCGGCTGCAGGGAGCTGTACCCGCTCTCCCATGGCATACGGATGCCTCCTATAGGGCTGCAAGGGAAAGAGAGATTTTTGCAAATCCGCGTCGTTCATATTTTCCATCAGCTCCTTCTGCTTTTTAACAGCTCATGAGAGATTTAAAGTGTTATTACGGTAATCTGTTGTCTGGTGAGCTGGGGCGGGGGTGTATGATATCCACTTTCATTAATTCTTAATGTGATACCAATTTTCAGATTGCCATTTATTTGAAAGAAACTGATAGCATTACATGGAGAAAAGAGAATAGAATTTCTTTTGACTTAAATATATTATTTTTTTCACATCCCTAACTACTTATACTTTTCTTCTTTGAAAATACATCTGGTTATCAGAATTTAGGCTTTTAATATTGAAAATCTTTTCTGGGTTTTTTAAACTTTTTTTTAAATTTAAGCATTATGTTCCTATATAATTCATTTTTTAGATATTTAGCAAAGATTTCACTGAGCCAAGCAACTGTTGATGAGTTTCTTCTTCACATTTGCATTAACTGCTCCTGGTAAATATCTTTTCTGTTCAGTTCCCAGCAAGTGAAATAAATGACAACTAACAAAATAACATGACACTATTGACAGTGAGTCAAGCTTTCTTTGTCATCAACATACATAAGGCAGTAGTGAGTGCCTGAGTCATATCTGCGTGTGCAGCCGATGAGAAGACGAACAGACAAGACAGCAGTATGCAAAAACTATTAGGAGGAGACAGGGGAAGGATTTCAAAATTATGGAAAAAGTGAACCCAGAACAGACGTGTTGAAATAACAGAGAAACTATGACAGTGTTGTGGGGGGAGAGAAGGGGAACTCAAGAGAGAAGAAAAGCAAAACTGAACTGGAAAGGTAGGAGAGGTGTACAGCAAAGAGTCTGAGGAGGAGCAAAAGGGAGGTGAAGGGAGAATGATCACAGAAAAGCAGTAAAGGGAGGCAGGCCAGGAGAGCTGCAGAGGTGTATTAGGATATCAAAAGAATGAGAGGGGCTGGGTGGAAAACGACCACCCTGAAGAAGAGGGAATCTTAGCTGCAGTCTGTCATCCCCTCTCTGTCACAGATTTATGGGAGGTGGTCTCCTTTCCTCTCACCTCTAGTGCTGGTGTGTTAATACATCATTTCACTTGCTCAATTTTAGATATTTCAGGAAATATTTTGCTTGTTCTTAGTAGAGAAATCTTGTTAGCCAGGGCTCATGGACCAACTGGACTTCTGAAACATACCATCATCATGCTGTCCCTTAGGATGAGCAGTGCAAGGTCTATTGCTGAGTGATTATTTTAGCATAAATGATGCTTAGCTCTTAATTGTCCTTTTTCAGAGTTTAAAAAAATACAGCAATAGGAATTGATAGATTTTGTTGTTGTTGTTGTTGTTGTTCATCACTGTATAACAATATTACAGATTATTTTTAATTAGCCTAGCTTGAAGTTAAGATAATTATTTTTTATTTTCCCTCTTAAAACTTCAATACAAATATGACATCATATCTACATTGCTTTAAAAGAACCTGGAAAATTTCTGGGTTTAAGTGTTGAGAGAAGATGAAAAATTCATGGTGGCTGTTGGAGTTGAGAAGGAAGTCTTGGATTCTCTATCTCTTTATCTTCAAACCAAATCTAGGCACTTTTCTGGAAGATACAGTTTATCCAGGGAAAGGGGGGCAGATTGAGCTCAGCAGGGAGATGGTGAGGTGCAACATCAGTATGTGATCTGAAGGATGCTGTGAATGCCCCTTCTGGCCTGGGTGAAAGCATCTGAACAGAAAAAACAAGGGATCCTGCCTAATTATGGTGCCAGTTGAAAATAAGTCCCGTGAGCCCCTTTTCACTCAGGACATTGGTTAGTGTGGGGGTTAAGAACAAGACAGTGAGTTCAAGGATGTGTGAGGGAAATGGAGAGTATCAGAAATTTAATCAATTTGGATGTCTTTGATTTCTTGGGAGAAAAGAAAGGGAAAGAGCCCTCTTCTGTTTCAATACTCAAATTGCTAAACTTAATTTTAAAAGAGCACAACAAAAGAACACTGTGCAGCAGTTCTGAAGTCCATGTACTGAGCTTAACAAGCTTAAAAAAGTGACTTCATACCTCATTTGCTATAAAACGTGATCTACAGTATTTTAAAATAACGTCTCTGTCTCTATATTCAACATGACAGGCAATCTCCCTTACTTTCAGCGGGTGTCACACATCAGCACTGAGTACAGAATAAAAGAACGAGGATTGTTTTATCCATCCCTTTGAAGATAACAGCAGTGAACATCTCTGCTATCTCCTTTGAGTGCCTTGCTTTTGCTGTCTTGTTATGCTGCTTCTCAGCTGCTTAACACCAAACAGCGCACGCACACTGTTAAACATACCACAGATAAACTCATTATGCTCTTAGTTTATCGTACTCCAAAGTATTTTACAACATCTGGTATGGCCAAGAAGCAGCAGGAAGTAACATTTTTTGCCTTCTCCCCTTGCCTCTTAAACTCCCCACTGTCCCCCCCATCCCCTTCAGACAAATACCAGCTTGGTTTTATTCTCAGTTTTGATAACTGCCTGCAGGATGCATTCAAGATCAGTGACATTGTCTTTTTTGCTGTTTGCTTGGCATGTTTCAGCTAGCTCAACTTAACTATGAGGAGTTAAGATTTCTCCATTTAGTAATAACTTATTTTACATCCTGAGGAAAGTTATAGGGAGGACACAGGCAAAACTGTCTAAACTCTATTTGTAACTTGTATTGGGGTTTTTTTGCATGCTTAAAAGTCAGTCAGCCAAGGCCTAGAATAGAGAGACTGCATACAAATGAACAGACTTCACCCTTATATTTTCTTTCAGATTGTATATAGGCTTATTGCTCAGTAGTCTTTAGGACTATTGAATGGTTTTGATTTGTACCAGCCTAATCTTCATTATTGGCTGCAAGCTACTTTATGCTTTCTAGTGAACTGCAGTTAAATCAGATTTTGTTACTGCATCAACTGTTTTTTGTTTCCTTTTTTTTTAATAAAGAAGGCTAAATTAGCAATAATAATTTCCTTTGCCTACAACCCTGAATGAGCATATATTGAAAAGTACAATGTAGTATTAAAAAAAAAAAACAACCTGGAGATAAATGAATGGCAGAATAAATAATTTATGCTAATGAAATTACTGCAATTAGTAGTTCCACAATGACCCTTTTAAAAGCCACAGCTGTTAACGTCAGGAAGTGCTGTCACTGCTGACCTTATCATAAGAGAAAGTGACAAATTGAAAATGCAGGGAAGACCAATCCTCAAAGAGGTCTGTTCGGGAACGATTAGTGTTTTCTGAAAACCAGTGTGAATTACAACCAGCTGCTCTCTGGCTCGGCGTGTCTCCCATGCTGTGCCATTTTGTTAAGCTCGATAACAATAGTTATTTTGCCCCATTGAGACAAGTTGTCTCAGGCCACTTCCAGCTCTACCGGAACCCACTTCTTCCCTCACTGATTTACAAATGAAACTGTTGTTAGAGGGCTTTTCAGGGCTGCTGAGTAGAGACCTCTCATAAGGATCATGTGTAAGGAGGTTGTCTTTTGCTAGGAAGAGCTGTACTGCAGGGTGCGTATGTGTCACAAACAATGAAAAAAGGAGAAAAAGGCTGAAATGCATTTCAGCTGAAAGCCAAGCACTGCTCAAATCTGCATAAAATGTCCATTCCTGCTGACTAGCCTTGCTTTTACAAACAATTTTTTAGAGATGAATGTATGCTAGCTTTGCCTCAAGTAATGATGTTCTGATTTTTTTTTTATTTGTAAAGCAATTTATTTCTGCTTTCTCTAAATGCAAATCATTCCTTATTTAGTCCTTGTTTTAATTTCTGTTTTTGTAATCATAGGTGAAATAAGTATTCTTTTAAACTAGCTTTTAAAAGTCACGAGAAAATAATGAGGTTTCTTACTGAGAAAAATGGCAAGTCTTTCTGCATCAACCTGATTGTAATATTAATGATGCAGGCTTAAAACATTTAGCTGCCTCAACAGCCACTCATGAGCAATTTTCCCAAAGTTTCCTAAGCATTATTGACAATGCTTTGGTAAATTATGTGTGACTTTCCTAAGAGTTGGTGTAGCTCATTTAATTCATATTAATTGATTTTTAGGCTTCCCTTGATTAATTGAACTGGGTTCATCTTGTACAGAATGCAATAAATAATCATTAAAATGAGGGAGATGTGACTCCACAAATTATAAAGTTTAAGCATGCTAGAAGTCACAGAGGACAAAATGGAAGTTAGTTACAATGATGGAGTTTAAATGGGTTTCCTTAGTATTTCCCTGTTAATTTTGCATACAATACTCTTGCTTAGACATGTATATGTATATTATAGTGATATAGGTAGTATATTATAGTAATATAGGTAGATAGAGTCCTTTAAAACAAACAAAAATTAATTTGGGGCGTTTCTTATTTCACCTTTATCCTGGAGAAGTATACTCTTATTCAAAGTAGTGTAGTAGTATCTTGTATTTGCTAGTTCAGTTTTCAAAAAATTTAGAAAAAGGACCTTTGAGCTTTAGTTCTGGAACTAGTCTCTTTTTGCTGTGAGAGGTGAATAAAGACAAGCATTTTACTTCTGCATTTTTGCTCAGAAATGCATGACTAAATGACCATCTGGAGCTGTTTTAAATATGCCTAGCTTGCTTTGGTTATCATATAGTATGTGAAAAGAATATTCCTGTCTCACAGCTGCACTTTCCTCCCTGTGATGAGGGAGAAGCCCCATGCAGTACTGTGTGGCACCCAGCTCAGCTCCCTGGCACCCCAGGACTGCTCTGGGATCCTTTCTGCGGTGTGCTGAGATTTGCTTGGAGCTGGAGGTATACTTTGCAGTTTGATGCCTGGGTGGCACTGTAGGGAAGGGTGTCAACTGTCACAGCTTGGAGTGACTCTGAACTCCATTAAATCATAACTACTTTTCCAGTCAAATACCCCTTGAAACTGATAAAAGGTCTCCTCAGTACAGAAAGGTTGCTGATTTTCTGACATTTTATGCTATGTAGAGACTCAGCTTTCAGAATTGCTCCACAGCAGTCTAAGCCTGCCCTCGTAACAGGTTATGTTAGTTTATCGCTGACTTTGACAAGCAGAGATAAGCAGGGACTTGTACAACTTCAGAAATATAAATCATGGAGTCCAGTTCCATTTAATCAGAAGTTAATGGCATAAATGCACTTTACTCTGAACAGGAATTTGATGATACATAAGGCATGTGGGGATCAGTGTGATTAGAGTAACCATTTTATTGTATTTCTTTAACCCATACAGGATTTTTCTTAAACAGGATTTCCAGAGGTGAAATAGAAAATTTGTATAGTATTAACTCTTCACACAGCAGTATAGTGACTGATATAATCTCTGGCTGTAGCTTGTAGGAGTATTTATTTTAAAAGTATGTTGAAGCACTGAGCTTCTGTAGTGATGAAAACTTAATGAATGCCAGTGCAGAATTAGTTAATTTACATGCAAAAAAGTTGAGGAAGGATCATTTTGGTTTAATGTTTTTACATGCTGACAAAATTATGTTTAGGATAGACTGGAGAATAGTTTTGTGAACAAACCATCCTTAGAAATGTAACCTTCTCTGACTTATATAGATACACTTAATTCTGGAAACATTTCTTTGTTCCTATGGTTTCATTTGTTCTTGTTCCTTGGGTATGTTCAGCCACTCATCCAGGACTCCATTTGTGATTTCATGGCTTATGCCCACACCAGTGTGAGTATGCTGAGTGCCAAATATAATTGTAATGAGAGCTGGTACAATTACACCACTCCAAAGAGTTTTCTGGAGCAAATCATGCTTTCTAAGATCCTTCTAGAGAAGAAAAGCAAGGAGATGACAGGACATATTGTCACATCTAGCTCAGATGAGGGAGATAGTGAATGGCATGCAGAAGCTGAATGCAGGAGCTTTCCGGGTAAACTGTGAAAGTCACAACATTTTCTTTCATTCTGTATAAATACTCTTGGGTTTCTTGCAAATAAAACAAAGTTGTCACAGAACCTTTTCATTAAATTAATTAGTTGTGGGGTGACATTTTTTGTGTTTCGTTGAAATTGCCTGATTTTGGAAACTGGGGTGTTTGGTGTTTTTTTTCTTTGCGTAGAAGCTCTTTAGCCTGTCTTTGTAAAGAGAGGTCCATCCATCTGAGCAAAGACAAAGTCTGGAGGGAAGGGAAGTGTAGTGGGGCCACAGTAAAAGGGTGGGAGGGGAAATAGATGCAACAGTAAAAGCCAGGCCATGGAGAGAGAAGATGCAGGTCTGTGTGTGGGGATTTTTTGTGTGGCCAGTGACCAGCTGTGGGGTAATGAAAGCATGAGGGACAAGTGTGGAGCCTTTCCATCAGCTGTTGTCACCTCCTTGTGGGGTTAGTGCCATTTCACACCCAGTCAGTGCTTCTGTCTGTTCATTTGTGGCTGGTCAGTCTGCAGAGACAGAAGGGAGAGGAAACTGCTTTGAAGCCTTTCCCCCACTCCACCCCCTCACGTGTTCCATAATCCCTTTTGAAAATGCAGAAGACAAGCCACAGTCAAGTGATTTTTTTATTAAAAATAAAAAGTCTGCATGTTTTTATAAGAAACTGCAAACGAAATGCTCAGTTGCAGTCTTTGCCTCACGTTGCCTCTTGTTGCTAATCTGTGCGATTAATAGTGGGAGCTGGCTGGTTTATTCCCACTTTGCCACCTGGAGACCTGCAAAAATAAATGCTCAACAGAGAAGGGTGACTGTTTTTTTGAAGTCCATCTTTAATATGGTATCCCATGCTAGTAAATTACTAAAATGCTCTTTCTGTCTGAATTCTGATTTGACACTGACCAAAAGGCAATTTGACAATTTCAGATGCTGCATGCTGTGCTAGCAGACAGAGCCACAGCTCCTATCTATCTAGGTGCTTAAACACTGAACCATTTTTATCCTGCACTCTAGAGCTCTACACAATAATATAAAATGCAGCACTCTTTAGTAGGGGTTTTTTTTTCAGGAAGAAAAAGACATAAAATCAGCTCAAATAAATTGAAAAAATAAATGAGATAATTTGGGATCTTTACAGTGATCTGTTACAACTCAGTATTACAGCTTTATCTTCTCATCTCAATGTAGCCAAATTTTGAAAAGGTAGATTTTGTAGGTTTTGTAAGATTTCAGGAGCCCACCAAACAAGACTGCCCCTCAACATTTTCCATGTGCTGAAAATTCAAGCCCTGTAATATTTTTCTTCCTCTTTGTCTTATCACCTCTACCCAGATCAGGGTAACAAGAGGCCCCTCTGGTTAAAATATAGGCTTTTATCACGAATAGCTCCAGATAAAATGCTTGTAGGGACAGGGCGGGGTGGGGGGTGGGGGAAATTTAAACCACAGGTATTTGAAACAATTCCTTTATACGTGGAAAGATACTGTCACTGGATGTTTTGATATGGATTTCTCACCTGGCAGGCAATAAATCGCTATTTCAGGAAGCTAACAGGTAGTCTTTGTTCATCAGTCTGAGTCTGTCTTAACCTTTCAGCAAAACTCTGCTGGAATTATCTGCTCAGAGTGATTGCTAAGCATTTTCCATAATGTCCTTTTGCTTTTACATTTTCATCTTCACTAGGTGCTGCAGCTGGGCCGTGTTGAACCACTGAGACACCTGGTTGCAAACACAACCTCAGCAGTTGAGTGTCTCAGGGGAACTGTGGGGTCCCTGGTGGGAGCAATTAGGCTGTTCTTAGTAAATTCTTCATATCAACAAAATTCTGTGAGCTGCAAAGAAGCAGCTGTCAAATGGAAACAAAATAAAAAAGAAAGAGAACGCTTTTAGTACTAAGACCCACAAAACATGAGTTTTGTTTTCAGTTCAGCTTTTTGGGGCTCATGTGATATAATCTTTTCAGACCATACCTAAGGACCTTTCCTCCTGAATAACGCATTACCTTTTGCCCTGTAGGTAGAAGATCTAAAATCCAAACTTGCTTCTCAAGAGACAGAACTGCAACTGAGAAATCAAGATGCTGAAGCTTTGATTGCTAAGATAAGGTTTCAGACTGAGAAAGTGATCCAAGAAAAGACCACTGCAGATGCAGAGGAGCAAAAGGTCAGTCTAATTCCCCATTTAGTGCTGTTGAGCTATATTTAGCACAAAATAAACCTTTTTAGGTGAACAGTTTTGAACAACTTCCTCTCCAGGGAGCATAAAGTCTAAAGAATTATTATACTTACACGTGTAACAGCATTTCACACCGTGATTACCACTTGACCTTTCTTTACATTATGCCTTTTCCCAACCTTTTAGCTGTTTTAATGAGATGAAAGAACAATAAATACTGAGCTCATTCAAGCATTTAATGGATGTGGATCTTGAGAATCAGACCTATTTGTTATACAGTAAAGGTCAGAGAGTCATCTCTGAGCTCTTCAGATTTCTAAAGGCTCTGAGGCTCCAGGTAAATTGAACAACTCAATTGATACAGAAGTTCATTCCAGTATCCTGTAATATTACAAGGTGCAAACCTTGAATTTTAAGATTATAATAGCATTCCTAATAATATGTGTCACCAGTGTTGAATCTTCTTTTTGCTCTCAGTTCAGCCTATTAACATTAGTTATCAACATCCATGTTGAAAACACAGAAGCTCACATGCATTAGTGCTCACCACAGAACGAATAGAAATAATTTCATCTGGACTCTAAAATTTTCATCTCCTGTTATAAGCACAGTTTTTGAAATAAAACACCAGCAGTATGGAATGCTATAAAATGAAGTTCCTCTGCCTCTAAAGTCTGAAGAGCATATTCAACTCTGGTATTTTGATATGAGATCTGATGTACATTGTGTCATTTATCAATATGGCAGAGAAAAATGTTTAATTGACTCATAAGAGTTGTTAATGCCTGATTTGAGCTATGGAAACTTCAAGTTGCCAAGAACTTTGTAAACAGTTTTCAGATACTAATTAACAGGGAAGACTATACTGTATGAGCAATCAAAATAGTCTTTCATTCTCTTTTATTTCTTAAAGCCTTCTTATTATTAGGTGATACTTAATACTTTTCTAGTGACCTTGTGTCTCACCCTAATTTTATTGAGGGAAAAGTGATTTTTGAGACTGACATAAATGAAGACTCGGTAAGGACCTTTATATTTCTCTGGATTATGTTAATTATGGACTTCAGCCTTTTGCTGATCTGTATCTTATACAGGACTCAAAAATTGCTATGAAGTTTAAAGTCCAAATAGTACAATTAATTAAACTTCCACAAATTGGATCCAACAGCTCAACATCCTTCCAAACACTCTTCAGTGGTGCTTTTCCTGTATTGGTTCCATATGCTTTTGATGGATTTGGATGATCAAAATACACCCTTAACGCAACTCTAATTACTTCATTAAACTACTAGGTGAAACACACAGAGTGATTATCGTGGGATAATCACATCTTTGGGCCACTTTGTTTCAGGGATAAAGTTCAGCACATGACGCTAATGATTACCGTACTCCCCTGTTCATTGCTTTATTGCACTTCTGAAATGTTTTCATTGGAAATAAAAGTGTCATTTTGTGCTACATTAATCTAAAACTATTTCATAAGGCTGATGATGGTTTCTAAACATTAATCTTCTGTAATTTTTATTACAAAAAGAAAAATCAGTGAATGAGAATACATCTTCCAGCTAAGTAATTTGTGAATACTCTTCATAACTGATTAAAATTTGTCACCCTTTAAAAAATTATTTTGACTTTCCTATTCTATAGATTTCAAGCTGGAGTTTATAAGGGAGTTTTGAGTTTTACATTAAGCTAGTAAATACCTTGGAGGTATTGCCTTAGAGTGAAGCATTACTTAAGAAAAGGTGGAGAGTGGAAGTCGCTTTAGATCAGACTCATCAGGAAAAGTGGGGTCAGTCTGGATGCCCCATAAATGTGGCAAAGATACATATCTGTATAGTAAGCAACAAGAGTCTGACTATGAACGTGACACTGCTAAGGTTTTAAAATAGTGGGCATTAACACTGATGTAATTTTACTGGCCATTTGTGTGCTCTGAATGATGCCAGCCAGAGTGGTTTACAGATGAAGATGCATATGCCACTGCCTTTTGAAATGTGACCTACCCCTCCAAAGGAAGAAAACATGCAGAGCGTGGTGTAGATATATGGGTGATAGTGACAGTAGCTGAGGATTAGGAGCAAAGATGGATCCAGACTGACCATCTTTTTTTGATTTCCTTCCCTCAGCTGAAGTGCATTCTTTATTTACATGGTATATTTGAGCTCTCTATTCATGGTCTGATTGCGAAGGGAACACTGCCTCTAGCTTGTCTAACAATTTAGCTTTTTATTGAAGAGCTCTATACTGTAGAAGTTATTGATGTGAAGGGGACCAAACTTCTGGAGTCAGGGATGAAAAGCTCCTTCATCTCTTTGTGAGGAGAAGTAGATTTGAGAAGTACTGTCCTAAGGCTTATCTGCAATCTGCTCTGTTTAATTTTTCCTCCCTTATAAAAAATTATATTGTCCATGCTTTCTTTGGGCATCAGCAAGCAACGAATAACTAAGCATAAGAAAAAAGAGACAGAACTATAATGCAACTTGTGTGACTTAAATTAGCTGTTTGCTTTAATGGAAAAGGCCATATCATGTTAGAAGCACTATGTACTGTACTTGTTCACCTGGTTACATCCTTAAAAACTTTAACAGAAGGAGCTGTTCTAAACTCTTCACTTTAACTTAATTTTAGTAACGTGGGTCTCAAACCATGTTAGAGAAAATAAAAATCAAACCAAAACTGCAACTGTATATGCAGTATTTAATTAACAAAATATGATGTGGCTAAGATTTCATCCTAAAAGCTACATCACAAGACATAGGGGAAATATTTAACTTTATTAGTAACTTGTCATTTGTAATGTAATGTATATTGACTTTTAATCTTAGTTATTTTCATGGACAGTGTCTGTTTGCATCCCATGTAATAAATATATACATGGAAAGTGCCCCCAACAGTTGTAGAAACATGTTTTATTAGGATATTAAATTCTTACAAAGGCTTGTCACTGCCAATGCATAGTGCTTGATCCAAGTACTAAAATCTTTATCACTGTAATATCCTCTTTCTCTGTAATTAGACTTTGTTTAAGCAAGACCTGACAGGAAATGAGCCAGTGAGATGAGCATGAAGTACAAGGAGAAAGACGAACCAAATATAACTAACTTCAGCCCCAGGGAATGTATCCTTAAAAATGTGTATGATAGTCTTCCAAATACGCAATTGCAGATGATACAGAACACCCTCTAGGGTTACTCTGCCAGATAAATTTTCACCAGTGAAATCATAATCAGCTTTTAAACAGATAATTAAATAATTGGCAGAAAGCTGTGTAGGTGCTCAGATTTCACTTAAAACCAATGCTGGCTGATGTAAAGTTACTGATCTAAGCCACTGTTAAACCAAAATAAACGTTTTTACAAATCTGCTTGGATTGATATCTATTTAATTTCCAAACCTGAAATTAAATAGGTGCAGTGTTTTCAAATAGGCTATCTCCTTTTGTCCTGTTCTCTCCCTTGTTGAGGCCTACGATTTCAGTCCTGGAACTGAGGAATTAAAAGAAAAAGGCAAATTTACCGAAGGATAGAAGCTGGTTTGACAAATGTGAAATATTTACCCCCAAAATGCAGGGAATATTTTACTGGTTAGAGAAACCCCCAGTGCATCACTAGAACTGACCATAAGCTCCCTGGTATTTTCTCTGGTTTTTTAAAAGGGAGCCCTTTAAAGAGGAAGAATTGTGGAGTTAGGAAATAAAGATCATAGCTCTCAAAATCTTAGTGAAAAATCTTCACTTCCTCTCCACCATGTATCTCTTGTTTAGTTCCAGCTTCTGCATTTGAACATAGGTCATGAAATGCCTGCAGCTACCTACTGAAATGGTATAAGCTGTTGAGTTCTCCCCTGTGTTTGATAACTCCTCAGAAGTAACAGACTGCCCTGATATTCCCCAGCTTTTTGTACAGATAGCTTACCTGGTCTCCCATCCTGCATTACAAAATCTCTCACCTTTGCATCCTACAGTATTATATAATGAATCCTAAACACAGGAGTCCTTCTAAATTTTTTGTATCTATCTCACACAGTGATCTCCAGGTTTCTGTTGGCAACCAGGAGCATTCACTATCTGTGTCTTCACAAGCTTACAGGGTCCTTTCTTCAAAAGCATCCATACAGATAGGTGGTATTTCACATCCGTACAGACATGCTTGAACACAGGCTGGTAGTACTTTTACTAGGACGGTCTTCAAACTAGCAATTTTTCAGCAAGAGATATGAAAAGCTTATCTAGAAGAAGAAAATACATACATAAATATACATTACCCTTCTTACAGCTGTACCTCTCTTTTATGTCCTTAGATATCAAGATGGCAAAGAAAGCATTGCCTGCAAAGTTTTGTGTTGTAGTGTTCTATGCAAGAAAGAAATTGAGCATCACACAAGTCTCACAAAAATGAACAGAAATTGTATAAGGCTGTCGCATAGTCCTCTCACAACACTGTGATGGTATTGTGCTGTCCTTCATTACCTTGAAGGAGAGGAGATTGTGCTAAGCAATAGTTAGTTAATTAACCAAGGAGGTTTAGTCTGGACTGGCCTTTAAGAGGTCCATAATCCTTTCACCATCTATCTGTGAGCACTACCAAAATTGTGTGGAAGTGCCATATTTTCTTTAGTATGCCAGAAATAAACCTTTTTTCTTGTCCATTAGCTTAAGTGCACATATATTTAATATTATAATAAGAATAGGGCAAAGTTGTCAAGGCCAGAATTGGAGCAGCCTGTGAAGAAGAGAATTTGAAAAATGAATATTTGAAGTATAAACCATTTTTAGCAGATAAAGCATCAGTACCTGCTTCTTACTTCTCAGTTTGCAAAACTGAGCAACAGAGAATAATGGAGACTATCCAGTTGTTATAATAACCCAGATAAAAGATTCTTTGTGATGATACAGACATTCATCCATTAAGTACAAACAAAAATGGTTTCTGGTACACCAATCCAAAGCTATTCTGTTTCCTATTCATCTCTTTTAGTCTCAGTGTGTTTTCTCCACAAAGGGGGTAGTCAGCAGGTTTCCATCTCCTGTCTCACGCTATTGTCCTTGAAAGGGCAGAGCAACATGCAGGGATGCTTCATGGTTCAGAACAGCAGGAAAGAAAGGAACTTTGTATACCAAATTTTCTCTCTGGAGCAATGAGAATAAATGTGATCTAGCTATTCAGAGGTTAACCTACTGCTTTAGTAGAAATAGCAGATACAATATGAGGTTATAAGTCACTGAGAAGCCTGATAACTTCTAATGATTGTAGACAGCTGATTTGCCAGCACATCCCTCCGCCTCTGGCTCTTTATCGTGTTATCCTCACTACATACAAGGCTTCACTCCTGAGCAGCTGCATGTGCTAGCTAACACAGAGCGTATAGGAGCTTCACTGACGTGAGCAGTGGCTGCCTTATGGAAGTCCCGGCACTGCAAAACTCAGCTGTTATTGAGGGTCTGGCCCACCACCTCTTAGAATCATGGGATCATAGAATAGTTTAAGTTGGAAAGGACCTTTAAAAAAGAAAGGACTTTGTAATGAGCAGGGACATCTTCAACTAGATCAAGTTGCTCAAAGCCTTGTCTAACCTGACCTTGAATGTTTCCAGGGATGGGACATCTACCACTCTCTTGACAAGCTGTTCCAGTGTTTCACTACCCTCATCGTAAAAAATTTCTTCCTTATATGTAGTCTGAATATACCCTCTTTAAGTTTAAAACCATTACCCCTTGTCTTATTTCAACAGGCCCTGGTAAAAAGTGTGTCCCCATCTTTCTTATAAGCCCTCTTTAAGTATTGAAGGGCTGCAATAAGGTTTTCCTGAAGCCTTCTCTTCTCCAGGCTGAACAACCCTCAACTCTCTCAGCCTGTCATCATAGGAGAGGTGCTCCATCCCTCTGATCATCTTCATGGCCTCCTCTGGACCCACTCCAACAGGTCCATGACCTTCTTATGTTGGGAGCCCCAGAGCTGGACACAGGACTCCAGGTGGGGTCTTATGAGGGCAGAATAGATGGCAGAATCACCTTCCTCAACCTGATGGCCACACTTCTCTTGATGCGACCCAGGATACAGTTCAATTTTCTGGGCTGTAAGTGCACATTGCTGTCTCATGTCCAGCTTTTCATCCATCAATGCTTTCGAGCCCTTCTCTGCAGGGCTGCTTTCAATCCCTTTGCCCTCCAGCTTGTATTGATACCGGAGGTTGCCCTGACCCATGTGCAGGACCTTGCACTTGGCCTTGTTGAGCATCATGAGGTTCACACGGTCCCACCTCTCCAGCCTATCCAGGTCCCTCTGGATGGCACATCCCTTCCCTCCAGCGTGTCAATCGCACCACTCAGATTGGTGTTGTCAGCAAATTTAATGAGGGTGCACTCAATCGTACTCTCTATGTCATTGATAAAGATATTGAACAGTACTGGTCCTAGTACAGACCCCTGAGGAACACCATTCATGGATCTCCATCTGGATATCAAGCCCATTGGCCACTACTCTCTGGATGCGACCATCTGGCTAGCTCCTTATCCACTGTACACTCTACCCATCAAATCCATATCTCTTCAATTTAGAGAGAAGTATGTTGTGGTGAATCAAAGACCTTACAGAAATCCAGATAAATGACATCCATATCTCTTCCCTTGTCCACTTACATAGTCACTCCATCATAGAAGACTAGGTTGGTCAGGCAAGACTTGCCCTTGGTGAAGCCATGATGCCTATCTTGAATCACATCCCTGTCCTCCATGTGTTTTAGTGTAGCTTCTAGGAGAATCTGTTCCATGATCTTCGCAGGCACAAAGGTGAGGCTGACTTCTGCAGTATGATGGTATAAACAGGATATGTTAATTCTCATCATGCAGAACAGATGGAGTCTAGACCTGAGCATAAACCTGCTTAAGTGTCAAGAGTTGTAGAGGCCTTTTTTATGTGTAATATAAAATATTGGATTTTTAAATCTGTTTGCACATTACACTCAGTGTGAGCGCTTAAGCAGTTCAGATTTGATTTATAGTCCTAGTTTTCAATATAAATCTTTAGATTTTTTGTTTTAATAAGTAGCAGCAATCCCAGAAGTATATCTGACACAGAAAGAATGCGAGGATGACCTGCTGAAGGCTGAACCTGCTCTTATTACTGCTACATCAGCCTTAGACACGCTTAATAAGGTAAAGATCATACAGTTTGATGTCTGAAAAAAAAAAAAAATTGTTCATTGTCCAAATAGTTCAAGGCTATTAAATGGCCATTCCAGTGCCAAGCTTCCAGGCACAATCAAATTTCCATCTTCTCTGAGCAGCATGCTTCAAAACAACAGGTTGGCAACTGACGTACCTGACCTGGCAGTACACTCCCCATCACCCTACTTGACCAAGTTGCACATACGATTGCAGAGCAAGAGAAGGGGTGTGGTCATGAGCATTTTCACCACATAAAATATTAAGTCTTCAGAAAGCTGAGAGTTATATGCTGGTAATCAGAAAGCTTCTGTGAAACAAATCCACTGTTGTTGCACAGTTCTGTACCTGTTCCTCTGACCTTCTTTTTTCAGGTTAGAACTGAAAGCTTTCACCAACCCACCAATTGGCTGTAATCAATGTTATTGCTGCAGTAGTGGTTTTACTGGCATATAAAGGGAAAATACCCAAAGTCTGCAGCCGGAAAGCCACAAAAGTCTTTATGGGAAAGGTAATGATCAGTGAGACATCACATAATGTCTGAGATGAAAGAGGAAATGAATAGTTAAGAATGAGACCCAGAGGAAGAGAAACTAAATCACAACTTCATTTTCTCACAGTCTGAATTTAGGGGGATAAGATATGACCCTGTATTGTTCTTTTCTGTGTATGCTTAGTGACAAACTCAAGCGAGCCTAAGCACCACTGGGATTTATTAATTGCAAAAATAGAAGAAAAGTCAAAGGGACAGAATTTCATGATATTTATCTCATCTATGCCAAACTCCTCAAGTGAATCATAAAATCACAAAATGTGTCTATGAGGGTGAATACTTCAAGCTTTTGAAGGAAACAATATTTTTGCTTTGTACTGCATAATGTTTCCAATAAAATGAGTTAGTGAAGGATTCCAGTTTTACATTTGTGATGAAAGTAGGAATTAGCTTCTGATTCTCTGAAACGGAAAAGGATTGTCTTTCAGCTTGATGACTTCTTAGAAGCTTTAATCAGCTATGATAAGGAGCATATTCCTCAGAATTGTCTGAAAGTTGACAAGGAACATTACCTGAAGGATCCAGATTTCAACCTAAATTATGTTCGTACAAAATCCTATGCAGCAGCTGGTCTCTGTGCCTGGGTCATCAATATAGTAAAATTCAATGAGGTATATACATATCAGTTCCTCTCTTGACTAGCCCTGATGGGCAGAATTTCTGTTACTGAAGTTTTTTATTGTTTTGGTAAGCTCATCTCAGTGTTCTGGAGAGAATGTAATGGCAACCACAGATAAAGTGGGAAATATTCAGTGCTTGACAGGATGTACACATGTATTTATTGGTAGTAAAAGGGCTAAAAAAGGTGTGGCTGTCCAGGACTTTTCAGCTGTCATTATGATGCAACAGTTGGGAATATTCTTCTCCAGATGTACATGTTTCCCTTGAAACAGTCATCTGAGTCTGGCTGTCTGAAGTGTAAAACAGCTTATCACTTGTGATTCTCTTGAGCACCTGGCAGCAGGATTCCTTCATTCATCCTAGTATTATAGCATATTATCATTTAATTCCAAAATAGTAAAAAGCTAATCAATTTTAGTTGAAATCTACTCAAGCTTGATGCCTGTCTGATTTTCACTTGTATTCTAAAACCATGAAAGCAATCCATATAATTTAATTTTAGTTGGAGAATAGACCGACTAAGGATCCATTCAGTTCTACTTAAGATATCCTTATATAGACTATAATCAAATCTCCTGTAGTCTTTAGGCCACTAATGACAGAAATTTCTGCATGTGTGTCTATTGTGTAGAAAGATGGCTCTAAAGCAAATATATGTTATGAGAGACTACTAGGATTATCTGAAAGTCTTTCATCAGGAATAATTTGTAACTGTTATAGTAAATGTGTGACCAGCTTCTTGTCTAACGTATCTATGTTGTATGTCTTTTTCAAAGTGTATTCTGAGGTAGAGCCAAAACATTGTGCATTGGCCCAGGCAAATGCTGAATTAACAGCACCTGCAGAAAAACTAGAAGCCATCAGGAAGAAGCTTTTTGTCAGTACTGCTTGATTAATAAGCATTCTTCTTTAATATCTTGAGCCCACTAAATTTTATCAGTTTTATTTATTTATTTCATTTTGTTATTTTATTACTTTACTGATTTTATTACTTTCTGGTTCAAGTATTACAGATATATTTTCATTAGGGATTATCACTATTTTCCCTTCAAATCTACTGAATAACATTCCATAGTTTTGGTGTAGCACATGAAGCTGTTCATCACAAATGACTGAATTTCCTCAAAGCTGTCCAGGCACATTATAACCAATAGATTAGTAAAATGAAATGACAGTTGATATAAGTAACCGTCTATGATTTTTACAGGGAATATATGCCAAGTGTTTATACGACTACCTGTTAGAATATAGGAATAACTTCCGGAAAGGGCTTTGCAAGCTCATGCTTGTCTGTGTTTATGTTTGTCATTAAACATATCATAAAAATGTCATGAAATCTCCTTTGGTTTTTTGAAAGACCTCTGAACACGTGTACACATGCATGCACATAAGCACATAGAAGTAGAAACTTTGATTAGTCTTTTACTGACAAATGTCTTTTGATGTAATAAATGAATCAAAGACCACGTTTACCACAAAATGTCTACTGCAGTTTTGAGAGGGATTATTTGTTGTTCATTAAGTATTTATTTAACAGAGCAAATGCAACACAAAGTGCTCTTGAAACAAAGACATCTTGTGGTGTCTTGGGAGATGGTGGTTGGAAGGAGTTTCTCTGCTACAGGCTAATTACCCTTACTTAGCAAAGAAGGCTTCAAATGGTTCAAAAGATATGGCATTAACTAGATTTAGAAGGCTTTGACTTGCTTTAAGACTTTTTTTGATGATAACATTTAGATCTGAAATCTCACAACTTCAGATATCGAGCAATAAATGAAGGCTGAACAGATCTGTAATGTGGGGATTATCCTCACTGTTTTCTTTTAATAATTTAAGAGAATGAGCAAGATTCACTTTTAATGAGACTCTTAGAAATTTGTGAATTATGGTATCTGAGGATTTCATCCTTTATTTTAGCAATTTCTTGGGTTTTCTCCTGTTGTTGTAGTATCAATTTTTTTCTTGTTCTGAAGGAGATGCAGGTATAATGGGTAACCAAATAAAACTTTTATCATCCCTCTTACTCTTCTGGCCCTTCTGCCCCCCACTGCAAAAATGCCATCAGCTGCTACAACATCTATTTTGCCTCTATATGATGCAGCCTTAGCTTTGTGACCTTGAAGTTGCCCATTCAGATCAAAGTAAATCTGCCTTAGTGAAGCTTGTATCTACACTAAAAATAGATTTACCAAAGAAGCATGGTTTTTATTCCACATATCTATACTGATGTGTGTTTATTGAGTGCAAATAATTACTTTTTGAACAGAAATAGCCCTTTAATGTTTTGTGGTTTTTTTACGTTATTTTTAATACACAGCAGTCACCCCTGAAACTCATCGAATCTTTTGTTGGTTTAATGTGTTCCTCAGAGAAGAGCACTAATGTATCTCTGCTCTTTGTCTGATGGTATCTCAGAGAACCTTTTCCTGTTTTAGGTGATCTTGCAGTTCATTACGCCTCTAACTTTGAATCTAGTCCTGTCTTTTTAGATTTATTTACTTCCCCTTTCATCTCCCTATGAATTTTTCTGAAGGTGGTTAGCAACACTCTCTGCTATGCTTAGTTCCTAGTAGGAAGAAATCTGCACCACAGACAAAGTTGCAGTTCCCCCTGCAGTTGTCTGTTTCCTGTGTTAGGCCAACAGTCGTCACATTGTCATTCAACATGAATGTTTTTCTTAACTACTTTATAAAATCCATATTGTATGTTCAACCAGACTTCCTTTTACAAGGTAGGAGGATCCAGTTAAAATTGGGGGTTTTAATTTATTAATAAAACTGTTTTATTTTTATAACTGATTTATACCATAACTGATGAACCCGATGAACTTTTTAAGGAGCTGTAACTGTAATTTTTGATTCTCTGGTAGGTATTACTCTTAGCAATAATAAGCTCCAGAGCTGAAGAGGTTGCTGAATGGAGAACACTATAGCTGGGGAAATTCACTGTTGATAAATGCAGAATAATATATATTGGAATGAAAAAATTTCCCTTTTTATGAATACATCTTGATTATTGTTTATTCATTAGCAGCTTAGGGAAGACCTGGGGCTAACTGTGGATAGTTCAAAGAAAACTTTGAAGTTAACCCTAGTTTGAGCTGAGAGTTGTACTGGATGACCTCAAAAGGTCCTTCTAGACTATACCATTTCATGATTCCAAAAATAAAGCATAAATTTGGTTAATCCAGTAATATTTTACAGTAAGATGAACTTCAGTAAAAGAATAAAAAGGAAATACTTGTCTATTGATTGTCTATATTATATATGCTAAAATGTATTTGTAAACTTGAGAGTGATTGGTAAGAGTGTATTATAATGATACAGTAAAAACTGATGCATACATCTTGCTCAGGAAAACTTGCTTTTCTCTTGTTTCTAGGTACCTGAGCTGTGACTCAGTCCAGAAATTTGAAGATGCCCAAAAGGGATTAAATTTTTATATATGAAACAACTTGAAAAATGCATGTATGTCTGTAATTCACGTTTTAATCCATCATTTAATTTCTGAGAATTATTGGTTAAATTATGTTTTGAAGGTATTATTCCTCTTGGATATTTCTGTGTTTGTTTCTTAGGTCCACATGTTGTATGTCATCTCAGGAAGAATGTGCAGTCACTGTTTTTAAATATTCTACTACGCAGCCTCCAAATATTTCACTTCAGAAGTTTCATTTACAGTGTAGTTTTTTTGCACAGGCCAATGCAAAATGTTGTTCATTCAAATGTGTTGCAAATTCCAGCTAGCAATAGTATTTTCATCTAATCTGACATGCTTTTTTCCATATGTGAGGTGATTGAAGTTACTCATTTCCACAAACTGCTAACCTATACATATGCTGTATCCAAATGGGGTATACTGTGCGGAAACTTACGTACACTTGGACTAGCAATGATATATGTTTCTATTGTACTCATAGAAAATAAAGAATATAATTTCTTGTCCACTGAGAGGACTTAAAATGTTACTTAAAGGAAAGATTTGAAAGTGATTGAAGTAACATAGTTTTAATTAAGTGTTTAATTTATGTCTTATCTAGTAGCTGTGTGGCAGACTGGAAATGATCAAAGTGTCTATAAAAGTGTAGTCCATAACATGAAGATATGTGTGTATAAAAGCCATTGATAGTTTCCTCAGGACTGTCAACTAGAAGGAAAAAAAAAATATTGCAAGCTAGCATGCACCAGAGCTTCAAACTCTAGGAATCTTAGAAGGAAGTTTAAGTTTCCAGAATTGTAACAAGTTGGGGATGTGACACCTGCTTCATAAAATGGTAATCCATGAAGTTTCTACTATAGCAAATTGTATGGCTGAGAGATGCACTTCTTCTGATCGTTAGTGGCCAGATTCCTACCTGTGAAATGTTAGAGGATGAGGAGAGACTGAGTTCATTAATAAGATTCAGTAGGGAGAATGAGCTCTGCAGACTGGCAGGAACAGAACAGCATCATTTCCTATCTTTGCACTTTCGCTTTTTAACGGAATTGACATTTGTTGATTTTATGAAATCCACCACTTTGCTTGGTTTTGTTTTAACCATAGTTACAGCTGGCATTTCAGAGCCTCTGCTTAGCTTTCTGGGCTCAGCCTTTTTCTCCATCTAAACATGAACAACATGGTCAACAATGAATATTGCAGATTCACTGTCAACAGTGAAATTTTGAGATTTTTCATCCCTGTTCAATGATCCTGAACTGTGCTGTTCAATCTTAATTTAAAATCAGTTTGAGTTCCTCAGCTGGAAACTTGTATCAATCCACATGTTAGAGGACATGATGTTCAGCATGCTGTCCCATGGGGAGGACTGATACACACATACAGCAGTAGCATTACCAGGATTAGCTGATGAAAAGATGCAAATTCAGAGTGAAACATTGACTTTTTGCTGACACGCACTTTTAGAGTTAGAATGAAGTGCTGTATAAATATTCACCAGTTATCTTCAGCTTTTCCAGAGAGTTTTACATCTAGCAAAGTTTTATCAGCTCCATTTTTCCAACTATGGTAACTTCTTGATCTATTTATTTAGTGTTTGCATTCAGTATTTTGTAATGTGCACCCTTACTCTATGCAACCCCTTCCAGCTGGCTTATGTCAGGCCATGATTCACTGTGTAAGGGAGTCTGTGAAGGGTGTATAAAGAGAAGGAAAACTTGCATTTCTGTTGGAAAAGATGATCAGTGCAGGAACTTCTCAGTGACAGGTACCTAGATTTTATTTATCTTAGCTGTTGATAACCCTCTGTACCCCATCAGCCGGTAGAAAGCTCTTATTCCTTACTTGATTAGTATGTATTCATAGTCCGTAAGAACAAGAATTCCTCTAATGTTGAAAGATCATTCTTAACATAGGGACATTCTCCTGTATCTCTCTATTTGGGCTGCCTGCTGACTGTATCCATTCTGCAGGGAGTTTTCATCTCACTCACCGCCTCTTCTTCAGGAGTAGTAGAAGTTCTGTGCAGCCCTATCCGTCATCCTCTGAAGAGCCAAATTTCTTTTAAGCTTGCACAAGATCAGTATGTAGAGCCCACAAGAAGAAGGTACTCTACCAATGCAAATTCATTTGAATCTGCATGAAATCAAGCAGTACAGAAGAGAGATAGAATTTGGATGTTGTTTATGAATGCTAGGCTTCCAGTAGTTCTCTCAACTTTGGAGTTAAAGAAATTCAGTAAGAGCAGTGAAGCAATTACTCTTCCATCTAGTCTCTTTTAAATGCCTGTATAGTGGCATTAGAGTTTTTTCTCATCATTATCCAAGCATCAATCCCCACATTCAGTTGCCCCTTATACTTCGGTTTATTTCTTGCTCTTTTCCCTTCTGGTCATTTATTTGCTTGTCTCTTTCCTACCTTACTCTGTCCAATTTTCTAAAGAATAGTCTTGAAGGCAGAATATCAGTTGTTAGTGATCTCTGCTTCTGCATTCAAGGATATTCTGTGCTCCCTGACTCATAATTCGCTTCTTTCTGCTGGCAAAGAGAGACAGAAGGAGAATTGTACATATTTTTCATATGGAAGTTTTTGTGGCCAGCAATTCTCAGTGATGATAATTGGTGCAGCTGTTAGTAATCAATAATACATCTTCAGCCTAGACAGCACAGTTAAACTAACGTACTTTCACTCTTTAAATGAGAAATGACAAGGGGATCAAGTGCGTTCTCATAAATTCGCAGACACCAAGTTGGGTGAGAGTGTTGATCTGCTTGCAGGCAGAAAGGCTCTACAGAGGGATCTGGACAGGTTGGATCAATGGGCCAAGGCCAATTGTATGAGATTCAGCAAGGCTCACTTGGGTCACAACAACCCCATGCGTTGCTACAGGCTTGGGGAATAATGGCTGGAAAGCTGCCTGGTGGAAAAGGACCTGGGGGTGTTCATCAACAGCCAGCAGAATATGGGCCAACATTGTGCCCAGGTGACCAAGGCAGCCAATGGCATCCTGGTTTGTATCAGAAACGGTGTGGCCAACAGGGACAGGGAAGGGATCATCCTCCTGTACTTAGTACTGGTAAGGCTGTACCTTGAATACTGTGTTTAGTTTTGAACCCTCACTACAAGGACATCGAGGTGCTGGACCCTGTGGCACTTAGGGACATGGTTTAGTGGTGGACTTGGTGGTGTTAGGTTGACGGTTAGACTTGATGATCTTAAAGGTCTTTTCCAACCTAAATGATTCTATGATTCTATGGGCAATGCTATAATGAACATTGTTGCAGTGATTTTTTTAATGTCAAATATATACCAACTGGGAATAATATAGTATGTCACTTTAAACATTTGCAGTATTTTCAAGATGATAAAAAATACTCTGTGCATGGTGGTGCCTACTGACCATTTCTTGCATGCTAAAAGTTTTAATATACAAACACATGCATTTGTCCATCCAGTCAAACAATTACTGTCTATTTACAGTAAATGAAAAGAAGAGCAGGTTAGAAAATAGAAAAAAGGATTGTTTCTTCACAAGCAAAATTATTTTTTGAGTGAAAATAAATTAGATTTCCATCCTTAAAGAGACTACTGCTAAAAATATTTGTGAAAATTATGATTTACCTTCACACACATATATTTTACAATAAGTATGCTGTTAATATTAAAAAAAAGAGGAAGGAACAGTACTATGTTTGTTAGTGTTAAGGCTAAAAATGGGCCAAGTTTATCCTTTTGGCAGATATGGTGCAATTCATGTTATTTATCATTACAGTCATTAACATATAAGAGCACTTAAATACAGTGAAAATACACTCTGTGCCTGAAAAGGATTATACAAGGTCACAGTCCAGCAGGCTTGCTATGGAGAGTAATGGGTCTTTGCTGTGATTTGTGGAGCATAGTTCTGTGGCACTAACTTTCTCAATAACAAGCGTTTTTAAAACACGTGATTTATTTAGAGTACAGGGGTATAAAATGCAGTATGTAATCCTGCTGTTGCTAGACTTACACTTTATTTATGTTACGTTCTATGAAGGAATGACAAAAGGGAATGGCATGTTTTGGAGTGACAACTTTCCTATTCAAAAGTCATGAGGTAGGAAGTGTTCTGATAAAGGAGACTATTATGTACCAAAAAACCACCACTGAAATGTTGGAGCATTCCTTACTGTTTGTCTCACTGCAGAAGCCCCCCCCATTTTGTTGACTAACTATTCTTGACTGATTATGACCGTATTTCTAAGACATTTTCAGAAAGACAGGGTGTTGTATCATCAACAGTGATAACAAAAGATCTCCTCGTCCAAGCGTCTTTCAGCTGTTTTAGTTAAGTAGTCATTAACAGAAACAATTTTACATGACTGTAGCTAAAAATCCCATGTCATCCTAGCTGCTCAGTTAAGAGAATATGGAGAAAATGCTGTAGCTCGGCAAATTACCACTTATATGGCAAGGGTGATAGAGACTGAAGAAAAAAGGTCTGAGCAGTCTGAGAGGAAATTTGCAGGGGCTCACTGGGGGTGGGCAGTGCTGCTGCTGAGGTGAGGTACATTCAGTATGAAATCGGAGAGCAGAGAAGGTATGTTGCTGCCTTTGAGCAGAGTGCATGAAAGTGTGGGTAAAGATCTTTGGTCAAGGTGTGGATCTGCAGCATGCAGGAGATCTGCTTGTTTTCTGTCACTAATGAAACCATCCTGTCTGCCCAAGAGAAAATTGTTGCATCTTCTTATGCCACCAGGCTCATATTTGAGAGGAAAAATAATTCTGTTCTTGCATTTTTTCACTCTTGTTACAATGTGCACCATGTAGTTACAGTATCCTAGGATGTTTGTTACTGAATCTAGCACTAGAAACTTGTGCTTTTGTCTGGGACCTTCAGATCAACCATTACAATACAGACCTTTGACATCAAGCAGAAGATCAAGCAGCTATTTCTTCTCCTATTATTATCTCCAAGCACCTGACCTCCACCATTTAAATGAATATTTATTAAGGAATTCTAATGGCGGTCTTGTCCTAAATCATTGTTAGCTGACATACTTATGTTGTGCCAGGAGTGCTCAGAGTACAACAAAACCTTTCCTCTAAAGGTTGTATCCTTCAGACTTAAAGGTACTGTCTACAATTATTCTCATTAAAATATATTAATTAAAATTTTAAATTATTTTTTTTTTTAAATGCCAAAAAAACCCAACAAACCTTAAACTAAAATATTTGTCCATCCCTTTTCTGAACAGGTTCTGGATAGCAATCTGTGTAAGATCACAGCTTCACTCGGGAAAGCAGTTGCAGAGAAAGTCCAATGTTAAGATGATGTGAACTGAACAAACAAAACTATTGAGCTGGTTAAAGACTGGCCTTGAGGTAAGAGTATTTTCCCTGAATGTTTATCCTAGTGTGATGTTTGAAACATTTTGAAATGTTTTGTTGAGCATGAGGTTAAACTTCAATTTTTGAGGACTGAGTGGGGAAAAAAGGCTGGGTGGGGACAGGTGACGAGATGACCTTTCTTAGAAATCATTTAAATGAAGAAAAAAAAAAAAAGAAACCCACACCGTAAATAAACCCTTAATAAACTCCTGAGAAGTAAAATGTGCTGCACCATAATTGCATTTCCCAGAAGTCATGTATTGCTGAGCAACTGATATTGGCATGATTGCCAGAGAGAAGTCTGGATAACTAAGTCACCACATTTATACACAACTGTGAACACATTGTGACAGCCTGGGCAGCCTCTAGTTAATGAGCAGAAAGACTGAATAATCCTCTAGGTCAGGATGGAGTCACCCTGGATCTGCCCCCAATGCACTTTAGATTGCAAATAAGTGGAAGGCACCAATCAGATATTTGATGTTTACTTTTGGGTTTTTTCCTTTTGCAGAAACTATTAATTTTTAAATAAGTATGGAATGTATTTATGTTGAAATTATATATATTTCAGTGTGGTTATTAGCTTTATTTGCAGACAAACATCATTAAAGCTAACACTTGCTTCTAACGGTCAGTAATCATTCAAGTCAGCCACAGCATTGCTGTGCAGTCTCTCCTAGGTCTTTACAGAAATCGTGCTGTCTCAATTCATCATCTAGAATTTTAACCATTCCTTTTTAACAAATAAATGTAAATGATGGAAAACAAAAATACAAAGAATATTTACACTGCTACATGAGTTCCCAAGGCAGTCTGAGTAAATATTTTAAGTTGGATTTCATAAAATCCCTGTGACCTTGCTTTCTAAGATCAGACAGTGAATGCTTCGGTTTCTGCAAATCTCTCAACAGAGTCTGGCAATCAAGATTAAATTAGTTTGGAAATAAATGATTGTAAGAGTGTAGAATTAATTTAAAAAAAACCAGTGAAATTAAAGCAGATACATTTTTGATACCTGATTCTGAAATTAATATGCCTAAAAATGTAAAATATGTAAATAATCTTTCCTGTGGTAGAAAACCAGTGAAGTCAGTGTTACTATCTGCATATGAAAACGTTTGTTTGCCCCAAGACACCTGAGTAGGTCACTGTTGGCCTGACCCTGCAGACCTCCAAAGCTTTTGGAAGCTGTGGCAGCCAATGGCCTTTGCCCATAGGTAGTCTCTAAGTCCTGTATTAGAAGATTTATACATAGTTAAAATAAGTTTTTCTCCAAGATTTGAGTTTTTATTAGTGAACTTATTGGGTAAGTTAAGGGGGAAAATATTTTAAAGGATTAATTGAGAATGTCAAGTCTTTTCCTCTGAGAATAAATTCTTTTTGACTAGAACAGGAGACAGTTAACTTCTGAAAAGCATCAAGACTGATGATTTTGTCTATATAGCATTGACCTGGAAGCTCAACCATTCAGACTAATAAATCAGGCAATTTATATTTAATCATTAACTAACTCCCGAGCTGAACAGCTGTTCAAAATTAGAAATGGGTCACCCCGGCCAGGATGACATTACAGGCAATCTATAATGCATTAGAATAAAATTATAGTGATTTTTAACTGTCTGGAAATTTATTACACTGCATGTTCCAACTCTTAAACCCTTGTTAGCCAATGTCACTAGTGATTTATGGTGCTTGGGTGGTATGGTAAAATTACAGAAGATTTAAATAGACAATCATTCTATGTTTAGTAAATCTTCAAATTTCAAAGCTATTTTGGAGAATGAGGTGGGTGCTCTTTATTGTTTATGACTTACCAGTCAGTGGCAACAAGAAGAGAGAGAATGGATAAATCAAAAAGCCCTCTTGTAAATTAATAGATTTATTGTCCTGTTGCCTTCAGTTAATGGTTTAAAGAAGAATCCAATGACTTCTGTAGGCAGAAATGGATGTCTAAAATACTTCAAACCAAAACTGTTACATTACAAAGATTGCTGTTAGAGCTTTCAACAATAGTAGTCCTTTACTAGTCATTTCTTGGGCATCTCTCATGACTGTAACGGGTTTAGGAGGCTTTCACACACTGACTTCCTGCATTTACACTGTGAAACATTTAAATGCTAATTCTTTTAAGCACGGTACTTTGATTAAAGATACTTCCATTTTCTTAATGGATATTTTATAACAAAAGTGTTTGAGTCTTCTGTTATTGTAGAATTTTGTGTCTGCCTTTGCAGGGTAGGATGATTAACCATTTCAGTAAATATTTCTGATTGTTCTGAACAATATAAATAGAAAATACTTCATTAATATAAAATTTAACAATTATTTTGTTACTTTGTTGCAGTACACATAGAAATTTATTTTTAAAATGAGAGTTGTTATATAAGATTGATTTTATACTTTTTTAAGGCTTTCAAGAATGAGCACATCTAAGTATTCTTTTAAGCTCGCAAGCACCTAGCACCAGCAAAATGCAAGTGTTTTACATGAAATTATTTGAAGTATGGAGGATACTTTCTATTCAGTGATTTTCATTGATTTTGATTATATCATGTAAAGGACTGGATTTTTACTACTGTCATTGCTTTGAAAAATAAATGTCTATAGGACAGTGGGTAAAGTACAGTCCTTATAAGTTGTTCAGCAGTGTGCTTGCCTTCTTTCATGCTGACCCTTTCTTTGCTTCAGTCCCTCTGCTCACTGGAGAATGATTTCCTGAGGTTTCTCTGATGCAAGTGAACAGACTGTGAAACATCTTTTATTTTATCCTGAGTATTGCTAACAGTAAAAATGAGGAAGAAAGGTTATGGCAATCTATTCCAATTTTACATCTAGAATTTCATCAGTTTGAAGATGACTCTAATGATGATCAATTTTTACCTTCCTTTCCATACTGAAAATATTTGAGCATACATTCATACCTTTTTGCTGGGAATTGTATACACAGAACAATCAAAGTATAGTGTGCCAAATACTGCTCGTTTAGGTTTTATACCATGTTATAAAGTCCCATTGGAAAGGAAATGATGATTTGGTCCATATCTTAAATATTAACTTTCTTTAAAGAAGATAGTTTAATTCCTCTGCAATTCTTTATTCACCATTTCAACATTTAAAATGGACAGTGGGCTGTCTTTACAACGTAACTGGAATAAAGTAACAGCTTTCCATATAGCTACTAATAAGAAATCATCAGTATCTGAGACCATTTCTGACTCATCCAAAATATCCCAGGGTGAGCATCGTTGTGCACTCTGCAAAGGCTTCAAATCACCACCAGAAAGTAGGGATTGTTTCCAGCCTTGCAGTCTTAGGAAGTGTATCTCTTACTGACACAGTACCTTTCTTGTGCTTTTGTGTGCTTCTGGTTTTTAATGTGGAGGTTAAACATTCTGTGACTTCAACGTTGTTCAGGAAATAACATTTTCTAATTTTGCTTTGCAGTCTAAAAACATGTGTTGGAGCTCAGTCTGTTGAAAAACTCAAAGCACAAACCAAAACTTTATGTGGTGATATCTAATTAACAGCAGTATTTGCGTCTTACTTTGGACCCTTCACAAAACAGTATTGCTGGGAACTGATGGAACATTTCTGGATTACTTTTCTAAAGTCACAAAAGGTAAAATTTACTGTTAAAAATGGGAGTGACGAGTCTGGTTTCTTAAAGCTTCCATCTATCAAAAAATTGAAGTACAAATCTGTATTTAAAAGTGGCTCTCTGCAGGTATTAGTTTTCCAGTATATATAGATATGCACACTTTCACATACTTTCCTCTGATTACAGGTAAATTTTGAGGTGAATGGGAAGAAGAGGTTAAGTTCTCTTTGGCAAAAGAAAATCCCTTCCCTTTCCAATTCTTAATGCCAAATTCCGTCTTTTGTGACACCTGTGTAACAGCAAATGCTATAAATAGTGATAGAGCTGTATAGACACCTATTCTACTTAGCTTGTCAGCTCCAGGAAGAGCATGTAGTTATGATAATTCCCATTCCTTTGTACACAGAGGAAATGGTTATAATGTTCAATAAATGCATAGAGGTTATAACCCTTAGAGTTGTGTCTGAAAAGATTTCTTCCCCCTTCCTTGTGTTGTGGTTTAAACCCAGCCGGCAGCCAAACACCATGCAGCCACTCACTCACCCTCCATCACCCAGGGGCAGAGAATTGGAGGGGTAAAAGTAAGGAGACTATTTAATAATTGAAATAAAATCAAATAATAATTATAATAGTGATAATAATACTAGAATATATAAACAAGTAATGCACAATGTGATTGCTCACCACCTGCCAACCAATGTCCAGCCTGTTCCTGGCTAGTGATCCCAGAGGAGAGAAAATCCCGAAACTGGAATCCCAGAAGAGAGAGATCCACAGCTTCCTGACCAACCCTCATCTATATCATGGTATTATATGATAGGGAATATTCCATTGGGATTTGGGGTCCGGTGCTCTGGCTCTACTCCCTGCCAGCACCTGCACACTAGCAGAACATGGGGAGTTGGAAAGTCCTTGACTTCTTAGCAACAGCTAAAGTATCAGTGTATTATCAACATTCTTCCCATACCAAATCCCATACTGAATCCAAAACAGCACTATTCTAGCTACTAAAAAGGAAATTTAGCTCTATCCCAGCTGAAACCAAGACAGAAGCTTTGGACCATTTCTTTCTTCATTAGTGCTGCAAATGCTCCTCACCTCTTTCTACTTGTTTCCTGTTCCTCATGTGCCGTAAACCACAGCATTATATCGTAATTAATGTAGTTTATTCTCTGAAATACGTGACGTGTGGAACTCTTACCCCAATTTAAATCATAAAGCTGAGGCACAGCGGGTGAGCTGAATTGCCTGAGGACACTCTGGAACTACAGTCAAAGCCAAATTCAAGCTTCCCAAGGTCAGCACTCAGAACTGCAGGGACACCCTTTTGTAGACATCTGCTTTGTGCAAGAGTTTAACAGTCACTTATTTGTGTGGAGATATTTTTGCCTGGAACATCTCCCTGTCCTTTTCCACCAAAAATCTGTCTGCAGATAAAGTTCTTTCTCAAAAACTTTCTTCCACCTAAATGTCATTCTTAACTCTTTTAGGAATCCTCTGAAATGGATTGAACATTTTTGTAAATAAAAATAATCTATACTGTAACTTTTTACTTTTTAAGATGCTTCCACTGAACAGCAGTGAGATTAAATACCTCATTTCAGTTTTGATTATTTTCCTGCAAGTGCGGAAGAGTGGAAGAGAGGAGAGAAATGCATTTGGGAAGTGATGTTAAAAATAGATGTTTAGAAATCCTAATACCTTGTTTTCCACAAGGAAGTATTTCAGCTCATGGAAATTATTCTATTGCTTGCCTTACAGTCCAGAGATAAAACAAATCATATTTTCAGTCTTCTGGCGTATTTAGATAAATGTGATACACACAGAACATACATACATTGCATGCTTGTAGAGGGGAGTGTATGCCTGATGATCCTTTTGTGCTTGTATTTTGAGCTAGTTCATCAGAAGTTATGTTTATTTTGGGCTCTATGATTACAATTAAGGGGTTAGACAATTTTAAGGTGGTATGTATTTTGTAATAATATGGGAACAATGACATTGAGCTACAGAAACTGCAGTAGAGGTATGGTGCTATTCTTATTAATACTAATAATTGTGCACATTGGCTCCACTTAAATATATGTAATGAATTTCTTTATAAATAACACCACATTTACATGCCTCTTTATTTCGATGTGTACTTTTAAAAGAATCTCCAGGCTACAAGTTAGCACTAAGGACTATACATGTCTAGGGAGGAGGAAAATTTTGATGGAACAGTTTTTAAAACAGTTCTGAATGGGGTAGAAGATAGTTCAGGCTAAATACTGATGAAGCTGTGCTTTCTTTAAATTATGGGTTTAGAATTCAATCCAGAAATTACAAATGAGTAGGCCTGGGATAACATAATGAAGGAACTGGTGATGGTTTGCCTTTTGCCTCAGTAAGGAAAAATTTAATTCCAGGTATTTGGTATAGATCTTTTATGCTTCCACTAGCCACTTTATTTTTTCCAAATACCTTAGTTATTTACTCTCTCTTACTCCATTGTGAAGCATTAGGCATTTCCCTTCCCACCTGTACCCATTTGGTAAGCACTGATTTCAGATGTTCCATTTCTTTCTGATTTCATCTCCTTGTGAATGCCTGTGACAAGAGAGTATCCAGCAAGGGTGGCTGTCTGATGGCTGCTCTAGTGTATGTGGAGATCATGGGCACTCACAGGAGAGTGTTGCCACAGCTGGTGCCACACGGAATCACAGAATTATCTAGGTTGGAAAAGACCTTGAAGATCATCCAGTCCAACCGTTAACCTAACACTGACAGTTCCCAACTACACCAGATCCCTCAGCGCTATGTCAGCCTGACTCTTAAACACCTCCACGGATGGGGACTCCACCACCTCCCTGGGCAGCCCATTCCAACACCTAACAACCCATTCTGTAAAGAAATGCTTCCTAATATCTAGACTAAACCTTCCCTGGTGCAATTTGAGGCCATTCCCTCTTGTCCTATCATTTATTACTTGGTTAAAGAGACTCATCCCCAGCTCTCTGCACCCTCCTTTCAGGGAGCTGTAGAGGGCGATGAGGTCTCCCCTCAGCCTCCTCTTCTCCAGACTAAACAACCCCAAGGAGCTCCAAGGCTGCCTCTGCCCACATATATGGTCCTATTCTTTGACTTTTGACCTTGTTAACACATAGCTGAACTATGGGAATCCTGGTTTTAGAAGTTCTATGTGGATAAATACTGATTTATCTTCCAGAAATACCTGCTCAAGAGCATACATAAGCATTGATTTTGCAGTATCAGAATCTGTGTACGCTGAACTTTATAATATATAGTGGTTTTTTAACTTTATTGAGCTATAAATATTTTTTATGAAGTAAATGTCTTAAATGAAAACACTTTCTTTAAAAATCTGTTATAAGTACAATAAACTGCTTCCCATCACGTTTCCTATTATATTCTTTTGCATCTGAAACTCCACAGGGATCCTCCTTACTTTTCTGCCTAGAAAGCCTTAATTTATATCAGCCCAGTTATCTTGTGCATTACACTGAGTCATGTCTTGCTGCTCGGTAACCTTGCTGGATGATTATATTCCACTCTTATTCAAAGGTTCCTATTCCTGTGACGGAGGGCCTGGACCCAATTGCCACATTGACGGATGATGCTACGATTGCAGCATGGAGTAACGAGGGACTGCCCGGTGATAGGATGTCAACAGAAAATGCCACTATTCTAACAAACTGCGAGCGCTGGCCTCTGATGATAGATCCCCAGCAACAGGGAATTACATGGATAAAGAATAAATATGGAGCTGACCTTAAAGTCGTACATCTAGGACAGAAAGGGTATGTGCATGCTGAAGAATTGGCTTTCACATTTACTGCCCTCAAGTTCCCCTAATTTTTGTAAGGGATTGGTGTTTGTTGGAATGCACTTACTTGAAGACTTGAAATATTACAACATTGCTTCTTATTTATCCATACCATCATTTTCTATTTAAAATGATGTGTGAAGGGGGACATTTTTTATGCTGTTTTCAAGTGTTGAAGAGGAAATAAAGTGGAACTTCAGGTGCTCTTCTTGTGAGGGGCAAATCACTTTTTCAATAGGTAAGGTGCAGAATCTGATTATATGACCTTACTTATACTGTAAAGTTTAGTCAACAGAACACAGCACGTGCACCTTGCAGAGACAGATTCAATCCAGTGTACAGCATTCAAAGCAAAAGCCAATATCAGGTCCTTCACGGGTAAACAAACATGTTTTTAATTCTCATTGCTATTACTGAATTGTATGTAAGTTGATAGCACTTGCATGTAATTATCTGTTCATGTCTTTTCTCATGTTTATTTTGATTTAGCGAGACAACTAGGTAAGATTTAACTGCTCCATTTCAGAGAGCTATCTGAGTTTATTTTACTGAATTCCAGATATAACACACAATCACACAGCACAGTAAAGCCTCATTTTTTAAATAAATGTTAATTATTTAAACTGTCTGCTCCTCTGAATAAGCTCTTTTCCCTCACTTGCCCTGATTTTTAAAAATACTTTTTCCAACCCTCACAAATAATTGTTATTTTTCATTCATACCTTGTAGTACCCATCTATGTGAAGCTGTATTGTCTGCTTACTTATCTTTCCATTATGTACCCTCTTCTCAGTTCCTGTTGAAACAGAGTTTTCCCAAGTCATTCAGATTCTGACCCTTCAAGAAAGCGTTTATCATTTAGATGAGGATATATATACCAAAAGCTATAACACAAAAACATAAAATCAAAATCATAACAAAAGCTAAAAATATATATGTGCTCCCCCAACTTCTCTGTGTCAATTCCAGTGTCTTCAATGTGGGGCTATATCCTCATATTTGCTTATAAGGAAAGCTCCAGCAATACATTTTTTTGTTTAATATGAGGACTAGAAAAAGCATAGGCAGAAAGGTGTTGAACTCAAAACTGTCAAACTCTTAACCACTGAGAAATTCTTTGTGAACTGTTTTGCATGGTTAAACCATGCTCTTTTAGAGAAACTTTCGCTATTCCATTATATAAAAGAAATATTTCTATAACCAGAATTGATCTAATATTTGAGGGTTTATTTTTTTATTTTTTCATGTTAAGTTTTCTGAAGACCATTGAAAGAGCTTTGACTTGTGGAGAGACTGTACTAATCAAAAACATGGGTGTGTCTATTGATCCTGTACTTGATCCCCTTCTTGGAGGACATACGGTTAAAAAGGGAAAGTAAGTATACTTGAGTAATCAGAATTTTTCCATGACAACTGAATCTATATTGTTTTGGTTGCCACAGTTTGCTTACTACTTCATAACCCTTCATGAAGTTATTTATTTCTTTTTTAAAATGCAATGGCTAAAAACTGGTTATAAGTAGATATTAAAATGTTAGTATCTGCATCTTATTAGACAACAAACTTCTCAATTCACAAATTGGACGTGAAATCTAATACAGTGTGTGAGTTTGATGTGTGTTGCCACAACTGTTAGTTGTTAGAGGGG